TGCACAAAACAATTATGCATGAAATGCAATAGACCCAAAATATAGTCCCCGTACACAACAGTCCCGGCAGCGGGTCCCACATGGGATCGTTCGGCCCGAAAAATGAAAAAATGTCAAAATGGCAACCCTTGCATTTCAAAGAGTCCAGAACTCAATGAAATGCCCCAACCAACTCTCAGACACACCCGGCACACTCCACGATGTTCGGCACGCAAAACGAGAAAAGATGAAAATACCCTCGAAAAATCATAAAATTCCAAAAACGAAAAATGGCGAAAATCGGAAACATTACAAAACCAATAGCCTCGAACACTCCAGAGCCACAACCGAACGACCAGAATTTCATTTTGGTCGACCGATGGGTCATTTCGGTCGACCGGAATAAAAAGCAGTGTTTGCCGAAATGTAAACAATGACAACTTTGAAACCCTGACTTAAAACGATCATATCTCACTCATTTTAACTCCAAATGGGGTCAAATTAGAGTCTAACTTCAAGGATTTTAAATCAGATTTCCAATTAAATTAATTTCACTCAAAAATTCCAATTGTAGAGAGAGTTATGACCTTTTTAGTGTGGACTATACCAGAATTCTTTGAAAACGAAGGAGGCAACTGTGTGAAATCTTTATTCTTATGTCCAAGATCTTGTGTCATGGGTTTAAATGACCCTTATGACTTATGTTGATTTATTTAGACTCATTTAGAGTTATCTTATTTATTACCACACCTTAGTTGACCGTTTTACCCTTGGATATTCTAGGGTTCAGGTAAGGACCCGGCTAGCGATTCAGACCCACGGGTTCGAGTTGTTACATGCTGATAGTGGCTTCCCTCTCGGTCACGATAAATGTACCGCTTCTTATTACGGACTTGAAATAATTTAACTATCTCTGGTCTCACTAAATTCATAATCTTATAGAATTCGTCTTGATCCTGTTGAATCAACGCGCCAATAAAATCACCTTCCGAAGAAAATGACGAGGAAGATGAAGAATTAGAGGCTGCCAAATGAAAAGCTTGTGATGACGAATCCATTGGAATTTCAAAATTAAAAAAGATGGATAATGATATTTTACTACAATGAAGAAAGATAAATGCAGTGATGATTTTCAGATTTTAATTTTTAAATTTTTTTTTTTTTTAAAAGCAAAAATTCGAAAAGTTTATTGGAGTGTATCTTTCTAGATAGTCAAATCTGTAGACGTGGATCGTAGAAAAGCTTATGTGGTATTTTTAAAGAGCCAAAATCTGGACAAACCGGCGCAGATGGCTTAAGAATCAATGTTCTGTACAGAAGTCACTGGTCTTTCTTCTAAAACCCCTATTGCGAGTTTAAATCTCTACGCAGAATCAATCATCCTCCTTGAGAATCACACATCAGTTTGCTTCTATTCAATTTTTTATCAATCTAAGTAAAGGTCAGTTGTTTCGCACATTAAATTAAACGCTTATATATATATATATATATATATATATATGAAATTAATATCAAAATAGCTTCTCTTGGACATTTTCTGTTTAACATTCTTGTGTCCTTTTCTTGCCCTGTTTCTATTTGAGGAGTACTGAGGACAATGCTCTTTTAAAACCCTAATTTTACATTGTAGGCGATTCACAGTTTGGCCGATTAGTGTGATTAGTATTTGGTTTTTAGATCTATGATTCCTAGACACTAGATTTGGGGGAAAAAATAAAAATAAAAAAGAGAACTTTTAGTTTGTTCAATGGTAGTCTTATGGGATCGAAATAAGAACTTCACATGGATTAGTTTTTATTTTAATTTTTTTTTTCTCTTTATTTAATTTCATGCTGTTAAGAAGCGTTTTAAAAATTTGAGACTCCTCAATGAATTGAATTTTCTATCTTGTAAATTTAGCAGTTGCTTGAGTTTCTTTTGGCATCTTATTTTGTTTAGTTAAAAATACATGATTAAGGTAAGATTGATGATGATGATGATGATGATGATATAAATACATGATCAGGCCAGATGTTATCAGAAGAAGCATGATTGATCGAACACGCATTCAATCGATTGAAGTATGAGAAAGTACATAGGGTTCTTATTTTTTATTAGAAGTATAAAAAAATTAATGATATGTTCTGTAGTATGGAATGGTGCCTTGGAATTGGAATTAAATATATTTTTTTCAATTTCAATTCCATGCTATCAAAAATAGCATAAACCTATGTTTGGGAGTAATGCATCAATGCCTTAGAATTGGACTTCGGAAATTTAATTAATATATAATTCTGTGTGTAAGTGATGGTTCTTTACTGCTACTTCTTCACATACTGGTATTCTAATCATGTGTCTAATCATGTGTAAATGAGGCGTTGTCGCTGGAAAAAATGTTATGGAAACATTAGACAAATACTTCTATTTGCATTATTATGGTCCCTTCAGTTTTGTTTCTCTTTCTGCCGAACATACTACTGGTTTGGACATATTTTTTTCTAATCCACAACATTCTATACCTTGTTTTACTGTATGTTCTAATATGATCCATTTTTTTAATGTCAGATTCTTATATGTTTCTAATTGTACATCAAAATGTTGCTTCAAGCAAATCTTAGATGTGTTCGATTCAGAGACATCTGCTATACAAAATTTCGTCCCCCACTGATAAACCGCTACATGTCTAATCTTAGCAGTCAAAGTTTGGAATCTGACCTTCCATTTCCACTAGTCGGTCCACCAGAAATTTACACCCCGGCCCCAGCCATCAGCAAACCCTTCACGGATTTGATGGTCTCCGGTTACAATAAGGAGCCACCACCAAAACCAAAAATGGGTTTGACACAAAACCTCTCCCCAACTTTCATATCCACTGGAAATTCATGTCTAGATTTCTTCTTCCACGTGGTTCCTGATACACCCTCAAAAGCAGTAACCCGCCGGTTGCAGTTAGCCTGGGACCAAGACCCTGTGACTGCTCTCAAACTTGTATGCAACTTGAGAGGTGTTTGAGGCACCGGAAAAGGGGACAGAGAAGGATTCTACGCGGCGGCCTTGTGGCTTCATGGGAGTCACCCCAAAACTCTAGCTCACAATGCCACTACCATAGCAGAATTCGGGTACTTCAAGGACTTGCCCGAAATTCTATACCGTCTGCTTGAAGGCCTTCATGCCCATAAAGTGGCAATGCGAGAGAAAATGGAGAGAGAGAGCGGGAAGCATAATAAGGTCATGAAGAAGAAGTTTTACAGAGGTAAAAAAGTATTGTCAAGTGAGGAGAAAAGGATTGCTGCGGGCAAGAAAAGTGTCGACAAGTACAATAGTGATCCAGTTTACCGATTCTTACATCATCAGATATCAAATGTCTTTGCAGAAAGTTTAAAATATGATTTACAGAATCTGCATTCGGGCAATCTAAGAGATCTCAGCTTTGCTGCAAAATGGTGTCCCTCTCTTTATTCCTTTTATGATCGATACACCCTTCTATGCGAGAGCATAGCAAGGAGACTATTCCCACGAGACCTTTATCCAGAATACCAAGGCATAGAAGATGCTCATTATGCTTATAGAGCCCGAGATCGTCTACGTAAAGAAGTGATTGTGCCATTACGCAAAGCTCTAAAGGTACCCGAAGTTTACATGAGTGCCCACCAATGGGGAGTGCTTCCTTACAGCAGAGTCACTTCTGTTGCCATGAAAAACTACACTAACACGTTCGTGAGACACGATAAAGAGCGGTTTGAGGAGTATCTGAAGAGTGTCAAGCGTGGGGACAGGAAGATTGCCGCTGGGGCATTGCTCCCTCACCAGATCATTGCATCAGCACGCCGCGGAGGAGATGGCGCCAAAGTTGCAGAACTGCAATGGCAGAGAATTGTGGAAGATCTGTCGGCGAAAGGGAAGCTAAAAAACTGCCTAGCCATATGTGATGCATCAGTGAGCATGATATGGAGTTCATTGGATGGGAGCATGACATCGACTCAAATTGAAAGGTCAATGGATTGGAGCCCCACGAAATGGAGGAGTTTATTGGATAAGAACAAGAAATTTACAGCATTGGATGTAGGTGTGGCACTTGGACTATTAGTTTCTGATTTGAGTGAAGAACCCTGGAAGGGAAAGCTCGTTACTTTTAGCTGGAGACCTCAGCTTCAGATGATTAAGGGAGAAACCCTTCAATCAAAGATTAGATCGATAGAACAGCTGGATTGGGAAGGGAACACGAATTTTCAGAGGGTTTTTGATAAAATCTTGGAAGTGGCAAAAGAAGGAAAACTTAGTGAGGAACAGATGATAAAAAGACTATTTGTGTTCAGTGATATGGAGTTCGAGAAGGCGTCTTTCACTCCATGGGAGACAGACTACGAAGCAATATGCTGGAAGTTTGAGGAGAGTGGGTATGGGTCGTGTGTGCCGGAGATGGTGTTTTGGAACCTAAGAGACTCCAAAGCCACTCCAGTGCCAAGCCATCAGAAAGGGGTGGCACTTGTGAGCGGTTTCTCAAAGAATTTACTCAAAGTGTTCTTGAAGGAAGGTGGGATTTTCAACCCCGAGCACACCATGGAATTGGCCATTGCCGGGGAAGAGTATGAGCAGCTTGTCGTTGTTGATTGATGCATTTTTTCTCTCTGTGTAGTTAGATCACTTCACCTTTGGATTAATTCTTAGCAGTAGATATATTTCAAAACTTCTCAAATCTCCAATTCATTGTGGGCCTAACCATATGCTATTTTGTTGGAAAGTCTGCTGTATAGGGATGTGTTTTCTAGTGCTTCATAATGCGGCTGAATAGGGATGTTTTTCTAGTTCTTCATACACACTGAAATTTTGTTATACATTTGCAGTTTTCGCATGAGCCCGGATCCTTTGCTGTAAATTTTGGCGCTGTTGTAATTTTCAAAGCTATTACAACTACTTTCAACACATTACATTTGTTTTTCAACACATTAAATCTGGCTAAAAAAGTAGACGTAAAGGTGCTGAACGAGCTAGCTTCTCGAGAGCCATGCATAAATTAAACAAGTTTGGCAAAGGCAAACACATCGGGAATCAGTGCCTACCTGACATGCATGTTATCTGGTTTTTTTACTTCACATTATTCTGTTTCTGCTTTTACATGAATATGCAACTAATAATTCTAGAAAGAACTCTTAAATTATAATGGTCTTCAAACCCAAAATTTAAAAAAGATATGTGGCTATACATGCAAATGTATACATATGTGAGAGACACACACACAGGACTATTCACTATCTCTCCATACTTCCCGCAGGAGCTTATATCTAACAACGTTTTGACTTTTTTCTCCCTTTGGCATCCAGTCGGGTTTTGTTGAAGTAGAGGATAGCCGGGAATTTTCAAGAACGATTGAAGTTATGGGAGAATCCAACTCGTCAAGTTCATCATCACTGGTGTATGCTTTTCTGAGCACCAATGACCAGCTCTTTTGCAGAGTCTGGCTTCCTACTTCTCCCATAAAGCCTGCTAGTGAAGCTACTGTAGGTGGTGAATAGACTGTAGGAGTCGCGATGCATGGAAAGCTTGTGAAAGACTCTCCGGCAGCCTCTGGAGCATCCTTAATCAAGATAAAGACAAACATGTTAGAGGAAAATGATTTTCCAGATAAATTGAATGTGCATTCACGATCAAACATCAATTGAACCCTGCACATTTTCAATCAGATAGTACGGATAAAGCACCAAAGGAATTAGCGGCTTCTAAAGGATGAACTAACCTCAGCATCAAGGGCATCAAGAATAGCCACTGGAACTGGGTCTGGGCAAAACTCGTCTGGAGCAAAATTGTTGAGAACCCTCTTGATCAACGGTGCAAGAAATATCGGGCAAACCTTGAAACAGTGAGATTTAAAACAGTTATTAGAAAAAATGATTGTATGTACCGTTATGTTCTTATAAAAGAAAAGGGGGAAAAACTGTTATAGGGATTCACCTCTTTTCTTGTGGACTTATCAGCAAGCATATCAAATGGAAGCATCATGAGATCACTCAATGCGTTGAGGAGTCGGAAAGCCTTGAAAGATGTCTCGTGATCCAGTCCATTGTCATTGCCTAGGTTATTCGTACATCTTGTTGAGTCACTATCTTCAATGCCAAAGAGATCCGTTAGCCATCTGGACCAGCTCCCGATCTAGTAACCAGAGAAAACAGAATAAAATCTTTTGTCATTCTCCATGATTTTACATAATTCAAATAACCTATTCTGTTGCTAATTTAGTGAGTTGAAAAGAAAAGCAAAAGAAAAGGACAGTAGTACAGTAGGCAAGGATTGCCATTGTGAATTTAGATATTCAAGAACCTCCCATGGTGATTCTTGAATCACAGTGATGATTGTTCACATGGAACCATGGCACTATAGTTTTTCCCTGGCGCAAGAGTGACTTCAATAAATTCTAAATTATATTTAGGACTGCAGACGAAAATAGCTGAACAGAGTATTCGAACAGTTTTTTACCTGCCGGGAGAGTGACTTTAATAAATTCTACAGTCATGTTTAGGACTGCAGGTGAAAATAGCTGAACAGATTATTCGATGTTCAATCAGTTCTTAAATTTTTTAATGAATTCAAGCAGAGTCCGGGCTTAAAAGCATCTTGAAACTTGGTTCATTTACATTTTCCCGAACAAGAGCCTTATTCATATTCCGATCAAGCTTGTTAATATACTATTTCACAAATTTATACTAGAGCCTAGCATATTTAACAAGACATGCGAGAAAGTGACTATATAGCATAGACAAGGAAATCTTAACTTTTTCTCTTAATTTATTAGCATTATATACTAGTCAAATCACTCTATTTAATTTATAAAAGCTTCAGAAAAGACAAATTATAACTATATTACATTTATACAACGTGTTCATCATGCTAAAGTAGCCCAGCTTGATATTGTTCAAATGTAGTTCATCAAGCAAAATGGTGAACAAACTGAATGAGTTTCTAAACAAGCATGCCCAAGCTCACAATTCAGTTCACTTTCACCCTTACTAATCTATGACTACAGTTCTCTTTTTCATTTATTTATTTATTTTTTATTTTTTTTTATTTTTTTTCTCAGTTAAGCAAAATCTTATTGCTCAAAGAAATAGGCATTAAAGTACAGAACCAAGATGGGCATACTCATAACTCAGGGAACAAAAAACACACAAATAGGGACTTCCTCCTATGACTAAAACGTGGCACCTACAACTGACCAAATAAGAACAAATTCCGAATTTTCAATTGCTTCTCTTAAAATTCTCAAACAACTTTGTTTCACACTCGAAGCAGAAAGAAGCACATTTCAATGGGATTCCTTGGCCAAAAATGCTCTACATAATTGTCCAATATCCAAATAACAATCCAAGCGACCAAAACCACTTTATTTATAAGATTTAACCAGCCCATCTAGTAGTATGCTCATAACTTAAAGAAAGAGAAATTTTCAGCACTGGATGGTTAAATCATCAAATTCTGTCAAAAAATTTCTACAATATTTACAATTCTGACCAAGAAATGTCCTGAAACACAAATGCCCAATAGAAGAAATTTGCATTCTCATTTCTCCTTATTTTTCATTATATATTATATCGATTATGACTGAATTTGACAATATTTAGCACTAACAACAAATTGATACAAATTTGCAATGTTCAAAAAACAAATAGCAGGACTACGTCCTCCAAGTCTACAAAATAACACCAAGTTATTCACTTATGCATGAGTCAAATAATTATAACCATCATTTTGCTCGTAATAGGTGGCATTGCAAATAACCACATGATAACTTAATTCTGTACTCACAGCATTTTTCAGTTGTGCGCCAGCCCCAAAGCTTGATTTTCCAGCAGGAATCGGGAGGACTCTAGGTTCACTAATGGGATCTGACACAGGATCTGTTGGCATTTCTTCAGATGATTCACGAAGAATGGCATTAAACATTGCCACATCTAGTCTATCTACCAACTGCTCCATTACCTAAAACCACAGTATAAAAGTATTACAGTTCTATCTTCTTGTGTTTAAACAAAAGCATAATTGGTATCAAAAACATTTTTTTTTTTTCAAAAATCTTCCACACAAAATAAGTATTTTGAAACATGAAGAACAAGACCCAGACATACTCAAGTACTCATGAGATGTCATGCATATGAAAAAACTAATAAACACATCGAAGATTGTAAGTTGACAGAAAAAAGGGAAGGACAATTGTAGGATATTAATATGGCTTACATAAGTATGCAAAACGGGTCTGCACAAGGCCATTTATCTAGATCCACTTATCAAGTGAGCCACTAAAATAACCCTGATGAACCTCAATCTCGGATAAATATTTTAAGAAGCATTATTGGGGTCTGCCTTTATTGTGTCTGCACTGCGTGACTATCCAGCACCAATAGTGGGTGTATACAGGAACATGGCTCCTTATACCAACATAAATAGACAACTGCAGGGATATATTTTGGAGATAATCACAAATTGGTTTACTTTTTACTATACAGGAAGGCATAATAATTTAATACAGATAATCCAGTGCAAGCCATCCATCAGGATAGTTTTACGACTCTCCTCTCATAGGAAATGCATGAAGTACCAACACACTTGACTGTTTGCTTATGTGTTACATACAAACACAAATCACCATAGGTACGCTACATCCATAGACAAAATAGGGGGAAAAAAAAAAGTGGGGGGGAACACAACAATGTTATGCACATTGAGGAATATTGTAATGTATAAACGCACCAATTTAGCCAGCACAGGAAGGCAGCCACACTCATGCCCTCCAGCTCGAATGGGACAAAGCCTTTCACAGGCATCCCTAAAAGCCTTCTTCCAGAGTTCCATTGAAAAATTCCCTTGATCATGATCACCCAAAACATGCGTACTCTTAGAGATTTTCCTTGAGCTTGAGGTCCTAGCTCCTCCACTAGTCTTTGCAGCCGTGGACTGCATATGTGGGGTCAAAGTCTGCAGATGACAAGATATAAAATTATCCATGAAGAGTTATACCACCTAATTTGAGAAAAACACTACAAAGGAAATTTGACAGCAACAGCAGCAGCAAAAGATGTAGTACGCAACCTGCCACCACACAGACTCAACAATTCGGGAGAAGATCCAAGCTTCAACTTTTTCCAATGCAACCATAAAAGTTTGCAGGTCCTCCCAGTCTTCAAATTCTTTTATCAAACTATTTTTTCCTTTCCCAACTGAAGAGTAGTCATCCCGTTTCAATGTGAATCTTCCGGCAGACCCCTCCTCACTACCATTATTTTCTATGCATGGTCCACCAGAAAGTGGCATTTCTTCAACAGAATGTTTGACAATTTCTCTCAACATAATTGAATTTGACAACCAGAAAGTTAACCTGTACAAAATATACAAAAGATTCAGTGAAATAACCAACAAAACAGAGGATCATATTTCGAGTTAAACTTACAGGAGCAAGAAATTCATCTGCTCCCCCCCCCCCCCCCCCCCCCCCCCCCCCCCATAATAATAATAAAAATAAATAAATAAAACATCATATGACGATATCTATCAAAAAGTGATCCAGTTCAACCTTTTTGAGTCTTCTGTTTTCAAGATTCAGCCAAGTTATAATTAAATCCATAAGTCATAAGAGTTGCATTTTGCATCTCAACCAGTTGACAACTAAATTCTACATCTTTAGGGCTGCAGGCTTCTTAATTTATTAAGTCATTTATTTTTCCTTAAGGGTGGGTGGATAAGTGGGGGAGTAGCAAAAGTCTATCAACGAAGAATCGTCAATTCAAATTCTCCAAAGCATAAATTGCTTTCATTGAAGCATACATAAATACTGAAATTATTACATACCTTGGGACATCATTTCCACAGGCTTTAGAAACCAAAACTAATCCTGACACAGCACCTCTTGCTGCAGTTGCTCTTTTAGATTGGGACCTCGCTTTCCAAGCATGGAGATAGAATCTAGAGAGGCGACGAGCTGGAGCATGGACCTTATTTGTGGAACTCCCATGCTCCGCAACTACAGAATAAAGGGAAGCCTCAAGGGCAGCAGCTTCCCTCAACTCTTCCTCGAGTATCTTGATTCTAGACTTCCATTCAGTTTTGCTGTCAGCAAACCCATCTTTTGCTTCTTTTATTTCAGCTGCTACATTACCAGTAGCAGTATTATTGGCATCCTCCAGAATCTCAATTTCCCTAACCTTCTCAATTATCTGAGAAGTGCCCAAAAACTCATTGGCCTTCCCTGAGTCATATGGTAACTGAACAGACTTCAAATGCCTAAGTTTATTATTGGTCTTGGCAGTACCCTGCACTCCGTGATCTCTCCTGCTGGATATAAAAGTATCACTCCTTTGTGTCCAATGCTTTCTGCTAGAACCTTGTGAAGAGTTACCAACTAGTTTGTTTTCTGAAGAACTTTTATTATCCTCAAGTATCTGTTTGTCTTGTCTATTATCTCGTTGTTCCTTTTTCTCTTTGCCCTCCATTGGACCAGCATGTATGTCATTAACAATTGTAGCATTTAGTTGTTCATTTTTGCTCCCTCTTGAGGCTTCTTCATAGTACTCTCGACTGGCAGGTGAGTCTCTAGAGTTTAAGTTGGAGTTCGCGCCCACCTGAACATGTGTATCTAAGACTGTAACTTTGGCTGCAAGTTTGTCAACATAATCATCTTGAAAATTTCCCCTGCTGTGATAAATCTCATCATGAAACTCATGGGTGATATCTTCCTGTTCAAAGCTTGTTATGCAGTTACTAGATGCCTCATTTGTATTTGGGAAATCTAATGAAGATGAAGAAGATTGAACAAAGGGGGTAGCATGACCCTTCTGGATTGGAATTAAGTTCCTCTCTTGATATTTGGACTTACTAGCATGTCTGTTGACAGGATTCGCCAAATCAGAGGAGAAGACTGTTGATGACAAAGTCTGTGAACTTCCATTCGCCTGTTTAACTAATTTAGCCTCTGAAATCTCCACTGACTTTGCAGGTTCCACTCCCAGAGGTAGAGATGGTTCTCCACTACCCCTTCCTGTTCTATACTTTGTTGATCCAGATCCGCTCTGCAATTCCATGGTAACTAAAATATAATATCCACAGTACATAACCAGTTGCTTAGAGAAAATGCAGGCATCGAATCAGTTTCCTAGACTGTCTACCTATATATGGCATATCAGTTTATAAAAATGTAGGCAACTTCTATCCACCATAAAATTGGTTTTAACTGTACTATATCAAAGCAAAATGAATCTGGATTACTGCAATTTTTTTTCCTAGTTGGTACTCACACACACTTGTCTCCTTTGAGACTTGAACCCCTGACCCCCTTTGGGAAGTAAGAGGCTGATACCGCTAAGCCACTGGCCCGTTGGTTGGATTACTGCAATTATCTTATCTAATATTTTTTTTCATAGTTCATACTCACACACACATGCCTCCATTGAGGTTCGAACCCCAGACCTCCCTTTGGGAAGTAGGGGCCTAGTACCGCTAGGCCACAGACCTGTTGGTATCTTATCTAATATTAAATCTATACACCTTTCACTATATGCCCAATGACCAACTACAAACATGTCACTGATGCATCCAGGTTGGACAAATGAAATGGATGGACAAAATCACACATGCTTCATAGGTATGGCTCAAGGGCAAGTAGACTATTCAGAAACTAACCAATCTACGTCATATTTTCTTAATTTCAATAAATGTTATTCATTTGACAGATTAAGCAATTTGATTCATATGGGACTGAAGGTGAAAGACTAGCAATGACGAATAGAAAGAAATGAACTTGGGTACCTCTTCATTTTGAGGGGCTGAAACCTTTGTAGCTTCAAAAGCAGAAGAGGAAATGGTCCGCGATGAATGTGAGGAAACATCATCATCAGTAAAAGAGGCAATCTCCGATTCATCGTCATTTTCTTCATTCACTGTCTCTGAAACAGATTCTCCTCCATCCATGTCTAGTGATGCTTCTTTCGATAAAGTACCTCTTGGTGACGATGTGGAGCTATTCTTATCAAATGGTTGTATATTGAAAAATAGAACTGGTTGCGCCGTGTTCCTAGAACTCTTCTTGCAGCTCACTGGAGCACTAAAGGTTAAAGTTTCTTTAACAATTCCATAATCTGCAAGATTTATAATTGCTGTCCCCAAGTGTTTTCCTTTTGCTGCCTTGTCTTTTTGATGTTCGTACAAGTAGAACTCCAAGCAGTTCTTCTGAAAATTATCACGGGCCCTTTTTTCTCTACATAAACTCGTAGAAAGCATGAAAGATTCATTGAATTCAATATTGAGATCCCCAACACCAGAAGCAAGGGACCCAGAATTGTGATCACCATTTTCCCATTGAAGCAATACAGATTGAACCGATCTCAGAGACTGTGATGGAGGCCAAGGCTTAATTTCCTTTACATGGACAAGGTAATCAACTTGAAGGGAAGTGTCTTTCCGGTGCTTTGACCTCAGCCCAAGAACCATTGTTGGTTATATTATCGCAATACTCTTAGTAGACGAGCAATCAATTATAAAGTCTCTAAGTCAAGAAACAAAAACCCAATCGAAAGTTAATATATATATATATATATATATATATATATATATATATATATATTTCTGGTAAATAAGCATATTATTAGAGGTAGAAATAAACACAGGCCAAAACTATGCAAACAAACATACAACAGAACAAGAGAGCAGAAACAAAGCTCTCAATTAAGCTCCCAATTGAAAGTTAATATAAATTAGAAAAGGAACATTCATGGATTTGAAAATTAAAAATATATATATATATATATAAATGAAAAGGAAGCGAGCAGAGAACAATATTCACTAATATTTATAATCAAAATTCAGGAGAAATAAAATAAACTAGACGGAATGCACACGAATTAGTTTAATCAAGAATACAGGGAAAAAAAATGGAAATCAGTGACTGAAAGAGAGAGAAAAGAAACTAAGCACATGATAAAGTCTTCTCTTTCGATTTACAAGTCTTTCGGGTCTGTCATCTGTTTACCCAATTAATTCAACTCATTTCTATGTAAATCCAATTCAAAACAAAATCTGGGGAATGTGTATGCAAAACTGAACGAGTGTGTGTGTGTGAGAGAGAGAGAAAACCAAAAGTAGAAGAAAGGTAGGCCATTTAAGCTAAACTGATGTCAATTGTTGGATTGGATTTAAATCATTTAAGTATAATTGAGAGGTTATCAAAGAGACATGGATTAAAATAATTGGGTCAAGTACCACTGTATAACATTGGCATTGCGCATCGTTACTAAGCAGAAAATCTAAGAAAATCGAGACACACACACACATATATATATAGTGGCACTCGATCCAGATACATCAACAAAAGTATAATCTGAAACAACCAGATAAGATAATGGCTCAAATAATCAACACAATGCAACCATTTTAAAGTACAAAACTGAAGATACATATACACCGATAGATATAGGTGCATATATATATATTCACAGATTGTAAATCAATTACCTAGATACTGTTGAAGGAAGACCCAACCGAGAATTGGAGAGAAGAGAGACACCTCCCTGCTTGTCCGTTGATCTTCTCAACTTTTGCTCTTTTTCTTATTCTTTTCTTTTCAGATCAACTACCTTTTTTAGTCTCTGGTCAAATCTGTAAAAAAATAAAAATAAAAAAAGCGAAATTGCATGGAGATTGAAAAAGTGGGAACCCAAATGATAACCAAAAGGCGAAAGGCAAGGGATAATTAGATAGAGCCACCGAAAAATAGTCCTCCTTTCACATCACATAAGTAGATGAAAATTATAACTCAATAAAATTTCCTTAAACCTCACTCAAATTATGAAACAAACTTTTCCTCTAACATGAGTAATTTTATGGAACTTCAAACGCCCGTGTCAAAAGATTCTTAGTTTCATGTGGGATCTCAAATTCGAGTATAGAGTAATATAACTTGAGTTTTGAGTTACATTATTACGATATTAAAGTCAAACATAGTCCTTCATTCAATTATAGTAAAAAAAATTGTACTATGAAATTTTTGCATATGACCCCTTTGTACTAAATAAATCTCGTGAACCCTCCTAAACTTTTTAACAATTCATCAAGTGACTCTTACGTATATACCATTCAACTTTTAAACTAAAATTAAAACAGTAAAATTAATATTGTCATTTCACAATTTAGATAACAGATTAAGCAACAGGGATTAGTTATTAATAGATGGGCTTATATAATTATTTGTTTTGTTTTTATCCTGACAACAATAGTAATTATTTGTGATTGAGCAAGCTAGTAAAGGATAGGATAAGAAGTTGTTTACAAATATACTATTTCGTGTTATATAAAGGACAAATGTAGCTAAACGACGCGTTTCCATACAGTAATTTGGCTGTACTATTTGGTGTTAAAGTTGAGTTGGTCCATGGGTTGTGTCTTTACTTGAAAACTTTTTATAGATGAATAATTGTTGGTAACTAACCGCGTTGAAATTAATGAAAAATAGAGGGGAAGGTTGAAGCATCCACGTTGAAGTTGAATTGAAGAAATTTCAATTTCAAGGTGTGGGTAGAGATGGCTGAATGATGCTGACGCTGGATTGAGGCTTGGTGGACCTCTATTTTTTTTACATGCTAAATTTATACAATCTTACTTTTAGGTCGTTCTATATTCTTTTAGTGTCACAAGAAGCAAATGTTTATAAATATACCTTTCCCTCAATATGTATCTCCATTTTTTCTTTTTCTTTTATTTTTTTTTAAACTAAAATGAATATAATCATTTGTTCAGAATTACATTCGCACTTCATAATTATCTGAAACGGCAAACAAAACACTTTTCTATTGAGAAGTAATTTCAACATTTTATGTATGAAAATATTATGTCTCATATTTATGATATTGAAGGGTGGGCTTCGAGAAAACTCTTTTGGTAAGGAGAGGTAAGACAAGGGCGTGAATTAAATTTTAAAAGAGATGTTGAGACAATATTAGATGTTATTCATGTTCAACGCCTGCTGTGAATGTAAATGATGGTTTCACATGGTTTCTTTAATTATGTAATTGATAGTTTCACATGATTTCTTTAATTTAACAATGGCTTCTCATTTTAAAATTATTACATTCCGCGAGAGAGAGAAGGGGCACATCAAAAAGTGACAAACAGTGAGGGTATTAAATATACGAATCAATTCGGTTAAATGTTCTTTTTGTTTCAACACACAAATAAATGCTTCCGTCCAATCTGTTCTCTCTCTTTTCTATTTTATAATGATGTGAACACCACCAACCACATTCTTTTAAAATGTGTCAGTTTGATAGAAGCGTTTGTTGGTTGTAAAATAGTGCTTTCAATTCTTTTTTTCTTTTTATTTTTCTATTTTTCAATTCCATAATTGCCTTTTGCAAAGGCAATAGTGGGAAGGAACGGACGAAGATAGATTCGGTTTCGCAGCGGCATTAGTTTTATTTTACAACGACAAAATATCTACCCACACGCATGATATGTATACGGGGGCAACATGGCCTTTTCACATCAATAGAGGTGCTTTGTGTTACTTTGCCTTACAATAATAATAAGGCCAAGTCAGAAGTAATTGTAGGGTAAAGAAGAAGAAAAATCAAACCAAATTTGGACTATATGAAATTCGCCCACCATTTTTCACCCCATCTCCTATTACAGATTTGTTTACATGAAATTTCCATCTAATCTACCAAGTTGGTTATACTTGAACTAATGTCATCACCACGTGATCGGGCGCCTAGTCAACAAATACTTAACGGTAGCACTGAGCCGAAGCAGATTCAGCTTTGTCAATTGGGTGACAGAGCAGATGATCTATATCTATTGGCTGCATCCATTAGTCACGGATTAATTCTCTTGGCTATGGGTTTAATGCATTGAAAGCATGTGCTTCATTAATTGTCATCGCAGAACAATCCCGTCAATTGCCTATAAAACAATAATATACCACAACCATGATCAACACCAACCCACTCACCCACCCAAATTCACCCGAATATCAAATGCCAGCCGAAAAGTTTTACAACTCAAAAAGGAAAAACACATTCGATATACCCAGGGGTCTCATTGTCCCAAGACTGAGGGCAACATTGAGAGTAAACCAGAAAATACCCAGATCATTAGCAGATCCCACTATCAAGTTATAACACTGGAAAGAGCAATTGCCACATACATATTTCTTCCCATTTAAGTGCTATGAGTGCAAGCTCATCAAACACGTCAACCATGAAAACTTCAAATGGTAGCAGAAATACTACTGTCCAACAGTAATAACACACCAAGAAAGATTCAAAAGAATATGGAAAATATGAAAAGAAAATCAAAACAATGACAAGTGCAACTAAAATAAGGATCCATTCCAAAGGCCTACCCCTTCCAAACATTCTACTTTTGAGCCTAAATTGTCCCAAGGTGAATTCATCAATAAGAACTAATTAGCCTGTTCCGTTCAGTTTACAGCTGGAAACTCAGAGAACAGAAAATTATTTTTGGAGAACTATAAGAGACATTTTTATGATAACGGACTTATTTTAAACCAAAATTTTCAGAAAATAGCATTCAAAAAACTGCAACCAAAAAACTCTGTACAAATTATGATTTTCAGTTCTCTGAGAAAGAAAATAAATAAATAAACTGTTATTAGAAAAGTAAACCAAACAGGCCCAAGGTTTTTTAGCCTTGCCAAACCCATGTCCGTTTTCCACCTACCCTTAGCAGAGGCTCCATTGAAACAATGGTCCACTCTCAAGAACAATCCTTTTTCCCCCTTGTCAACGGTCACTTCCACCCTAAATCCTGGATAATAATATATCCTAAAATATAACTGAACCAAAAATAACTGGATAATAACAGAGAACCAAAGTTAACTTTCATCTCATTACAAAGAAATAAGAGCATCTCCAATGTTAAAAGTCATTTTCGCATGCCAAATATATATTTTGACAGGTGCTACAGTGTAAAAATGTTATATTTTAGCAATTCTGCTCCAATGGTGTATTTAATGCAAAATGCTATTTTTTGACATAGCCACCATTTTTTTTCAACTACCATTCCCACCATTCATATTTGCATAGTAATATTAATATTAGGCACATTCCAAATAAAGTTGTAGACGTTAGAAGGAAACTAAAATTATACCTAATTAAAAAATGCAAAAAACTAAAATATCTGATAAAAAAGGAACAAAAAAAGAACAAATTTTTTATAATTTTTTTACCACTTGTGAATTAATTTTTTTATATAATTTTATTTTCTTTTTCGGAAATTTATATATATATATATATATATATATATATATATATATATATTATATATATATTTGAGTATATTTATTATTAAAGTTGTAGATATTTTTAGGGCAAATCATTTCAGCCTCCCCAATTGCCCTCTCTCTCTCTCTCTCTCTCTCTCTGCAACTGCAAACTACAAAATCTACAAGAAACATCAAGAAAGAAATTCACAAGCTTCAGATCGCCATATCTTTCAGTTTGGCAGAATCGGAAGTTGTAGTGAGGCGGCGAGTTGTTTGACGTGACTTCGGTGGATCAAAACGTCAACGTTGTCGTTCGGATCCTCTTGCCAAGCGAACGACGGCTCTACGACGACAGGGACTTTCTCTTCGGGTTGACTCGCCAGTTGGCTCATTCCACCCTGCAACAAACTCAGAACACCAAGGTATGAAGAATTCCATCTATTTTGTTTTGTTTGGATCTGTTAATTTCGTCCAAATGAGTTCTGATTTGGCCTCTGTATTGACTCAGAAAACATAGACGAAGGAAGAGAACGATTGAGGGCGAAGAAGTAGAAGTGAGAGAAGAAGAAAGAGTGGAGCAGCAGAGGGCACCGGTTTCTGCCATTGAAGAGAGATTTTGGCAAAGCGAGAGAGAGAGAGACGGCAGGCAAGGCAAATAGCTATTGCTATTTGTTTTGCTAGATTTGGCACCAAAAATAGCAAAGTTAAATTTTGACAGGTGATATAGCAGGCCATTGGAGGGCTCAATTTTAACCCACCTGCTACATTTTGAATTGGCAGCCCAAATAGCAGGTGGGTTGGAGATGCTCTAATATCATGGACGGATACCTATTTTAACAGATATGCACACTTCACTAGTTAGAATATAAATGGCTCCAAGGAATCAACAGAGGACAATAATGGACAAACAGAACAAAAATAAAAAGTAATAGAAAATAAAGGATGCAACAAAATTCTTCCCAAGAACTACCACGGACGTCTGATAACGCACCACGCACCACTGGTGCCACCACCATGAACTTAACGAGTCTTAGTATTGTGGATAGAAACCTCGTATTATGTTGACTCCCTGTGCCGTGCCCAGTATTTCTTTACATGGTGATCCCAAGTAAAATTCTCTTTTTACTTAAAGTCCAATATTTGTTGGAATTGATACTTTAGATAAAAGATAGCTCATATCTTCTAATTTTTTTCTTCTGTCGATCGACGTTTCTTCTTTTGCGCTCCTTAATAACCAAACAGTTGAATCTCTTGTAATAATAACAATCCAATTTTGGTCTTGTTTTGGTAGTCATTTTTTATCATCACAATATTCTTGAGAAATTTATCTCAATTATCCTATTCATAGAGAAGGAACTTTTTTTGAAATGGTTGATAAGGAGGACGGCATTACATAGCTGTCAGCCACCTTCCTTGGACCTTTTTATACATGAAGATAGATTTGTACCAATAATAAAGGCCAATAACTCGTACTGCTTGAAACAGCCCCACAAATTCCTAAATAGCACCGAGTCATGGACCAATGAATTTACATATCAAGTTTCCAACATAATGGTGAAACCCCTAAATATAACTATTGAGCAACTCAATCACACGCTTAAAGGTTCAATTCAGCAAAGATGATGAAAAAACACCAAAAAAGCAGCTCAGAATTTGTCAATTGCCTCAACAGTTCATGCAAAACTAAGAGGCATGCCAAAGTGAAATTATAAAATTAGGTGGCAAAGCAAACTTACGCAGAACTGAAGAGGTCTCCTACTGTAGCTAACCAAAATTCCTGGTCTCAACTACGTTGTTGATGACCTGCTGTTGCTTTGCTATTCAGCTGTGACACCATCCATAATGGGAAGAGTTGAGAAGAAAGCCAAGTAGATATTTAAAATATATTATGTATATAATAATCACACTTCAAAGCCAAAGAATTATTATCCAAAGTAACCATTTTCAATGTTTAGGATCAATAATACAAAATGTTATAGGGTAATATGATAAGTAGAATTGGAGCAGGTTGGACAAAATGGAGACTGGCCAGTAGTGTTTTCTACGAGAAAAGAAGAACAAATAAATTAGAAGGAAAATTTTATATAAAATTTATTAGACTGACAATTTTATATGGTACAGAATGTTGGACTTACAAAATAAATAAATAAATAAATAAATTTAAAAAAAATACACAGGAACAAGGGAAAAGAGGATCTTAAGATGGATTACAGGATTAACTAGAAGAGGGTTACTAATCAAAATGTGACGGAGAAATTAGGAGTGGCACGTATTAGTGAAAAAATAAGAGAAAGTAGACTTAGGTGACACGACAAATACAAAGAAAACCTTTAGATTCATTGGTAGAAGAGCTAATTTACATATACGATAGAAGTAAAGGCAAAGAGGGCAACCGAAAGTAAACACGTAATGAAATTACTAGAAATGATTTTGAAAAAAGTTAAATCCTTTAAGAGAGATGTTTATAACAGACATAAATGAGAAACGAAAATTAATAAGGCCAACCCCATCTAAATATATTGTTAAAGGAGTCGTACATATTAAAAAGTATCATCTAGTTCTAAATATATGCAAAGCAAAATATTTATTAAAAAAAACAAACCGAAAATTGTACATCTCTAAATGACATTATATGCAAATCAAAATATTTAACTTTCTATGTCACAGGCATAGAAAGTTACAAAAATGCATCAATATCTATTTCTGAAGCTTTCAAATTGTGAAACGTGAAACCCATTGCATCATTCCAGGCTCCGACAAATTGTGTCCCAGATAACCGAAGTTATATTAATTTATTTCTTGTAGCTAACAACAAGAGGACACGAGCCCCTAGCATTAAGCTTGGTGGACCAACCAGGTACCACTTGACCAACCAGACCATTTATGAGGTAAATTCACATTTAAGTGCAAAGCTATTACACCCTATATACCATTTAATACATTCATAATCCCAATTTAAAAAATATAATGTCATTTAGAGAGGCTATTTTTACATTCAACCATTTAACATTTAATTGTGGAACATTTCCTTTGCATGATTTTCCCTCTTACAGTTAAAAAAGAAAATTGAATTAACATAGGTACTGGCCACATAATAACTGAACATCTTAAATCTCAAAACCATGACACAAAATTAACTTCCCATAGTTCAACAGTGCAGTCAAGAGGGGAACAAACAAGTCACTCGTGTTCTTTCCTTGTATTGATAACAGAGAGATGCATCCCATGTATTAAAATCATACATCACATGGTGTTAAATGCAATTATATCAAAAAAAGATTCCACAGAGGCACGGAGGGAAAGCAAACTAAGCAGAGAAACAAATGAACTAATCAATCATATTAATTGTACAAATTATCTCAAATCGGGGGTTGTATAGTACCTCTGCTGAGCCTGGATGGACAAAATCAATTTTTGAAGCACTGAAAACATAATTGGAAATTCTATATATTCCAGGATGTGCAGGTAATCTCCTCAACCTGCTTGCTTTGATACTGCAGTGACATTTGAAGACAAATGTCATAAGAATTCAGGATCCATTTAAGATGAAATATTTTCACACCAAAAATACAAAACAGAACAACAGAATAATTAACAGCTAATATTTTATTCTTAGAATGCGACCTTTTATGGTCAATATAAAGACCAACACAATTAAGATTTGCACGGGACCACTATATCGGTAGCAAAATATATATAAAGCAAGTGTGGAAGGACATTCTTTCACTAAACAGCATCCTGCCAACAGAACAGTAAACTTCACATGAATGGTGAACATTATGGTACTTGTAGCAGTATGGACAAATCATAGCAACTAGAAACTGCAGATATACACTCAATCTATATTTTAATTTGGCAATTATAGAAGCTTCATAAAATCATGCAAAAACAAACTCAAGCAACAAAATCAGAACAAGAAATAGGTGGACTAGCTTTGTACACCATAAAGATATACTGATTCATTTACCAAGTGGATAATCGTCTTGAATGATTCGATTATCCACTACTGGAAATGCAATCATTTCCCAAATTTCTAAACAACTTCACTTTCATATGCTTCACATTTTCTTTTAACAGGGGATGTTGATATTTAAATATGAAAACAGTCATTTAATAAAATCACAATACTGATCCTCTTCTATGAACTATGGTCATTTTATTCAATGCTCCAAAATTGACAATGAAACATTGATACTTCTACAGGCTATGCAAAAGACAATAAAGACATTCAATTTCCAAGATGGATTCCCAACTCCCTGTTTGAAAACAATAAAATTTTATCCGATTGACTAGATGATCAAAACTTGCTTTTGTATTTTAAGTTGTCAAAGTAAAAGCATCATTTAATATGGTTCTAAGTGATCAAATGATTCTTTAAGCATTATTGAATACTCTACAACTCTTAAATTGCCATGGATGTCAAGCATACAATGGAAGATCAATTATTAAAGAGGATGCTGGACTACTAGAAGACACAGAGTCATATGAAGTTGTAGCCTTATAGAGGCTCCAAGTCATCAGTTGGGAGGGACGGTGGGGGAAGGGCAGATAGCCCTATTTTCTATAAAAATGTCGTATTAATCAAAATCAACAAGAAACACCATCGCTCTTCCAATGGAAAATCGCTCCTTATGACACAACTAATTACATGAGATCATCACATTGTAATTCATTGGCTCCTCAGTAGTACCAACATGTCATTGTAGTGGTGGTATTTCGTGAAAAAACAAGTATCAGAGTAAAGCACAAGTTGAGCCCATCCTAATAAGTATCTACAACATTACAATGGTGATATATTCCACATGGATGGGATGGGAAGCAAATGTTGATCCTGATCACTTTCCACATATGTCAGATTTCATAAGTTACCTTCAAGGTGCAATAGTTTGGTAAGCTTCTTCAACATGAAAAGCTAACATGCCCCTCCGCTTTACACCAACCGTCTCTTGCAAACACAATACGAAGATCAAAAAGTATAAATCTAATAGTAGGCAATAAAAATCCGTACTGTTGTGGTATTCAAACCAAATTTTAAGAGAATTGTTTACAATGTGACAATGATATATGTTACATACACAAGTTTCAACTCAAACTGTTTCTAAAATGAAGGCCATTTTGCCACACCTTGCGATGCAAGCACTGTCACAGAAGCATTTCTATATAACAGCCGGCCAAGATGGAGAACCAACTCAACCTGCAACAAATCTGATTCGCATGCAGAGGCAAAAGAATATGTTTCTCCACCCAGATCATCAAGGGTGCCTGCTAAAAAACAGCATGAATGATCGATTTGCAAACAATGTTCGCAACATCCTTTCAGTACACGGCTCTCACCTCATCCATGTCAAATTGTGAGCACAGAAGAGAAGTGGAGCATGGAGATAGAGGGATTCTAAGCACCCATTATTTCCCATTAGCCAAACAAACCACCTGTCCCTGATTCCCCTTGCTGCAACTCCCTCCGACGTTGCTCTTCCAGAGGATCTGGACTCTTCATAATCCTTCGCATACGCCTGACAATTACATAATCAACATATGATTCGTCTTTCCTTCAATCCAAACTAATAGCTAAATATAGTTATAGTTCAGGCTTTTTCTGAAAGATAAAGTTAATATACCTGTCTTGGGCATGTTGAGCAGGAAAAGTAGGCATAAAATCCTTAGACTTGGGAAGAGGAACTTCACGGAACCACTCATGGTTAAGAGCAGCTTCAGCTGTTATCCGCTGCAAAATTACCAAAGGCCACCTTCATAATCAGCTTCACTAAAAAAATAGACAAACTAGAGCAATGATGCAATTCTTCATAAATGTTTACGAACTTTAATTTTCAATCACCTTCTCGGGGTCATAAGTTAGAAACTTGTTCAACAAGTCAAATCCCGAATCAGATAGAACTGGTGAACCGGTAAAAGATGTAGCAGGGAATTTCCTACGCAACAAATTATACCTGAAAAAAACAAATCACTGATTAATAGAAACGTGATACATTTGTTGTACAACTGAAACTGTCGCCAATGGAGGCCAGAAAGCAAGACCAGAATCACCCAAAGCTGGAAGCCTGGGAAAACAGCGGCAAAAATAAGAAAACATGAATTTCATAGACAGCTAACTTCAACATTGAATTAATCAAAAATGAATACTTACTGGTGCTTGACAAAGTTCACCTTGACTCCAGGAAGCTTTGAGAACCCAGACCAAATTGTCTCATTCGGTGTGCCAAGTGTTCTGAAGATCTGCAGTGACATGGAAAGCCAATAGAAAACCAATAAGACCAAAAATTCATGCACAACAACAAATATTTTTAGATATTTTCTGGCAGCAGCAGTAATTATTGACGGTGAGACAAAGCTACCTAATTTATTTTACCTTATCAAGCTGATCAAACTCTGTTTTCCCATTGAAAAGTGGTTCCTTTGATAACAGTTCAGCCATAATACAACCCAGTGACCACATATCAATCGCTGTTGAATATTGTTTTCCTCCCAACAAAAGTTCGGGTGCCCTGTTAAAAAGAAGTCCCAAATTACATGATTTCTCTCTAGAGAATAAGATAACCACATATCAGACTGAACATATAGAATAAATTGAACACTTACAGAAGTCTAACATGACCAACTATAACAGGTGGACAAGTGTTAAAAGATGAAATCAGCAAAATACAGTATTGAGAAATATGTGCAGTAAGATGAAGAAAGCACCAGTAATTGCTCTGATAAGTTACATAATTTAACGAAAAACAATGACAAAGATCAAGTGACAAAATTACAGCTTGAAAAGTTGTGCGCCTTAAACACAACTTGCAAAACAACAAGGTTTCTTCCATGACTAAGGGCTAGGCAATAAAAATGGCACAGAAACACTAAATGTATCAGCTGATGCTAGACATAATCAACCAAGTAGCACCAAGGCACAAGCAGACAAATGTGAGCAGAATAAGCAAAGCCGTAAAATCAATTAAAAATTAAGAAGATTAAAATTAGGCCTGAAGACGCAACGAGACAAACAATCATCTAGATCACAACTGCAATTATGAAAAACAGAAGAGAATCAAAAAAGTGCAGTTAGAGTGCAGCTCACCTGTACCATAGAGTAACCACCAAATGAGTGTATGGTTTCAATGGGATACCATATTGACGAGCCAACCCAAAATCACAGATCTTCAACTCACCCCGATTATTTAAAAGCAGATTTGACGTCTTTAAGTCGCGATGAAGCACCCAGTTATCATGAAGATATTTGACACCCTCCAATAGCTGAAGCATTAAGCATTTAACTTCACTCTGACTGTAAGGCTGTTTCATTGTCTCCATTAGTCCCTTAAGATCATGTTCCATGTATTCCATTACCATAAAAATACTATCAAGATTGCTCCCAACTACAACTTCCTTGACATCAACAATTGAAGGGTGATGAAAAGAAAGAAGTATATTTATTTCCCTCAAAGAAGTCAGAGGGAAACCTTCTCTCTCTTTCTCCATCTTGACCTTTTTCAGTGCAACAATTTCTCCTGTTTTTTTGTCTCTTGCTCTGTAAACAACCCCATAAGTGCCTTCATCTATCTTGTTCAGTCTCTCAAACTCGTCAACACTTCTACACCCCTGAAGCATGTTTACGCTTCTTTGTGGAGGGACTGCAGGCTCCGGTGTATCATGAGAACCACGTTCATCCTCAGTATCTGTATCTGAGTCACTAACACTAGTACCACTGTTATTGTGTTCCTCATCTATCTCCATGTAGTTATTCTGGTCCAAATCATCGTCATGGTAATCATCTCTACTGGAAGATCTAACACGGAGACCTCCTTCATCAGATTCAGATGACCTCGCCCTAGTTCCCTCAGAACTTTCTCTCTTAAGCTCTGCAATCTCAGGACTCGGTGATTTACTCCGCACCCTCTTTTCAACTGAGTCAGAAAGGGGCATAAGCTTCCTCCTTTTAGGCCTTTGTTCATCATCTAAGATCTCACCTTCATCGGCAGGAGAATTGGCATCATCTGCCCATCGAGAGGCTGATATATTCCGTGCTGTTACATTATCTTCATCTTCTAATTGCCCTGCCTCATGGTAGTTACTCCAGAGCTGCTCTTGAGGTGGAGAAAAAGATAAACCTACTGGGGATTCAGATGCAGCAGACACGTTCAATCCAGAGGCCTCATTAGGCTTAACCGAATGTTCTGAGCTCTGAAGCTTACTATTTTTTGTGGGAGATATTTTTACATGACCTTCCGGAATAAGGTTGGGTGACAGCTGGTAGGACTTGGGGGGCGGAAGGGGAGGGAGAGCAGTAGTTGGTGGGACACTTCTGCTCTTAGATGAATTGCTCACTTCATTATCATCTCTATCCCAAACAATTGGAGAAAACTTCCTCTTCTTACTTTCTAAAGGAGACTGAGTCCCATTTTCTAACTTCAAAGCTTCATTATCTTTAACCTGCGATCTGGAATCAATAGCCTCATCAGACCCACTTTCACTCGACAATTCACCAGGCTCTCGGTCCACAGTCCTAACTGAAAATCCACACCGCCTTGGACCACCGCCACCGCCTCCACTGCTGCCTGAATCACTCCTACTCGAAGTAGAGTGGTAATCACCATTCATTACTTCCCTCTCTTTAATATCCCTCTGCCTAACCCTAACCCTATCTCTCAAGTCCCGTCCACGTCCACGAACCTGATTCAGCTCATAGCCACGATCACCATTCCTAATTCGATAATACTCTCCCTTTGGATAAGCAAAATCCCTCCTTGAAACATCAAAATCAGACTCATGGTCCCTCGTGTCATTATCACGATAACCTCCATGCTTTCCTGCCGCCATATATATCTGAATCTAACGCTCTAACTCCCCGAGCAAAAGATTAAAAAGAAACCCTAAAATTACTTAACTAATTAAGCCTAAACACTAAAAATACCAAATCAGAACTTCAAATCAATTTTTTTTTTCCTTTTTTTAATAATTTTCGAACGCAAATTTCAGAAAAGACGATGCGACACCCTAGATTAAACCAAACACAGATCTGATAACAGTATGACAAATAAACAGGTGAAACAGTTTGCACCTATTCAAGTATCATCCCTTTTCGTGCAGTGAAACTCGAATTTTAAACAGAGATAGAGGGGAAGCGAGAGCGAAACCCTAGAAGTCGAATACGAACTACGCTATAAAAATGAATCAAAAGCCCTAGAAACTGTAAATAATTCTTTCGTGCTCTCTCATACGAGATTGAGTTTGAAAGGGCTTACCGATGATGAAGCGATACGATTGGAGAGAGAGAAAGAGGCGGCGACGCTGCTTCTTTAGAGAGAGACTCCCAAATTCGCCAGTATGAAACCAAAGAAGCGAAGTCGCGACCGCAAAGCCTATTTTAGATGGTTTTGTGCCCGATAAATGATGGCCCTCGATTTTAATATTTGTTTAATTAGATATTGAAATTACGAAAACCTCCCCTGTTTTCTCGATATATCATTTGTTACCCCTTTTTGCTTCATAATTATGATTGAGCATATGGGCCATGGGAGCAATGGCCGCCCAAACTTTTCAAAACCCCTTATAGGCCACGGGACTTCAATTGGGCCTTACTTGGGTTTATTTTCCTAAGCCCAATGGTGTTATAATATACATATATTTAGTACAAAGACATAATATTATAGTATTATTTTACAATTTATGGATCTATTCCTTAGCAATAGCATGAATTGAAAGAGCTTGTTTTAATCAAGTTTTCATGAATATATATGCATTTATTTATTTATACATATTTGTTGCCTAACTAATTAATTTCACTGAATTCGTATAAATATTTGTTTTTGAATGCCTAATCAATTTGTGTCGGTGAAACAATTATGTACATAAAATATGAGCATGAACTATGTGATATTTGTTTTTGGATGATATGATTTCGCATAAAACTTTGTCACCTGTTAAGAATTTAAATCTAACATCAACATGAGTTTAAAATTATCTATTAATATTTAAAGTCAAGTCTTGTAATTTTGACGATTAACGTAAAACTTTGTCATTCATTAATATCAACATGAATTTAAAATCAAATCGGTATACAATTGACGTAATAATCAATCAGCATACGGTTGATGTAATTACTAACGTGGACGCGTTTTGAGGCACCTTTGACAACAATTCTGATGGAACAATTCACATATCATAATATGACATGATTGGAATTCCTGCGTGAGTCTCCAAGCATTGTTTGTTGCATCTATCAACAGCCATAGCCATGAGTAGAATGTACTTTTTGAAAGGGATAACACCTAAATGAACAATCAATTTCACTATGTATCTGTCCACAAGTTATGTGTTTAACCTATGCGAGTACCAACGATAGGGACTCGGCATGGAATAAGTCCAGCTACTGTTCCTACATATTCATCAATGACCATGGACCATCACTTGTGTCATGAAACTACACGGAACGTCGTCACCGAAGCGTATTATTTCCAAATAAATTTATGTTATGTTTGGGAAAATCAAAGGCGCTAATTCAGTGTTATACAATATTACATGATTTATTAAAGGATAATGATTTGAAATTCAAAAATAAGACATTTTTGATTGATTTATGTTTGTGGGATCAACATGACATTAGTCTTTATTCACATAAAATTAGTCATCCGACTATTAGATTCTTTTTCATCACTCTTTACACGTTTAGATTAGTAAGAGAATTATTATATTAGTAATGTTACTTCTTTAAAGAAGTGAATTTTGATAGAAATAAATAAGTTATTTTCTTGTGACTTGAGAAATAATAGAGTTGCTTATATGAACTAATTCTTATTACTTCTCTAAGTAGGGTATGAATTTTTTTTTTTTATTTAAGTTGTTGACCTTTTGGCGGTGAAAGTTGTATTTAATTAACTCCACAACACATATGCAAAGCTATATTATAAATCTTGTCTCTTATGCTTAATGAAAATTTCACCCACATAAACTAAAGAAAAGGTTGCAGAAACTAGTGAACAAGTGAAACTAACATGAAATTTGTATGGAATTGGCAATGCACAAGGGTTCAGAGGGGGTTTATGTGAAGGTGGATTTAAAATACAAACCAAATTGGGGACCCACTGATAACCATAGTAGTATTTAGATGGTCAATGAGTGGTGGGCACTGTAGTAGGGATGAGCAGTTCCCAAATCCAGTAAGTAATGGGACATTCAATGGTCCGTTCTATAAAACGAATGTACCATTCCAGTGACGCAGACGAAAACAGACTCACAGTCTCAGCCTATCTTAGCCACGTGAAACCCTCAGAAACCCAGACGAGCCAGATAGCCAATAGCCAGCAATCAAAGAGGGCCGACACGGACAATTATATGATGACGCGCGTTCACTCTAACGGATACTATGCCCATAAGTAAACTAAAAGGACAACCGTATTTCAAAACTCCTCTCTCTCTCTCTCTCTCTCTCTCTCTATCTGTCACTATTAGTATTATTATTATTTAGAAAAGTGAATTGTCATCAATTATTTTTAATTGATTACTTATACAATAAATAAAAAGTAGAATCCATCCATTCCTACGTATTTTATTTAAATAATCAATAAAAATTATTCAATTAAGTGTAATTTTTATATATATCATTACACACGTCTGTAAATGTGTGAATAATTTGTTTACTAAGCTATATGATTCACAAATGATAAAGAATCGAGTGGAACTAAATCGTTAAATTTGGAACAAGTCGAACCACGCACAAGGTACTTGTGGGCCCTTAAGCCGAACTGACCAACCAATGAAGGTGGGTTCACAATGTCTTTGTGAGCTTTTAATTGTTTTGGTTTTGATTGTAAATTATTTTTTGTTTTTTAAAAGTATTATTATCAAGAGAGTTTTGTGATTACAAAAGGTACATTTTGCATTTAATCACTCAATTTAGATATTTTTTTAATATTTTTTAAAAATTAAATAAATTATTTAGTACATATATCAATCAAATGATTAAATTTGAAGAGTTTACTCTTAGTAGCACTATTTAAACCGTTTTAACTCACAATGCATAAATATTGATACATAAATACTTAACTATTTGAAAAGGATAATATTATACCGTCAAATTTTCATAATAAATTTTAGTTACGATAGATCATACACTTCAGCGAAATTTGACCAAATTTCAACCAAAGTAAAGGTTAAATCTTACCAACTCAAATGATTTTCTTCTAAGGTAATTTTAATTTGTCCTATTCTTTATAATGACCATTTTAAGGGCTAGACCATGTCAAGAAACCTGAAAGATTTTCTCTCTCTCTCTCTCTCTCTCTCTATATATATATATATATATCACCTATATATATATATATATATATATATATATATATATATACACACACACACTAGCATATATTATTTGATCCACATGGGGAGCAGAGCAGAGCCTGCTACAATATATTTATGTGGGTGTCACTGAATGAAACTCTTCCCAAGATTCCATAGTGAGTGAAGGTAATAAAGTCCATCACTTCCAATGTAAAGACTATTTTATAGACACAGCAATTATTTTTTAACCATTTTTGCCATCTGTTGTTACATTTAACCATGCAAATGGAAAATATTTTACCTAGTTATATACTTTAATGTCCAATGGATCTGATTTCATCTTTCTAAACTCTGCCAATCTCAAAAATTCATGCTTTCAAGGTTTTGTTCTCTGCACATTTTGCTTTTCTCCTTCAGCAAAAGCAGTACCCAGTTGGGGTTTGTGTTGTTAGTTACTCACTCACTGTGATACATTTATGTGACTCTCTGTCCAGTTTCTTTGGTAGGGTATGAATATTTATGGTGTTTTGGTCTGTTCTGCTTTAGATCTCAAGTGCACATGGCATATATAATGCATTCACAAGATTGTTTTTGGGTTTTAGTTCTCTCTTAATTTCATTTTTTGTTATTGTGGGTGTTGAAGTTTTAACCTTTCAAGGTTTGCTATTATTACAAACAACAATTGGGTTCATTGTTAATAGTGCCTAGCTTGTGTTTGATGATATTTGTCTGAGATAACATTTATAGCAGTTTTGCTAGAGTCACTTGGAAAAGCACATTGATTGTTTACTCAATTTAGTGAGTGGGTTTTAATGCATAGAATTCATGAGAGTGACATTTTTTTTAAAATCCTTCAGACACTTCATCTTAGGCTTTGAAGCTTCCAGTTTACATTTATTTGTTTTAATTATATGGTTCTCTTTGCAAAATCACATCATAGATTGTGTTGCATAAAAGGAATCAGTGTTGGAATTTATACTCAAGTTGTAGATCTATGTGTGCACTCAGTTAGCAACTCATATTTCAACTATATGATTGTGTCTCATTGATTTACTTGGGATCTACATTGTGTAACTGAGATAGGCACTACTAGGGTGTTCATCTTCAAGAAAGTGGGCTAAAGGGCTTTTTCTTTAGAATTTATTTACAGTTGTAGTGAGTGTGTTTGTAAATGTGATTGAAAGAGAGAGAGAGAAAGAGACAGATCTATATGTTGTGCACCCACAAGGTCTTTGAGCTGTCTGTACTAGATTAGAGAGGAGGCAAAAATGAGGTCCATAGAGGATAAGGGGTGTTTGAACTATGGACCAGCACAGGAGATTTCAACAAGTAGTGCCATTAGCTTTGAGTTTCACAAGGAAAATGGAACAAACCGCACCTCTCATCATCGAACAGCCTTAGGCAAACCGACCCCATCAAAGTGGGACGATGCACAAAAGTGGCTAGTTAACTTGTCAAGGGGAGGGGAGAGGACCCAATCCAATGCCAAGCCACGAAACTCAAATGCCGATGACAGGAGATTGATAGCCCCGGTCCCAAAGAAGGAGGACTACTCGAGTGGCGAAGAGGAAAATGGATGCTCTGGCTCTGCAAGTAGAATTCAGTATGGAGTGGAGACAAAGAAGGTTGATTGCCAAGATCCAATCTGGCGAATCAATAAGACTTCGGAACTTCCCACTTCAGCTGTTCGATCAATTTGTGTGAGGGACATGGGGACAGAGATGACTCCAATTGCAAGCCAAGAGCCTTCACGAACTGCTACCCCGATTAGAGCCACAACACCAGCAGCTCGTAGCCCCATTTCCTCGGGGTCCTCCACTCCGGTAAGGTTTCAGCATGGGTTGCATACTCTCGAAAGCTCTCAGCCCGGTCTGACCTTTCCAGAGAGCGGAGGTGAGGCTGGCAGGGGCAGTGGTGGGACCAGGCAATTTAGCCGAGACGGGGAAGAATCCAATGCTAGCAGAATAGCTGAGAACAAGAACTCGGAACAAGATAGAAAGCCAAGTCCTCTGGAAACCCGAGCACTGGCTTGGGATGAAGCTGAACGCGCCAAATACATGGCCAGGTGATACGTTAGTACTCTTCTATCTGGCCATTAAGTAGTTGTACCCAGTTATGCATCAATCTTTATTGTTTTCTGCTACTCATCTCTTAAAATATATGTAAAGGCCAGCTTCTACACACTGTCATTAGATGCTACAGGTCTTAAATATTTTAGTGCACTGATGTGTATATATATGAAATTGTGTATTTACAGGTATAAACGCGAAGAGGTGAAAATACAAGCATGGGAAAATCATGAGAAGAGGAAAGCTGAAATGGAAATGAAGAGAATGGAGGTATTTAGACCCCATTCTGTATTTGCGGATCAATTTGTGTATATATATATATATATTTGGATTCAGCACACTGTTTCTCATATGACTAATTATTGCAGTTTTCTTTATGTTCTGATTAAGAATACTTGCAGCATAAATTCTCCTGTGAACTTACTAGCAATATAATTACTTCTTTTATTCTTCACAATATCTTACGAGTCCTGTGAGTTGGGCTGTATTCAGTGAATGATAGTAGGTAGATGTATTGACCTTACTTGCCCAATAAATTGTAATCTTTGAAAAACATTGTTGGGGGTATACATGGTCAGGCACTCACATGTATGCAGGGTCTTAATTTGCTTGTGAAGCAACTTGAAGGAAAATTGGCTTCTAGGGGGCACTATGTTTACTATGTGTTTATGCTTGGAGATAAGGAGAATCACTCACTGTCAACTTAATGAGAAATACTTGCCATTAATGGGTTGAAATTGGTTTTCAAAATGAAAAGATATAAATAATGATTCTCAGACACTCAAACCATATATTGTTCAATGTCTTGAACAAATTTGTGTTTATTCAGCTTCTAAATCCTCGTATGTAGGTGAAGGCTGAGAGATTGAAATCTCGGGCGCAAGAGAGATTGTCTAACAAACTTGCTGCAACAAGGAGAATAGCTGAGGAGAAGCGTGCAAACGCGGAGGCTAAGCTAAATGAGAAGGCTGTTAGAACATCTGAAAGGGCAGATTATATAAGGAGGACAGGTCACCTGCCCTCTTCTTTCTCCTCCTTCAAGTTGCCCTCTTCCTTTTGCTGGTAGCATTTCTGCAGTGTATTCACTTGTATTATCTACTGGTGTAATTTTTGTTGGCATGCCATGTCTTTATTTTTCTTCAAATTTGAACTTGTGGATTCATTATGAGTTATTTGATTACGTTAATTGTTGGAAATATGCATTCATGGGATCATAATTCCTTTGAATAAAAATTTGTTTAGCCCATATTAAGCAAACTCTCTTGATGATGATGATTATAGGTTTAACATGAAAACCCAATGTCATGTTCTTGTTCACACTTATATAATTATATATATAGAAGCTAGTATTTCTGTCTTCCATTGATAGCAAACACATGATACTTAAGATGGGATTGATCAAATATTATTTAAATTCATGAGTTACAAGGATTTAATATTTGGAAGCTACTCATGAATTTAAATCATATTTAAATTTTAGTTGAATATTATGACATTTCTATTTCATTTTAATTTATTTATTTTATTTATTTATTTTTTTTTTTTACCTTAACTTATTGCCCTTCAATAATTTATGCCAACATCGCGGGCGACTTCATTGTAGGGTTACGGCATGCGGGGCCATTTCATTGTATTTGTACCCGTCTAGTGCAATTATTTACGTGCATTCCTATACACTCAGATAGTACTGAGTTGAATATTATGGCATTTGGAGATGCAAACAAAAACCATCAATTTTATGTAGCCATCGGTTTCATTTACCAGTACTAGTCTTACATTTAATATTGTTTGGTAAGTAATAATAATAAATAATTAAAAAAGGTACTTTGTTAGTGGAAGAGTTTTTGCCCTATAAGCTTTTTGGATGTAAAGGTGAAAATTTATTTTTTTTAAAAAAGTCTATTTATGGCAAAAGTATATTTATGAAAAGTACTTTACATATTCCATCCCACACAATATTTGATCAACGACACTTAAACTCTACATTGAAAATAGAAAGGAAAAAAAAATGTCTATTACAAGTTAAAGCCAAACATGCACTATTAATGAGATTCTCCTTGCTTGTGCAGTCTTCACCATTCCTGTATGAAGCAGAATCTTCAAAATTTGAAAGTGAAGCAAGAATTTGTACCCTCTACCCTCAAAGGATGCTTACTAAATGGCTAATTAATTATGAGACAATTGTAGAAACAAACATTGTTTGAAAATTCTTGTGGCATTCAACTTCAGTATATGTTATCTTCCACTTCTGTAACAAACTTTTCTCCAGGAGCTAATATTACCCCTGCAACATCATTTTCCATATTGGCAGTAGAAAGCTCGCAGATTTTCATCAGGTGTTTCTTTTTCTAAGACAAAGCTTGGAAAACATGACTTGGAGCTGCAGAGAAAATTGATGTGGTGAATTGTTGCTCTCTGTTCATGTCATAACCGTAACTTTTCATATTGGCTTTCCGGCAGATGAGCCTTTGTTTGCTCAGCTGAGCCTTAAGTAAACACAAAATAATGTAGAGGGACTGGAGCTTCTCACGCTTTTTTGCACTGTTTCTCGCGTAGGAAGGAACATCATAATGAATGCTAGTGGCCCTAAAAGTCCAGCCTTACATAACAGGGCCCTGCAACTGAGAACTGCCTGAACTCTTCAGCAGCCTCGTACCTTCAGAAACCTTTAGTGTGTTTTGTAGAGAGGAAGGAAGGCGGAGAAAAAAAATGGGGAAGGAGGGAGAAGGCTTCTACTGTTTGGTGAAGGGAATAGGGAAAGGGAAATGGTCAAATTACTCGATAACCATTCCATTCCATTCCTTATTTCCTTCCTACTCAACCAAATCGAATGAGGACAAGACTCCTTTGACCACGTATACCTGTTCCATTCCTCCCACCTTTCTTTTCGTCCAATTTTCCATCTTCATACCAAACAGAGCATCAAATTGGTATTGTCATTACAGAGATGCATTTGAGGACCTCCAGTGTCACCACCATTTATTTGTAGGCTATATAACCGACACCACGTTGACCCATCACTTAATGGTCTTCAAGCCTTTGCCCAATTTCAGTGAAAGTGCAAGAGAATTTTCAAGAGTGAGAAGAGTTGAAATTCCCAAGTCCAAATATCTAGAAGAGTTGTAGCTCCAAGTCCAAGTAAGGTGTATGTAAAGAATCTCCTTAGAACAGCTGTTAAAAGACAAACTTGAACCAATCTCTCAGATTGGAGCTTACTATAACAGCTTCAATACCCCTTTGTTGCAACCAAAAAAACCAAAAAGAGTTGCATTCTTGTTCTTACTTTTTCTTCTCTTCTTCCTGAGAGAGAAAAAAAAGATGGAAAATAGCATATGGAACAAATAACCTTGGCCATTTTTTTCACATTAACCACTTAAGTTAACGCTTGATTAGCATGCCCACCAGGAGCAAAACAGAAGAAGCATTTCGCTGTTAATAGATAGCACAGCTTTTAGCTCCGGTCAAAAGATTTATGAACCTGCAAGTGTTGTTTGACAGTTCTTGACGAGGGTGGGAGATAGGTCCAGCAGCTATTAACTAATACAAACCAACCACACATTGCAAAGTCGTATAGATGTCCTCTGTTCTGGGATGTGTTTTATCAAAAGAATAGAACTGATGAACTTCGTTATCAACCTCAATCCAACTGCAACCAGGGATCTTATGAGCATTCTGCTCCTTCAACATCTTCCTTGTCTTCCGGGCCTCATCCCAATTCCCTAACTCCCCATAAACATTTGCCAGCATTATACCATAACCACCATTATTTGGATCCATCTCAATCAGTTTTTTGGCCGCAAATTCTGCCAAATCTGTACGGCCATGAATCTTACATCCATTAAGCAAAGAGCCCCAAACAACCTCATCAGGTGGGATCCTCATTCCCCTCACGACTTCCATGGCTTCTTCAAATCTTCCTGCTCGACCAAGAAGATCTATTAAGCACCCATAATGCTCGATCTGAGGCTCAATGAGATAGTCCCTGATCATCAAATCAAAATAATAACGGCCTTGTTCAACCAACCCTCCATGGGTACAAGCATTCAACAAGCCGACAAAGGTAACTCCATCTGGTTTTACATCATGCCCAGACTGCATCATTTCCTCAAAGACACCAATTGCACTCTCGCTTTGGCCATGGAGAGCAAAGCAATTGATCATGGAATTCCATGATGTCAAGTTTCTATTTGGAATCTTGTCAAAAATCCTTCTTGCTTCTTTCAAGCTCCCACATTTTCCGTACATATCTACAAGAGCATTCGAGATAAATTTATCGTGACCAATACCGTTTCTATAAATATAACCATGGATGCATTTACCAAGCTGGAGCATGCCAGTGTGTCCGCAGGCTGAGAGTGCACAGACAACAGTAACCTGATTTGGCCTAATGTTCCGGTTCGGGCCCTCTTCTGCAACAATGACCATTCTCCTAAAAAACGAAATTGCTTCAGTGAATAGCCCATTCTGAGTGCACCCAGCAATAACAGCATTCCAAGACGGAACGTCTCTCTCAGGCATTTTTTCAAACAGCACTACAGCATTCCCCATCTTCCCAAGTCGGGTATACCCACAAACCATTGCAGTCCAGGACACAACATTCCTCTCAGACATTTCATCGAACAACTGTCTCGCGGTCCCGAGATCAGAACAAAACCTCGAGTACGAATCCACAAGAGCTGTTTGCACAACTGGGTATCGTCCAAAACCGGATTTCAGAATCTGGGTATGCACCAATTCGATGCCTTGAGATTGCAGAACTTCGGGGTAAGACTTCAAGACATGAGGATAGATGAAATGGTTGGGCCGAGGACGTCCCCTTCGAACCATATCGCGGTACAAGAGAAGGGACGAGCAGTGATCGGGTTGGGAAGTATAGGCAGTGATCATGGCGGTGTAAAGGTAGATATTGGGGGAATTGAGATGACTGAAGATGAAACGCGCGTATTGGAGGTTGGAGAGGGAGAGAGTGCAGAAGCGAACGAGCTTGAACGCCAAGAACTGGGTTTGGCCATGGCCGAGGGTTGTGAGAAAGGCTTGGAGTTGCTTGAGATGGTTGAGGTGACTGCATTTGTCAAGAATTGCTAGGACATGTTGGCTTAGAATCGGGTTGTCCAGACCAGCGCCAATCATATTCTGTAGGGGTAGGCCTCTCTTTTCTTTCCGGCCCTGTGCTTTGATTTCATTTCACAACAGGAGTAAGGAACTCCTTGTTTTTAATGGGTTGACCACACCGCCTAAAACCTACTTTTGTTTCAATCATTTGAAAAATTATTCATGGTTCGAACCATTATTGGTTTTGAGTCTTTTACCATTAACTAGTGTATGCAAATTAAAAAGCTCAAAATTGATATATTTATTTGGTAAAAGTTTCTAAAGACAGAACAGAAGCCTTTTTTTGTCAATGACAAAAAATAAAAAATAAAAAATAATAATGGTTTAAAAACTAAACAATTGCTGTCATGAAATAGTAATTTTTTGTCCGACTCCATAACACTAAATAAATTTTGATGTAAGAATAATTTATTTTAAAAAAGTAAGTGCAAAATAAACAAAATAAAGAGAGAGATGAAGGAAAGAAAGAGGGTTACATTAGATTAAAGTATAATACTAATTAATGCTTCAATCATATGGTTTCCACTTTTTAGGATGGAGACCACGGTAATACAGTAATCATTAACAAAAAATGCACATTCCAAAGCAAATTTCTCAATATTTTCAAGAACACAAATATAGCGCTCTTTCTTTCAGTTTATCGCAGGTGATAAAAAAAATTAAAATATTTTGTTAGATCAGCGGACCTTTGAGGTTGCAGTCGTACAAATAATCATGTTTAACAGGCCATAACAAAGCCAGATGCTTCCAAAGATGAACATTGAACCAGAATAAATTATGGCATTTTTAGCAACAGTGCTATTTGAGTGATAACAAATATGAATAAGCGAGAGATTGAATACACACTTCTTCAGCACCACAAGAAAAGAATCCACACCTCTAAGTGAGGACTAGAACCGAAACAAATGACTAACAAGAATATGGCGATTGGAGCAAACACGAACATCCAACGCCTCTCACTATTACCATCCTAATAAAAATTAAGACTTTACAATGATTATGTCACTAATAATAGGACAGTTGTGTTTCATACAAATATATCTGAACCAGCAAAAACCAATTGGCAATCATCCAAACAGCCCCCAAATGTAAATTAAAGCACTTGGCGTCCTCTCCTCCAAATGGGATGGAGGGAGCACACAGAGAGTTTCACGGCAGGTCCACCAGCATGCTCTGAATGGAAAGACTTTCACATTATTGTGCAATTGCACTTGGACTCCAGCTTTGGAGGCTTCATACCGTCACCCTTATTTGGAATCCCAACAATACGAGTTGTAGACTCGTTAGTCTTGTCATCATTTTCAGTGTCGTCAAGAGGCCCAAGAGGGGGTTTTGTATCTATTTCAACCCGCCTCTGCACTGACTTTTGGGATTTTTGGGACTTGGAAGCACGTCTGCCAGCATTTCTGCCCCTTGATTCTTTTCTCTCTGAATTGGATTTTCCCACTATTGTAACTGTTGGTCGGGATCCTTCTAGTGGGACTAAGTTTTCCTTTTCCATTGCTATGGAAACAGCCTCATAGGCCAGATTGTGAATGATAGAGCTGCAGAAGAGTATAGTATCTGTAGCTTCGTCCAGTGTTAGGCTTCTGGCCTTAGTCCCTCCTTGGCCTCCTAACATTATGGTTGATTCCTCTGTCATGGCAAAGTTAATTATGAACATACTCATACGAACTCAAAGACAGGTTTTATCAGACATAATTTAAGATACTGGGAGTGAATCATCACAAAATAAAAAAAACTTGAGAAAGAAACAACAAATGACAGATGATTCAATTCTTCCATTTTTCCTTTTCTTCTTTTTGGTGGGTAAGGGAAAGAGGTAATTTGACCACTGATGATTAGTTTCATGTCACCAGCTGGAAAAGAAGCTCCTCTAGGCCAGCAATTCAAGTACAAGTTCGACATCAAGTAAATAAACATCATTTAATCTATCTTAATCCTCACGTATGGAATATGGAGGAAATAAGAAAAATAAGGAAGATCTCAAGCATGTCAAGATAAGCCCCAATTTTCTTGAGAAACCTTGCAGTTGTAGCAGGAGAGAGCAATATTCCTCAAAAGGAAGAGAAATTTAACACAGAACAACTACCAGATTACTACCTTAATTACCTTTTTGTACTTTATATTTTTGGGAATCAATCTAGATAGTGTTATAGGTCATAATGTGAAAGTTAGAAGACAAAACTTTCTTAGAACTATTCATCACCACCTCTTAAAGGAGGAACAAATTTGTTTCAAGACAGCAAAAGAAAGCAGAAACATCAAAAATCACATTATGACAGATACAGCAATTAAAAACATAAAGAACCACATACACAAAAACCAGACTAACCAAGCAAGTTCAAAGCAGGCAGTACTTGCTTAGTATCCTTCTCTCCCCCCCCCCACCCACAAGTTATAGTATCCATTTATATACCATCTAAAAACTTTCTAAGGGCACATGTTCATGTTGGACAAATGTCAAAAGTGCAACTCGAACGAGTTGAGCGGTTTGAAGAGTCAACTTTAGAATAAAATCCTCAACCCAAACCTGGGTCCAACCAAACGAGACCAACCGAAGAGCCCATTTTTTCTAAAGCTGGGCTTAGGCTCATATTGGTTGGGTTAGACTCAGGTTTGGTAGGATTGGCTCGGGTCAAGTTCAAGTCACACAATGATTAATATTATTTCAATACTAATATAATTACAAAATAATAATATATGTAGAGTATGGAGTGGGCTCTGTTTACGCTAAAATTCTACCCAAACCCAAATCGAGGTTTGGTAAGCAACAAAAGACATCCAAGTCCTTCCCAAAACCAGTTTGGTGACAGAACTGTCATCCTAGGCTCTGATATATCAGAGTATGCTAAGTCCAACTAAACCTAGAAGGAAGGTGAATAGGTCTTGTGTAACCCAAACTGTTATTATCCGATTTTCAATTTTTATATTATTAGTTCAAGTAAATGCAACAAACATAAATACGAAGAGCGAGAAGTGAGATGAACATAAAATAAAGATCAAGCACATACTAAAAACCAAATTGACATGGAAATCCCTGTAGGCAAAAAGCAACAGCCCCCTAAACTAGACATAATAATAAGATCCCCTATGAAAAGACATCGCAATTTCAAGTATTAAATTCTTAAACCTCTTGAAACCACCTACTTACCTCAGGTCTAGACTCATATCAGATGTTCTACCCTCCAGAGATTCTACCCTCAACTCTGTTGTTGTCAATCTACGAACCCTTAATCCAACTCACCACTCTTCTCATAACTGTTAATGGCACACCTAGGATCCAAAAAAATTCTAGTTTTGTCAAGGCTCAATTAGAGAGAGTGCCTCAACCAATCACATGCCAAGCCCCTTTAATCAGGCTCACGTAAGGCCCTCAATCTCACAATTTTTAGCAAGCTCTAGGCTCAAAAAAAGCAAGCAACTTAATGTTAGTCATTCATTCATATCATTTTCTTTTCCTTTTTTTAAATAAGTTTACATACTCTACTTCGCATTATATTGGATCATAAAATTTAATCTTTTCCTATATTTGACGGAATCCATGAGCTTATGGTTGACTATTTATATTAAGTACGTCAAGTGCTTGATTCTGAATTTTTATAACAACATTATATATGCTTTAAACCAACAAGATTATTGCTTTTAATTGATGCACATTTTTAATGATATATGATTTAGTTAATGCATGCATATGCATATGAAAAGAATTTCATGCACATGATTTACTTGATCCTATAAGTTTATGTCAAAAATCCATTTTTAAAGAATTTTAGATGAGTGGAGTTGCATATCTTGAATTGTTTCAAATGTACATTGATCTAGTTCAATTCATATACAAATTGAAAAGATATATATGAAGACTATTTTTCATGATATGTGTAAATTGATTTAGCCAATCCATTGAAATGATGTATTGAAAATTTCCTAGTTTGTGTTGCAAATTTTAATTTCTTTCTAAACTTATTTTCAATATTTATCTTTGTTACACTCGAGCCTTACTTCAATCAGGCTCTCGCCTTGCGCATAGTGCGCCTTGAGCCTTTAATAACTATGACTCATCCCATCATGTTCTGTTTGTTAGCAATCTAACCTTGTTGTTCATTTAGGTTTGATTTGGTGTTGAAACCATTGCTGCTCATCCAAGTATATTGATTCGACAATAAAAATAGTAACTCACCCAGCTAGTGCAGAATGTTAGATGATGCAAAGAAAAGCGCTCATAAATTGCCTAATGTTTTCTCTTTGAATCTATATGCATGTATATGTTAAGAGAACCCTAGTTGGGTTTATATAGCTTTCCTTTTTCAAAAGAATTAGGCTTTTAGCGTTAGAAACAGATAGGAAAACAATCTCGCAAGGTTCAATCCATCAAACTTCGACGGTGGAGGTTGAGCTATCCTTGGATCAATCCAACTCCCTGTTCCTTACCGAATCCTGTTTTCCATTTTAAAATAAATCTAATGCACCTTTATAGGGATCTAATATGAATAATATAAATGTACAAAATAAAGGCCTAGTTTATGAATTGGATATTCAAGAGATAAAGTAACATTTAGTTGAATATTCAAGCGATAAAGTAACATTTAGTTGGATATTCAAGAGGTAAAGTTACATTTTATCCTTATTGAGATCTTAATTTTTCATATCATCAAGGTCCATGAATCATAAGGTAGCTAAAATTTAAAAATAACTAAAGTAAAAGAAATATATTTTGTTACGAAATTTGACAAAACTAAGTCCTAGTGACCTAATAATTTTGCTCTGATTAGATACAAGTTGGTTTGACCAAGTTGCATTGCACCCCTAGTGTCAGAACCAACACTTCTTGGATGCTATTGAACATATTTGCAACATTTTGGATCTGTCTATAAGTTAAAAATGATTTTAATTGCAAACAAATAAACGACGCTAATTGAATATTAACCAAAATATAACTAATGAACTTTGTGCAATGGATAAAATTTTCTTCTAACATATAAAAATATTACTATAAAAATTTAAAGGTTTAAATTAAAGTTATAAAATGTTTTACCATATTAAAAAACAAAATATATAGAAAGGCTTATATTTAAAAAGTGGGTGCAATTTTTTTTTTTTTTTTCCTAGTTGGGATTTACACACACTGCCTCCACTGAGGTTCGAACCCCTGACCTCCCTTTGGGAAGTAGGAGCCTTGTACCGCTAGGCCACAGGCCTATTGGTAAAGTGGGTGCAATAGTAGTTGAGGATAGAGTCATCAAATTTTGTGTAAATATATATATATATATATATATATATATATATATATATATATATATATACATATAGAAATAGAAAAAAATGTATATCCTTATTATGACATCCATCTAACAAGGATGACTATAATTAAGTAATTTATAAGTCATAAATTTAATCTAATGCTTTGTTCGGTAGGAAAGAAAAAAATTGAATGGAAGGGAGAGAAGAAGGGATGGATAAGATATCCCTGGGAAAGAGATTGTGTACTTCCTTCTTTTTGTTCGATTGAATAGAAGAGAAGAAAATAAACTCATAATTTACTATGTTCATTAAGAAAGTTGGAAAGAGAGAGTTTTAATTGTTTTTACCATTATATCCAATAATATTTATAATATTGTAATTTATAGAAGATGGTACTGTAATTTAAAACTTGTATAATATAGGATAGTATTTAATTTAAAACTTCTATAATAGTCCACTTGTCTTCCCTCCTTTCTTCCGCCCATTTTTGGACGGATGAAAATTTGTTAAGGAGGAACGATGGATCATCCTTCTTATTCTCCTTTCTTTCCTTGTATCATCTCTACCAAACAAAGGAAGTTCGTTTCTTCCTTCCTATTTTCTCTCCACACCACTTCTTTCTTTCCTACCGGACACAGCATAAGTAATGTTTGATGTATACAATAGAATTATTACCTGTAAAAGAAATAGATTTAATTTTCATAACCATGACATATTTGTACCCTAATTTTTAAGACTTACAATATCAATGTGTCTGCCTCATGTTAGTATTGGTGGTGTATATCCAACAGATTGCTTTTAACCAATCCGAAATATGCAGCCAAACACCAGATGGGGAAACATATATTCTATCTGGTTATTAATTTTAAAGCTCTATTATAATGTAGTTAATTAATAAGTACTCATTTCAGGTCTAATTTAATGATGAGTGGCTCATATTAAGAAGCATTATCAGGTAGCCAAGCCCCTTGAGTGGCAAACAGTTGGTTATGGTCATTCAAATTGTCAATTTCCATTGCCATTGATAACTCAAAAAGGAAAACTTAACAAAGATTCAATGTACCTTACAAGGAAATCTATGACCACATAACAGAAAAATGAAGACACTAAGATATAATCCTCAACAGCATCATATGGTGCCATAAACATGTAAAGTTTAAATATGCAAAGCCATAGCTTGCTTTGGGAAAGGGTAAATTGTTTCAAAATTCTTAAAATGAAAACTCCAAAGAAATTCATGGGAATGCCAAATCGTTGTAGCAAAGCGGTTATGTTCTAGTATGGAATCTGAAAGAGTGAGATGAGGTTAAGAGTCAATTCTCATTATCGACAGATAACAAAACTTAAAATGATTTGAGAATAATTTAACAAAATGCACGGCCAAGGATGAGTGAAATGACTATCTAGGATTTATGTAGCCGGCCTCGTATGTTTGGGCAAAAGATTTGTTGTGTGGACTTGCGTCCAAACTGCTATAAACCATCAGGACAGCCTTCTGCTTGTGTATTACTATAATAGCATTAACAGTAAAACTACACGCCAACATTGAATTAACTAAGTTGATGAGATGAAAAGTTCATTAAATATTCTAAGTGCTTTCATGCATGTGTGTGTGTGTGTGTATCTATATATATATACATAAATCTCTTCTAGATAAATGGAACTACGGAGTACAGACTTCCTTAATCCGGAAAGATTTTAAAATTTAAATGCTATACCATATTAATTAAAATATTAATGATAGTGATTATAAAAACAAAACATCTCGGATATGGAGACATTAAATCAGATACGACCATAAGAGAGGAAAAATAAAAATAATAATAAATAGGTCAACAGCAATCATGATGCAAGATACACATACCAGGGATACCATGTGCATGATCTGAGGTATCAGACTCTGCAGCGGAAGCTGTTATATCCTTATCACATGCAGCAGGAATAGAAGGCTCCTGTATTTCATCTATGTGGCTTCCTGAATGTACAGAAACAACATCAGATTCTGAACCAGGAGAACTCGGATGACCATTCTCGATTTCTATTTCTGATATTGTGTCCAACGAGCTTTGAATGGGAATCTCTGTAACATGCACTCCGTCAATATTGGAATTTGACATTGCACTTTCCTCTACAATAGAAGATTCTGGAGTCATAGCTGATACTTCTATATCTGAGATACTCCTTGCATTGTTTGTGAAGTTGTCACTGTTCCTATTTGAAGCAGAGTCTTCAAAATTTGAAAATGCAGCAACCGAACTGTCCCTTAAATGAATATTTAGGTTATGTTTTGACAACTCTGAAGTAGAAACATCCATTGTTTGACAATCATTGTTGAATTCAACTTCAGTATATGTATCATCCACGCCTGTATATTCTGAAGCAAGGAATTTCTCTTGAGGAGCTACACATGTGAAGTCTACAGCATCATTTTCCACATGGCCAAAGGAAACCTCAAGTTTTTCTTCATGTGTGCTTGTTACAATACCTAAACCTTGGGAAGCATGATTCGAAGTACCAGATAAAGATGATCCAGTGCGTTGGTGCTTCGTGTTCATGTCATGCCTGTAAATTTCCATGTCAGATTTCCTGCTGCTTAACTGCCGCTGCACACGAATCTCTGTTTGTCTAGCTGAGCCCAAGTCCATGGACGATGATGCAGAGGAACTGCAGTGTCCAATGGAATTTCTTATGCTGCTTGCACCGTCTCTCGCATACGAAGGATCATCATAAGGAATGCTAGTGGCAGTAAAAGTCCTGCCCTGGACAGCAGGCCCCTTGCCACTGCTTGACCTCTTCAGCAGTATGGAAATGCCTGCACCTTCTGAAACATTAGCCTTTAACTTTGAATAGTCACTGAAGTGCTGCATATTTTTACCCGCAGCTTCACCATCAGGTAAGCTATTAACAACAGTTGGTCGGACTATCAATTGCTGGTTTGCAGGTTCCTGCTCACTTTCCTCCACTAGTGGCTGCACAAGAGAATCTTCTGACAAGAAATTCTTGCTTGGCTCACGGTAGGAAATTTGGTGTGCCTCAACAGTCTCTTCATGTTGAACTGCCCTTTCAGCATCCATATCGGTCACTTCTGGAAATTCAGATACAGCCATCAGGGGCTCCAATGCATCAAATGATTCATCTTCTTCTGAAATCTTCATAGAAAGACTAGGTGAATTTTCAGCACACTTTATGGACGTGGCAAGAGTGGTTGTGGTCAAAGGTACCTCTAACTTAATGCAGTCTGGGCAAAGGTTTAAGTCCAGTTCTGATAATTCACTGGCTTGATACCTACAAAGGCATTTAGAACAAAGTCGAATATCCTCACGGCTATTAACTTCTGATAAATCACCCTTGACATCCAAAGCTTCAAAAGTTGCAGTGACTGCCATAGTAGTATCATGGTGGCTAACGTTTCCAGAGCCAGCAAATTGAGAAGTAGCTGCAGAGCCTTCATTAAAGTCACAGTGCCGAGTGTTAGGTGATCCATCGTGGATTTCATGCCCAACATCTTCATTTACATCATCCACCGTATCAAATGCAAACACTTCATCCTGAACATCAGAATATGATGCCTTTCCAAATTCACTAGCCATATTATCCTGGTTTCGCTCACTGCCTTCGGTATCATGTGCACCAGTTGTACCTTGATCAGAACTTGTATTACTGCTAGTTGTGACTGAGGAGTTCCTAGATATCATAGCACGATGTGCAGCACTTGCTTTTCCAATGTAGAAGGTGGAACTGGGGACGCTAGATAAGAGTGGCCTGAACATATTCTGAGGACCTTTCCGGTGATCCTAAACAAAAAATGATTCAACAGCAAATCCTCCTTCAGAATTGGCTTAAAATGAATGTTGCATAAAAAAAATCTAACAGGAAAATAGGATATTTTGAACATTAAAAATAGGATACTATCTCTTTGAAATATTGTGTTGCGTTCCACTCCGTTGCCTCAATTAGGGAAAAGGCAATAAAGCTTTGAGACTTGATAACATTTCAGAGGTTCACAGTGGTCATTTGGCAATTGAAAAAAAATATATATACATTTGCAGAAATTTTACAATATACTTGTTTGATAAGAAGTGCCCAGTGTATGCCCCTCTACAGGGAGTGAAGGGAGGGAACGACTAGAGAGACCTAATATGTGACAGTCACATACAAAGTGATTGCTTTGAGACTATAACCCAAAACCTTATTATAGTCACTCTAAGCTATTACCATTTCACCACACCTTTGTATGTACTTGTCTTAGATAATTATACAATATGTTTAATTTGATGTCACACCACTTCATTTAGATTTCACATTCTAAACTTCTAATATATAATTTTTAAGGCTTCAGAATTTTCTCTATAATAGCAATTTTCCATTAATCATCCCAAATGTAATGGGGAAAAAAGGAATAATAATCAAGCTCCCCTAGTTTGAAGGGCAAAAATAACTCACATGCAATTCTAATCTTATGGAGAGTATAATTTAATCAGGAAAGCAAAAGTCTTCTTTTTTATTTAACATACTTTCCAAATAATATTATAAAAAAATTCCCTAAAATATGCTTACACTTGAATTTTCTCAAATTTAGTCCTAGCAAACAATAAAAACACAAGTTACCCCTACAAGGACTTGAACACTCTAACCCTTCTACTTTCGGAGTGAGAGAATATACCACTGGGCTACAACCCTTGGTCGACATATATCATATTGTATTGTGTATCACGTGTAACCTACCGTCTGTTATTAGACACGTTCAACATAGGATACTTGCTAGTGAATTAGTGATACACATCGATTTACTTGTAAAGCACACCATATCATCTGTATCATATCGTGTATCATAACATACTGATGACTATGGTTCAAAACAAGCCCGGTTAATAAATATCTTACTTATAAATACACAGAAAAATTAGAATTGTTGTTCAATTCAACTTAACTATTAACAAATAAGATGGAAAAAGTTCTTGAAAAAGACATATACAATGTAGACCAGAAGATGCACCAATTAGAAGAGGATTATTGGTTAAATGTAAGGTAAAAGGCAAAGAGGTAAAATTAACATGGAATGGAGTAGTTAAAAAGACCATAAGAAATTAGATATAACAAGCGATATGGCTTACAATAGAAAGGAATAGAAAAGGAAATTATGTGGCCGACCCCCTTCATTGGGACCAAGGCAAGGATGATGACGATGTTAACAAATTAGATGGAATAGATTGAAATACCCACTGTGGTTATGATACCAACACCTGGCAGCACCAGATACAAATAAAGGACTACTTAAAAATTAAATTAGCAACTAAAGGATTGAAGTTAGGTTGAACATGTTAGATAATAATTTGACCATCAGCCCAATTTTCCTTTGATGATGGTACCAATATGCTAGAAAGTAACATCTATCTCATCATTTTTACTGCATAGTGAATCTATATATATATATATATATATAATAAGGCTTAATATAATATTCCGGAGTTTGCTTTACTGGCCTGCAAATGACAAGAAGTCCCCCAATTTAAAGAGATTACCATAGTTGGTACCATTGAGGTGCCAGATCCAAGATGATATATATTTCCATTTTAGCATGATGTTTTTTTGGGCAATTTTTTCTGATAATTCATTTTAGCATCATGCTGTACAGGCCAAAAACTGAAATTGTTGAAAACTCTATCAAACTAAAGAAATTATGCATTTCAAAAGAATAAAAAATAATCGAAATGAGATATTCTTAACAATAATGAATTGCCGAAGATTAATAAAAATATGTTAGGGTGTATTTATATGTCCCCTTGAATGACCCTGTAAAAGGAAAATTCACCACCTAAAATGGGGCAATCCAGAAAAATAGGATACCTCACCATATTTATTGATATGCAAAGATTTTTAGGTGGTTTATGTAAAACCAAAGTTGATTGTTTTTTTTAACATCAAAAGTCAACGAACTGTCTTTTCCTTAGTGATTCCATTAGGATTTCTACTTAAAATGTCCTGTAAAATGGTGATGGGCCATCAAAATTTCATAAAATCCGTTCCCCCCAACCATCTCCCCCCCCCCACACACACACACAAACAAACAAACAAACAAAAAAACCTCAAATTATTGCCCATATTCAGCCTATGCAACAAAAAGTTAAACAGACAAATCAACTTTCTCTAATCAGTTGCAAGTCTATTGTTGCTCAAGTGTGTAAATCTAATAGTGGAAACAGTCACAGTCAAAATGAAACAAACAGTATGATACCATTTGTCGAAGAGCTGAGTCAAAGGATCTTTTTGGAGCAGAACTTGAGGACACTGTTCTGGTTGGCTTCTTGGAAAAGGCCGGAGCTCTATTATTTGGAAATGCACCTACTCTTCTTGAAGCTGAGCGATCTGAGCTACCCATAGGAATAGATTGTAAAGAGTCTACATCATCATCACCAGATGACGCAACAGAACCTTTACTGTGGGAGCTAAACCGGTCCCGATCATAACTATGTGATGAACTGATGCTTCTAGAAGCAGTTGGAGACATTGATTGTCGGCCAGATTTGGAGGATGAATCCCTACCATTTCGGGATGCTGGCGAGGAACCTCTCACATATGATGCCGGTCGATCAGCCAGTGAAGTACGCAGATTAGGAGGTGCATCCAAGGAAAAACCTGGAATATTTGACTGCCATGCCCTTATTTTTGGTGATGCAGAATTCCCTCGACTTGTCTTCACAGGGGAGGTACCCCTCACTCCAGATGAAGCCACAGTACCACTAGACCCTGTGCTCATCCTCCGAGGAGTTGGTGTAGAAGACCTCGGAGCAGGTGTTGGGGATTTACTTGGCATGGGAGATGGTCTCCGTGAAGGAGTGGCATGTCGTAAACTATGAGTAGGACTAGAATGAGGTGCTGAAGAAGACCTTCCCCTTGATTGGAAAGTACTACTCTCAGACCGAGGAGATGGGCTTAAGCGATTTGGACTTGCACTACCTCTACTACTTCTGTAACCCTTCTCCATCTGCAATTAGATACACATTAGTTGTCTTAATGTACAAAGGGAAAAGAAAAACATGACCAGGGCATAAAGGGACAAGTAAATGAACAGTATATATTTGTTCCTATGAAATAAATTATTGACCTACCGTGGAAGATCTTGAGATTGAAATGGGTTGACTTCGAGGTCTTCCCCTTGTTGCAAGATTAACCGGTGGTGTCTCATCATCCAAAGAAGGGAAGAGAGGGGTGTCGGGGGGAGTCAATAACCTTTATTTCAATAACACCAGTTGTTATATCAGGATCAAGAATAGTAAATTACAAACAGCTAAACAGTATCACAAAGAAGAAAGAATAAACTTTATATATCCAAGAATTGATAACCCCTCATTCACTCAATTGGCCCTATAAATTTTAGTTAATAAAGCGACTAGTTGCTAACACCATAAGTTCCATAATTCCAGCTTTGAGATGAGAAAGTTGAACTTATAATGCAGAAAAATGTATGATTTAAATTTTACATTGAACATTAAAAAAACCTTCTGAATGGAAATTATATTCTTTTCTGTTTGTTTTTTCTGTTTTTGGGCTTATTTTTTGAGAAACATTGAAGTTCATAATTGTATTAATATACAATGACAAAACAATGTAAAGTTCAAAGGATCATAAACAGAAGAAAATGACCCACCAGTCATAGTCATTCTTCTCTCCATCCCCATTAAGCAGGTCACTACTCTCTCCTCGAGCAGGGATGGAGATACCGAGCTTATAATCTGAAAAGTATCTCAATCTTGTAGCTGCAAAATTCAAATAAGAATCAAAGGTAATAACAAGGAATTGTCAGTCAAGAGGAACAATAAAAAATCCATCCTTAATAAAAAAAGGGAAGCTAAAAATCAAATTTCAAAGTGGGCTTAGTATCGAAAATTACCGAAAATGTCTTCAAAATCGTCATTTGACTGAAGCAAGAAATTGTCTCTTTCTTTGGTCTGCATCTCGTTGAACAGAGCTAGATCATCGGCTTTCTCTTTGAATAGTATTCCACCCTCAAGACTCTGCCCTCTCTTATGATTTTCTGCTCTAAGCTCCCTCCCGGGAGAGCATCTCATTACCGGAGAAGGAGACATCTCTGCCACCCTATTTCACCACACGCTAGTTATCACTCCAGCACCTCCATAAAACCATATTTGGAAAGCACCTCACAAAATCGACAAAACATAATCAAGCTACAGCCGTCAGCATAAAATAACCTGAGCTCTTCGACCACTCTTAAAATCAAACCAAGGTGTTGCTTGCATTGATATGGAGAAGAATATCAATTAATCCAATGCAATTCCACTTCTCCAGAGCACATGCCCATCCAATTATACTGTCACGACCCAATTACTGAAAACAAGCTCATCTCCCCATTGTCATAAAGAAAAGTGTCATCAAATCAACATAATTACAGTTCCGTAATGCCTAAAACCAATATGAAAATTGTGCCTTCTAAATTGACCCAAAACCCAATCCTTGTAATTGCACAAAGAAACAGTGAATGCTATCGTAATAACTGAAATCCCAGTACCCCTTCAAATGCGAAGGCATGACAACCACAGTGAACGCCAACAAACAACTTTTTCCATGATGACGTACAATTCAAGGCCCTCGAAGCATACTGCAACCCCAATAACCCTAGATTCTGTCAGAATGAGATCTCAACAGTGACGATTACGCAATAAAAAAACCTTAATTCGACTCAAATTCAACGAGAAGCTCTGTTAAGAGTTCGAATTACATGTACAGAATCGTCATTTGAAGAAAGTGGCAGCTCTTTGACTTACCGTCGGCGAAGTCAAATGCCTTCAAAAGCACAGTGAAAGCGGTCGTTAATCACGATTAAGATCTCAAATTACGATGAAAATTGAAGGCCAAACAACTCTGGAAGTAAATTAATGCTTACAGAAGTTGAATCAGAGACTTGGATCTGCCTGCATTCAATTCAGTGTCGGACAGATCGGGAATGTAGATATCGGTAGATCGATTTGCAGAAACCCTAAAAGAGCATTCTCTCTCATCAGTAAGAGTGTAGAGAGAGGAACTGGAATGAATGGAGAGCATCAGCAACGAACCTTTTGTTCAGATTTTTCTTCTTTCCTCCTCAGCAAGCTTTCGTTCTTTCTCAGTTTCTCTCTGCTCTGTGATATTTTTCTCTCTTTTTTTTTTTCTTTTTTTTAATTTCCTCTTTATCTCTCTGGTCAGTTGTCACTTTTTTTCCATTTTAGTTGGCTAATTTTTTTTAGTGACCCCTCAATCAAAAATAATAAAAAAATACATAAATAAACTGATTAAACGACCGTTACAAATTACAGCACGCACACAAAAAGAAAATAGTTCTCACATGATTTGATTCTATCAACGTTGATCGGTCACTTTGTAGTTATGGGTTCAAATCCTGTTACCTAAACAATATATATATATATAAAATATATATATATATATGAAAAATAATTAATTTTTTGACATCATAATTCATGCATATGCAATTTTTCCGTTCCATGAGGACTATTACAAATAGTAAAAGGACCAGTGAATAAATCTGCATTTGGATTTATACACACGTCAAAAAATTAAAAATTTTATCATCCACAATGATTTGAGAAAATGATTTAATTATATTCTCCATATATATTAATTAATTTTTAAAATTAATTTAAAATGATGTTGTATAAATTAAAAAATCATCATTATTATTCTTACCTTTATTTGTGTGAATAGATTCCACATATGGCGAAATAAATTATACTGACCACCCATAATTAAGTAAAAATATAGAAATCATTTTTCTAAATTAAAAAATGATGCTGCCCTTACATGTAAAGAATCTTTATTATTTTACACACATTTCAAAGACAAAAAATAATTTTAAAACATTTATTTTGTTTACATAATGGACCAATTTTGACAGTTAAGGAATTGTAAATTCACTTCATTATATAGGAGGTCAACTGTAACTAATATATCCGAAGGAAAAAATAAATAAATAAATAAATTCATATATACATTAATGTACAACGTGTGTGTGAGTTGGTTATGATTTGACTGTTTGATTAACTGGTTAAGATGATTGGACGAGAAGTACAGCTTTAGAATGTTTAGTTAGACCATGTTTTAATTTATAATTTAACAAACTTGAGCCTCTAATAATATTGTAAATTGCAATTAGACCCACTGTTAAGAAATTTAATCCTTGTCATCGTCTTGTTACTATTTTTTTATTTTTATTTTTACCCTTTTTGGACAATTTTACCTCATTCTTCTATACCATCATCAAACCTTGGGTCCACTAAATTCAATGAAAGAGAGTAATATTTGCATGTTGATAATTAACTGTGATGAGTAGTAGTAGTAGGACAAATAGAATTACAGTTGAGGGATTAACTGTGGTAGTTGGGCTTGCATGTTGATTTTTAAGATACAATTATGTAAAATACTACTTGAAGATGTCAAATGAGAACATTGAGGGAAGAAAGTGCTACTTACATACCTCAAAAGCAATATTGACAAACAAAAAAACAACAACGAAAATGTAAATACGAATACCAAAATAAATGTATACCAACAACCACAAGAAAAACAATATCTGAAAATTGTTACTTTGTCATATTTTTTTAATATTATTTACATAAAACGGGATTATACTGGGTATATGGCGTCATAATAAATGAAATGATATATTATATGTGTGGTTTGCAAGTGATTGCACCTTTCTGGAATTTGTAAATCATTTGAAAGTTCATAATTCTCTACTGCAAAAATAATACTCTAAATGATAACGAGTCACGTATAATATACATATATATATATATATATATTAGGATTCTACATTGATTAACTATTTATTAAATGCCTTTTCACTTAATTAGTTACATCCTAAGACACTTGTTTTTTTTTTCTTTTTCTTTTTTTAATAATATATACACACACATGCCTATATATTATAAAAAAAAAAAAAAAAAGTGTGGAGTATTTTTCAATTCAACCGTAAAATGGAAAGTTCACCCTTTTTTTTTTTTTTTTGGTTAGTTCACCCTTCCTCACCCACAAACTCCAAAACTCTAATAAAGTAGGGATTGAATCCCAAGTCCTGTTTGTTGGTCGCCTAATTACCACCTTAATTGGATCAACATGTCAAATAAAATTCACAATTTTTTTATTTTCGTATTTTTGATAGATAAGCATGCGAGATTTAGTAAATCACAACAATGAGAATTCACTATTTTTTAATGAAAATTAATAATAATCAACTACTTTAAATAGACAGCTAAGAATTAAAGTGACGAATGTACATGATCATGACTTTAGACTTTTAAAAATGCTGGGACAACTATTGCTTAATCTGAATACATCCAACAGCATTAATTAATTTACGGTAAAGGGATGATCATAGTTTGGTGACAAATAGTTTCTTTGTTTTTTTTGGGATCATTATGTTACGTGTTAGGTTAGTTGAAGAGAGAGGTTTGTCATGGCTTTTAAAGTATGGTTTTTATTTCTTTAAGTATGGGATTCAGTGAACATAATTTGTGAAACAATCTTGCTGAAGTACTGTTGTTGAAAATGGGCTACCTTTGTCCACTTGTGGAATGATATAATATTTATGTCATTTTAGTTGGTTGGTGGACAGGGGCAAAAAAGAAAAAGATGTGTCATAATGGATATAAGTTGGTGGGACTTTTCCGTGAAATGTTTAATTTCAACTACTTATTTAAATAAAATGATGAATATATATATATACAATTGTAGTGATTTTGTAAACAACAAGAGATACTGGTTATCACACTAGGTGATCTTGCGAATGGGTGCAAGAGGCACTACTAGTAGGTTATCACAATAGGCAATCCCGCACTGGGTGTGGGAGGGGATGTTCTTTATACGTGGGATTGTATATTTTAATTGGTACGAGACATTTTGAGATAAAATTTAATAATAAAATTATGCGGACTCGATTCAAAGTGAACAATATCACACCATATGGTAAACTAAGTTATCACACTAGGTAAGTTATAAGTGCACAATCTCACATTTGGGTATAAAGAGGGAGATGTTCTTTATATGTAAGGAGATAAAACTCAAGAACAAAATTATGCGGGTTTAATCCAAAACAAACAATATCACACCATTTGGTGGAATGAATCGTTACAAACAATATCAGAACCTGATCCAACAAAAAATGTGGCCAATGATGATTGAACTAAGGGTATACAATTCCACTTTGCCTACCTGTAAAAAAGGAATATCCTTTATATATATAATTGTACACTCTAATTAGCACGAAGTATTTTAAAGTAAAACACAAGAACAAAATTTTTGGGGCTTGAACTCAAAACAGTTATGCCAACACATCACTGCTCGGTGTAAAAAACACTTCCAACTACAAAGTTATGTGGATTGATGAAGAGTTAGTGGTCATTGTCCATCAAATGTTTAATTAATTTCAGCCGCTTGTTAAAAGAATGTGATAAATAATATAAAACTACAGAGCTATGTGGATTTGATGAAGATCTGTAGATTATCCAACTCTACATATGATGAGGTTGACAAAACATCCTACTTAAACCACAATGATTTGCTGATTTGGTGAACCTAATCATAGTTTTATGGTTGATCAATTTGTTAAGCTCTGATTTAGTTAGATAGAAAATAATAGATAATGAAGGAAATTATTTTTTTAACATTTAAAATTTTCTAATAACAGAAAAAGGAAAATTTTTGGAAAATAATTAAATTTTCATAGCCACCTAACTTTATCATAATTTTTTCTTGAAAGCATACATTAAAATTTTGGTTTCTTGAAAAAGCTGTGTAAAGCTTACAATTATACCTTTTTAATCTATCTAAAATCAAATGTGTTTCGCAGCCACATAACTTTATTGGAATTTCTTTCTTGAAAACATACATTAAATTTTTGATTTCAAGAAAAAGTTGCTTAAACTTACAATTATATATATACAGACATACATATATATATATATATAAACAATAAAATGTGTTTTATTTATAACTTCTAAAAGTACAGTACAATGGTCGGTATATCTCTCTCTCAATGTTTTAGAAAAATATTTATTTATGTTCATATATATATATAACCTTTATTATTTTGAAAAAAACTAAAAATATTTATTCAGAGAAAATGTACTTAGACTTGATACATTTGTTAATTAAAAAAGGATAATTTATGGAATAATAACATAATTGGGATGGACCAACAAAATTATGGGAGGAAAGGTGGCCTTTAATATCCACGAGATAAAAAATGTTATGGGGGAAACAATAATGAATTTTTTTATAATTGCGGTGGGAATAATTTTAAAATTTAAGAGGTATATAATACAAAGAATATATATATATATATCAAAATTAGTCGGGACAATTGCCCCCACCGACTTCCATACTGGTCCGTGCCTGTTCTCTGGCCAAACTACCATATAAATTTTTCAAAACTTCCTACATTAATTTTTAGGGTTAAAATAATAAAAATTTCACTATTTTTAAATTTTATCACAAAACACTTATGCTACGACAATTCTCATTCTATTGTTTGGTTGTAAATATGAAATACATAGGAATGAAATGATAAGAACTATTCTAGTGTTTGGTTGGACCAATTTAAAATTTAGAATGAAATAAATTTCAAATTGAATTCTCCAAAATATCCCTCTTAGTAATAAATAAATAAAATTAACAAAATGATATTCTTTTATATATATATATATATTTTAAATAAATAGTGGCAGTAGCGGTGGTCGAGGTGAAAAACGGTAATAGTGTAGGTGGTGGTGTTGGAAAGCGACGGTGGTGGCAATGGTAGAAAACGGTGGCAACGATGGTGGTGGAAGGCGGCAGTGAAAAGCAATGGCTGTAGTGCGGTGGTGATAGAAGGTGATGTGGTGTAAGTGACGATGGTGGAAGTCAATTGAGGTAACTGTGATAGTGGTGGAAAGCAATGGAGGTGGCGGTGGCAGTAGTGGAAAGTGGTGGTGGTGGAAGGCAGTGACGGTGGTGGAAGTGGTGGTGGTGACGGTGGCGGTAATGGTGAAAGGCAGCGGGGAAGGTGGTGGTAGCTGCGGTGGTGATGGTAATAATGGAAGGCGGTGACGGTGGTAGTGGTGGAAGGCGGTGGCGGTGAAAGGTAGTGGTAGTGGAAGGCAATAGCGATGGTGAAAGGTGATGGTGGTGGTGGTGGAAGGTGGTAGCGTTGGAATGCGGTGGCGGTGGAACTTTGGAAGGTAGTGGCAATGAAAGGCAATGGCGGTGGTGAAATGTGGTGGTGGTAATGGAAGGTGGTAGCGGTGGTGAAAAGGGGTGGTGGTGGTGGAAGGTAGTGGTAGTGGTGATGGTTGTGGTGAAAAGGGGTGGTGGAATTTGGTGACGGTGGTGGTGGTGGTGGTGGTGGTGGAAGAGGTAGGCGGTGGTAAAAATCGATGGCAGCGATGGTAAAAATCGATGACAGTGGTGGTGGTAGAAGGCGGTGGTAGTGATGGAAGTCAGTGGTGGTGAAAGGCGAAGGTGGTTACGGTGAAGATAATGGTAGTTTTTGGACTCCGAACACGAGAATTTTTTGGAACGTTGAATTTAAAAAAAAAAAAAAATTACTTGGCCATTCCATAGGTTTAATTGTGGAATGGATTTTCATTTAAATGGAATGACCATTCTCAATTTAAATTGCATACCAAACAAAGGAATGGACATTCCATTCCTGCACATCAAATACAACATTATACTTTAAAAAAGTGAAGGAATAATTTTTGTAATTTAGTTTTTAATTTAACATTAAATATTAAAGTTAAAATTTTCATTTCATAGCCTCGTTAAATTTTTTATTATTATTTTTAAATCTGAATTAAAAGTCTAAAATCTTTTATTTATTCATATTTATTATTATTATTATTATTTTTTATTTATCTAAAGTCTAAAATCTTTTTTGACCCTGCCAAAGGGTCTCTCCTCTCTTCTCTCTCTCTCTCCTTGAAACTGAACCCTTGCTCCTAGTCTGCACGTACGCTTTCACTCAAAAAAACTGCTCGAAAGTGGGGATGTTCTGATTCAATTAGTAGTCTCAATGTGGGCGGCTCTAAGATCGCGAGCTCTTTCTCTCTCATCACCATCTTCTTCCCCTGCTACTGTTCCACGATGGAAATTAGGGTTTTTAGAGGTCAATCGCACACTGTGTTCGTCCCTGTTCGAGAACAATACCGACAACAACAACATCAATAACAACAACAGCAATGGATTACTGAACTTGGAAGAGGTCGAGAAGATTCTCAGCGACGTCAAAGCAGACAACGTCAAAGTCATTCCCGTTCTGAAAAAGTGCGATTTGACCGATTTCATGGTGGTCGCTACCGGTCGATCAGCCTGGCATGTCCGAAACATCGCTCAAGCCCTAATTTACAAGGCAAGTTCTTCTCTTTCCTCACAACGAACAATGTATTTTATGGAATATATAAAAAAAAATTTGACTGTTTTTTATTTGAATTAGATTTGACAAGAATTAAAAAAAAAAAAAAAAAAAAAAAAAAAAAAACTAAAGCCCTAGAAGTGGTACTCTCTGTTGATTTAAATTTGTCGTTTGGTGAACAGGTTAAGCAAAAGCAGAAAGGAGCTAAGAGGATGTTGCTGCCCAGTGTGCAGGGGCAAAGGGGGCAAGAGGGAGGGAAGTGGATTGTCATTGACTCTGGTATGCTAGTATCTCCCTCTACAAAGTTAAGATTTTGGGTTATTTTGATGTGATTCGCTTAATGATTCAACATGCATTGTTCATATCAACCCATGATGGTATGGGCAAAGTTTAACATGTAAAGGGGTCGACTCTTCTTGGTGCTTTTTAATGGACATGTTTTACTTATGAAATAAATTGAATATTCCATGGCTAAATTTTTATTTTTTTATTTTTATTAATGTGACCTTGATGATTTTCTAAACCCGACATGCCTCCACTAACCACTTCAAGGGTAAAAGACCAATGAAGAAAACTTGCAGTGTCAATTAAACTACCTTGCCATGTACAAATGAGCTTGAGGTAATGTAGGTTGCTTCTAAGGTCAAGTTTTACTGGTCTAAGTAGTTCTTATGTAACAGAGTAAGGATATGGATCCATAATCTATGTACACTGACTCAAGTGCCTCGGTTGGGTGTCTATATGCATTTTGAAGTGTCAAATTTATTAAATTCCGAATTCTGAGGATACAATGGCTCAGTTTTCATATATATATATATATATATATATTACTGTTCTTCTTGAAGTAATAATGCAAAAAAGGGCTTTACTTAGTTTACTAGGCTTATTTAATAAGCATGAATTGTTGAAAATGCTAGCTATGCTCATGTTCAATTGTGGTTAATGAAGAAGCATATACACTTCTATGAATGTTTTGTCTTTGTGTCAAACACCGACGCTTCGTGAACACTCCTTGACACGTGTGCGACATCTCATGTGCACTTCCAAACGGGGTTAACACATTGGATTTGAAATGTCTTGTGAGAAAATAGAAGCAAGTTCTGTAGTAGTGAAATAGGCTAACACCACCACGTATAACCTTCCCATTTATAACCTTACCACGTATAACCTTTTTAACCAACACCACGTATAACATGCTTAACCTTACACCCATTTATGACCTATTTAACCAACAACATGTATAACTAGTTTAACTGACACTATGCTACCTTTTTGTGACCTATTTATGACTCCTGCATTTTCCTCCTATTTCTCGGCAACCAAACAAGTTAAAAAAAAAAAAAAAAAAAAAGATTCAATATTCAGAATCCCACTTACCACAGTATGTCTTGCATCTCATGCAGAATGAATCTTGGTAGCAAACTACTACTTTCCATCGTTCTCTCTTGTTTTACCTTGCTAAGAAAAAATAAAATGGAAGAAAAACAAGAATGAACAATCACAGGCTTGCTGTAAGCACCATATGCAAAATTTAGACCAAGAGATAAACACAACATGAATGCAAATCAGGCATATCTGAGATTGAAGAACTTTCTAATTCATGTAGTGATTGAAGAACTTTCTAATTCATGTATCAGTGAAATGTTAGTGGAGCTGACTATTGTTAATAAAATTATATTGTTTTTTAATTACAAATTCTAGTCATTAATTTATTTTCAATGCATGTGTTTTATATATATGAAAATGAATTTTTTATATTATTATGTAATTCTGAAAGATTTCTACACGCCAAATATTTCGATTGAAGTTCATAGCTAATAATTTTTTTTTTCCTTTTTGTATATGGTAGTATCTGCTCAGATTACAATATCAAATGCTTATTTGCTCTTATTAACTTTTCAACCTATTTTTGATGACTATCTTTGCTGAAGGCACAGTGATAGTTCACGCTCTTGATGAGAAAGCGAGAGAGTACTACAATTTGGAGAAGCTTTGGACCACTGAGACTTCAGATATAGAACACTCTCAGGTAAGTGTGATGGTTATTTTTATAGTGGATTTCTTGAGTTATGTTGTTTGCTTTGAGCTGTTTAATTTGTTTGGATCGGATATATTACGGGAAAATTTTAATAGTTATTGGGTTATCTAATATTTTACTTTCTGCACTTAGTAGTTGGTTCACTGCTTGAACTGCAAGATTACAGGCATGAAAAAAATATGGGGATATGAAAATTATTATTGTCTTTTAAATAAGGATTTGTGAATCCAATTCCAACTAATTGAGATTGAAAGCTTTATTGAGTTGATTTTTTAATCAAAAACTTTATATTTACTCTGTTGACTTTGAAGAAAGAAATTACTGGCATTTGAAAGAAATTACTAATAACCAAGAGTAGGGATTTTTGAAATCTATATAGAGTTGGACATTCACAACTCTTTTACGGCATGACCTAGTTTCTTATACAAGTTTTGAGTCATTTTAAATCAGAAGTGATGGTATTTGTGGGCTCATTTAGCCTTTTAGAGTCAATGCTTCGGTTAATAAGAAGCTGATATAGTTTTGGTTTTCTTTTATATTATAGGTATGGGCAGAGGTGATGACCCCATTGCTTTTATTTCATCTGATGGGCCTAAATGTGCCCATGAGTTTTTGTCCCTAATTAGATTTAGGTTATTCATACTATTCAAAGTTTTTGGTAATTTTATCTTATTCTTGCAGATATGGATTTTGTTCACCTAATCTTTTGACAAATTGCCCTAGATGTAACCTTAATTATATGTATTTAGGTTATACGATTTTGAAACATGCTATTAGGAGATCCTTTGAATGATAAAGCTGAAGAATCCTGCCCCGTTGTGTGTTTGTTGGAAAGGATCCAAGTCAGATCTATGTGTCTACTCTGTTCTGTTATCGTAATATGTTTCTTGTTAATCACATAATGTAGATGTTTTCCTTAAATTTACTTAACGACTAGCAGATATTAGATTTTGTTTTTTAAGTAGGCTTCCTGATCCTACATTTTAAATGCCATGGAACTTGGGGAAGGTGAAGAAAAACAATTTTTTCTAAACCGTACGGTTTTAGTTGTTGCAGCTTACTGCTCCTGCTATTTTGTTGCTATTACTGCTGTCATTACTACTGCTATATGTACTCCCAAGTTTTTGGTTTCTTCAAGTCTTTTCGTATCTTTTTCTGGAAGAAACTTGTTCGTCTTTATACGAGGGTCACATCCATCTTATTTTGTCCTAAATTGATATCTTTATTACGAATTCGAAGTCTAAATGACCCTTAAGTTTTCTAGAATTGACTATCCGCAAATATAGCGGGTTTTAATTGATTGGGGAACAACCATTAGGTTTAACTTTGATTGTTTGTTTTCCATCTTTTCGTAGTGATGGGGCATTCTTTCATCTTTGTACCTAAAACCATTGCAATATTTGTTTAACAAAATCTTCCTTTATACCTTTATTTTATTTTATTTTTTAAATTCAGGAGTATGAGAAAGCTTATGTGAAGGTGCGTCGCAAGAATAACTCCAAAAAAAAACCTGCGCAGAGAAGTGCTTAATATCCTGATTTCCCTGTGCAAAACCATGCTTCTTTATTCGAGTGAGTGCAGACATTCTCCATAAGTAGCTATCAAGTGAAAAAGCTCCAAGCATATTTATGAAGGAAGAACAGATTCTGAAGGAAATGCGGTTGGCCTGAATTATCGTCCTTCAGAATCGCTCAGTGTGATGGTGTTAAAAACATGTACATCTTATTGTTACGTTTTACCGTTTTGGAATTGAAATTATGGACCATGTTAGTTTAAATTTTGAAATAATTATATTGCGTTTACAAATGTGGAATCAATGCTGTGTAATTAGATTGCAAGAAAATTAACTAGTGTAATTGAGGTACCCTTACCAAAAGAAAAATCTAACAAATTTTGGATAATCACCATAAGCTCAAAGGGATGGTCCAAAAACAAATTTAGGTAACAGATTTGCTCAAAACGTACTTTAGAAAACTAGAAAAACAGGAATGAAATAGAATGAATATTTTTATTTTATTTTATTTGGTATGATATTTAGAGTGGGAATGATCATTCTCTTTGAAATAAAAATTCGTATAAATTTTGAAAATCTTGACCCCCGCTTTTGGCCACTGTCCCCACCAATGAGAATCACTAATCACTATTTCATGACTATTTCATTCCCTTTCCAATCATATTCCATTTCGTTTATGTGTACCACCTAAGTCTTCACGTAAATGATTCACCATTATTCAAACTTTTGAGTATTTTATAAAAACATCATAGATGATAACTATAAAATCATATAATTTTTGGTGATTTGATCGTGAACTAGTGGTCACCGAGTCACCGAAGCAGAGATCGGTTAAATTTGTTATAGTGGTCACTGACTCACCGAATTAGAAGTCGGTCGCTATAGTGGTCACCGACTCACCGATTCAGACTAAATTCGTTACTTACGTCTTAAAAGAGTCCCTTATAAATACTAAAACGAGGAGTTTCTATTTACATATAAATAAACCATTTCTAGTATAAAATCTCAAACTAGAGTAGATATAGAAATTTCCATTCTCTCTCTCTCCCTCCGGCTATACATATATTAATCCGACCTCACATAGGAGTTTCTATTTTGTAGGAACAGCTTCTAATTGTCAGACTCAACCTCTATTACTAGTTTGTAATATATATATATATAAAAGCCTTCTTTAGCTTTTTTATCTCATCGTTGAGAATTGGAGCTGGAGGTTTCCTCTCTCTCTCAGCCATCATCAATTATGGGTCCTTTCTTCCGGTCTTGTACGAGTCGTGGTCCAAATACAGATAAAAGAAGAAGAAGAAGAAGAAGAATGAACAGCACATCAAGAAACAGAATTATACGGAAAAAAACAAAACCAGTTGGAAAGGTCTCAACCTCCGCCATTAAATCTCTTTCTGGTGATTTGTTGATTGAAGTTCTTGCTAGAGTCGGCTCCTCTTCCTTCACAGACCTCTACAACGCCAAATTATGGTAATTTAATCAATTTAACCCTACCTTCTTATATATTCTCTTCTTCTACATGTGTGTGTATATATATATATATATGTTCATAATTATGACTTGGTGTTGGTGGGTAATTAATGGGTTTTTTTTGTTCTCTTGATTTATGTTTTGGTTTATAGTTGCAGAGAATTTCTTGGAGCAGTAGAGGATGATTATATTCTTCAAAAGGTGTCTATGGACAAATTCCCAATAATTCCATGGACTCCAAGCGATGAATTGATTTCCTTCCTCAATCGTTGCAAGGAGAGTGGAAATCCAGAGGCTCTATACAGGCAAGGATTGGTAATTTTCCTATTTTCCCCAATACTCTGTTTCTTGTTGCCTTGCCTAACTAATTAGAACAAAATTGAATGGTTGATCATATGTGGCTGTCTATGGTTGACTATTGACCCACTTTTAATTGCGTGGGGTGGCATTGCATGTGCTTACCATGTTATATGAGTGCATACATACATGTGTTGTTGTCTCTTTCATCCCTCTGTTTCTTGTTTTATTTTTAGACGTTTTCCTACTTTCTAACATGCAATCATGCTACTCTCTCACTAAACTCAAGGATGCTTGCACGTCCATACATTTTCATTCATATAGAAATTATTACATGATTTGTACTGTATGTTCTCGTAAGTTATAAAAATGTAGTATCGAAAACAGCATGGTAGACTTTTTATATTCTTTTACTTTTTTAAAAATGATATGGTGATCTTATAAACAAAACGAGAGTTAAAATAAGCATCTTATGATATGGTGATCTTATAAACAAAACTATAGTTAAAATAAGATATGTAAGATATGTACAATTATTCATAAATCACACATATTCATTTACAGATTATTATAGACGCATGAATTTATGGACTCATATTTATCATTTAATGAAGTTAAAGTCATATTGTTTTAAAAAGATGAAATTAATCAAAATACTAACGTGGACATGAAAAATTATTATTCATTGTCCACATTACCCTTACTCTTTTCAGATACCACTTTTGTCTTGGGTCATAGAAGTACCACTTTTCTACACATATGTTACACTTTTTGTACACGCATGTACCATAGAAGTACCACTTTTATACACGTGTTTCACCTTTTTGTGCACGCATGTACAATTTTTTTGTGTAACACAAAAAGTGATACATAATGACGTGATCTGCAAAAAAAATGGCACATGCATGTAAAAAAATTATACCTCTATGCCCAAGACAAAAGTGGTATCCAAAAACACTAAGGGTAGTTTGGGCAAATGAATAATATTTTTTCATGTCCATGTAAGCATTTTGGTCAACTTTATTTTTTTAAAATATCATGACTTTGACTCCATTAAATGGTAAATATGGGTTCATAACACCATGTATTCGTAATAATTCCTATCATTTAAACCTCCAATGAAACAACGTTGTAAGGAGTCTCTGGAGGGAAAAATCCCCCTCTAGTAAGAGTTGTCCATGTCATCACAATACAAATTTGTACTTTCAATCCTTAGATAAATTGCGAAAGCCCAGCTCGGGTCGAGCCCAAATTAAGTCTCCATCTAGCCTAAGATCGCTAATACTAAACTTCTGACCTGTCAATCTAGCTCAGCTAGCCCAACATGTATTCAGCCCAAACTATTTGGGAGTGAATGAGTTCTACTAAGCAAAGGATCCTGCATAAAAGGAAAGTTCTACAAAAGAAAGAATTTGACATGGAGATAACTATAAAAGGCAGTAACTTAATTCGTAAAGAATTGTATATGGAATTAATTGGAGGACAAGTAAGGCGAGTCTTACCATAATTCAACCACATTTTTGTATATAAATAGAGGCTTAGTCCTCCAATAAAGATCATCGAGCAATATACGTTTTTTCCTGAGTAATTCTTGTTACTTATTATTTTATTTTGAATGAGTTGTATTATTTCTTTTAAATTCTTTTATAGAGAGAAATTTTGCACCAACACTTTGGCGCCGTCTGTAAGAAATGTATAGAAATATACTCCCACAAATGATTTAAATCGTTTATGTTAATACGATCTGGAATGTCAATCGGAGGATCTGCAGCAGCAGCTGATCAACAGATGGAGTTAATGCAAAAGATGCAAGAAGAGTTCTTGCACCAATTTGAAACGCTTCGTTAAGCGAACGAGGCCAGCACGGCCCAGATTGCGATGCTTCAACAGAGGAACGATGCCTTCCAAGTAGCTATGGCCCAGATAACACCGCAGCCACTATCGGGTGATGCGATAGCACTTCCCCCAACCAAAACATTCCTCCGGTTAATGAACCTCAAGCCAATGAGGTTCGGCCTAATGAGGTTCGACCTAATGACGTTCAACAAGAACAGAGGACAAAAACCAAAGTGGTCGTTTCGGTCAATCATCCTCGTCGCACGCAGGACGAACAGGCCGAGTCCAGCCGTAAGCTTATAGTATGGTCTAATGGTATTCCGGATAGCGCTGGCGTCCAGAAGGCCTTTAGTGAGAAGAGGTTCCTAGGGATTCAGATACCTGCTGAGATGGCCAGAGAGCATAAGAACTCTCTAGTGAGGACTCCATTCACCGATAATATATACCTTGTTGACAGACCTAAGAAATTCACCATACCTTCTTTCACTCAGTTTGATGGTATAGGAGATCATTCTCGTCACCTCGACCACTATTTACAGAAGATGGCTCTGGACAATCACAACGATGCGTTCATGTGTAAGGTTTTCCTTACTAGTTTAACGGGAGCCGCATTGGAATGGTTCGAGAATAGGCCACACAAATCCATCCCGAACTACGAAACTTTGTGCACTATGTTCTTAGCACAATTTTGCGGAAACAAGAAGCAGAAGAAGACCATCTCTAGTTTCTTCACCATAAGGCAAAAGAGAGGAGAAACGCTACAGGATTTCCTGTCCAAATTTAACACGGAGGCCTCAGAAATAGCAGATTGTCATCCTGAGACTGCTATAGAAACATTCAAGATCGGTATGATTCAGGGAACCAAGTTCCATACCTCTCTAGTCAAATATTCCCTTCCGGAAATGCAAATTCTCAATGTTAGGGCACAAATCTACATTCGACTTGAGGAGAATGTAGCCCACCTAGCGCAACATACCACCCTCGTTACGGTAGAAAATAAGTCTTGGGAGAAAGTTTCGAGTTCAAAAAGTCAAAAAAGCCAACATACCTCAGCACCAGTCGCCCAGGTACCCGAGAAGAGGCAAAGGACAGAGAGAGGTTCACACTTCTTCGTACAACCCTGGCTCGGCTATTCCAAGAAAACAAGATGAGGTTCACAACCCCTCAACCAATGAGGTAACCCTTGGAGCAAAGAGACAAAAGCAAACACTGTGCTTACCATAGGGATTACGGGCATACAACCAATGATTGCATATCTCTTAGGCGACAAGTGGAAAACATGATAACCAGAGGTGAGTCAGTAAACTACCTCACACCAAAAGAGCATATGAAGCATAGGGAGGTCAATCCTTGGAAAGTAGAGAGAAATCAAGTGAAGGTTATTCATGCGATACATGGGAGGTCAGAAGACGACCAAGAGTCGGAAGAGGTGTACCGATCCAGATTGAGGGCAGCCCACAAGCTATTCTCAGTAAACACTATCGCTTTGGGCAGTATCAGTATTGGGTTAGGCGATAGAGATTTATCCAGAGTTCAGCTTCTCATGAGGATCCACTAGTCATCAGTCTTCTGGTGGCAAATTGCATAATCAAAAGAGCTTTGGTGGACCCGAGTAGTAGTGCCAATATTATCACAAAGGCGGTTTTCGAGCAATTAGAGATCCCATCATTATCAATTCGGCCCACCTCTAGTCTTTTAATGGGATTCGATGGCACAAAGGTGGACCCCATTGGGGTAATTGATTTATCTGTCACTGTGGCAAAAAGAATATTGAAGGAAAACTTTATTATGACAGAAATCCATCTTTCTTATAATCTCATTATGGGAAGAGGTTGGATCCACCGAATGAATGGGGTCCCGTTTACCCTTCATCAGGTGATGCGATGCTTGTCTCCAGACGGTAAAAAGGTTATTAATCTTTGGGGAGATTAGGTCGCTACCAAATAATGTTACATGTTAACATTGAATGAGGCAAAGAAGAGAATCAAGCAGTCCCAGCCAAATGCAACCCCCGAAAGTACTTCCAAATAGCAATTACAGAGCCATCTGCCCAAGTATTTGAAAACAGAGGAGGAAGCCAACCTACAAAGCCGACCGAGGAATCTCTCAAAACCCTCAAAGTTGTCCTAGGCAATCTTCAGAAAATCACTTATATGGGCTCTTCCCCTACAGCTGAAGAGAAGCAAGTGTTAATTGATGTCATCCGAAGGAATGCAGATGCGTTTGTTTGGGATCATTTGGACATGCTTGGGATCAGCCCTTCGATCTCATGCCATAGCCTGAAGGTGGATCCGGCATTCAAGCCAGTTAAGTAAAGACACAGCAGGTTCGCCCCTGAGTGCAATCGAATCATTGTTGAAGAGGTAAGCAAGTTACTCCAAACAGGTTTCATCCGAGAAGTGCATTGCCCACAATGGCTCTCGAACGTGGTGGTAGTTCAAAAGAAGAATGGAAAATAGAGAGTTTGCATGGATTTTACCAATCTCAACAAGGCTTGCCCCAAGGATAGCTTTCCATTACCCAAGATAGATCAGATGGTTAATGCTACCACTGGGTATGAGAGACTCACGTTCCTCGATGCGTATTCTGGATATAATCAAATCCCTATAAATCTAGAGGATGAAGAAAAATCATCTTCATTACAGAGAAGGGCACTTATTGTTACAGAGTCATGCCCTTTGGGCTTGAGAATGCTGGGGCAACTTACCAACGTCTCGTTAACAAGATCTTCGAAGAGATGCTGGGAAAAATGGTTGAAGCCTACATTGATGACATGGTGGTTAAAAGTGTGAAGAATGAGGATCATCCCAAGCACCTCCAGGAAGTTTTTGACACTTTGAGAAAGTATAACATGAAGCTGAATCCTTCCAAGTGTTCTTTTGCGGTCTCTTCAGGGCAATTCTTTAGCCATATTGTCAACAAGAGAGGAATAGAAGTAAGCCCGGCTCAGGCTCAAACCCTCATACAGAATCAGGAACCAAAGACTCGCAGGGAAGTACAGGTTCTAACAGGCTGAATCGCAACTCTTAGCCGTTTCATATCCCGATTGTTAGATAAGTGTAAGCCATTTTTCGATACCATAAGATCAAAGAGCAAGGATGTATGGGGACCACAACAGTAGGAAGCACTAAATTGGTTAAAGTATTACATTGCTAAACCACCAATATTGTCTATTCCGAAGCCTGGTGAAGCCCTCATCATGCACTTAGCAATCTCCAGCATAGCTACTAGTGCCGTACTAATCCGAGAAAAAGGAAATAATCAGTATCCAATCTTTTACACAAGTAAGACGATGACAGATGCTGAAACAAGATATAACAAAGCAGAGAAGATCATACTAGCCTTGGTGTACGCAAAGAGAAAGTTTCGGCACTATTTTGAGTCTCATAGCATCGTGGTCCTTACCAACTACCCCATGCGAGCTATTCTTTCCAAGCCAGATTTATCTGGAAGAATTACTAAATGGGCAATTGAACTCAGTTCTTTCGATATAACATATGAACCAAAGGTGTCACACAAAGGATAGGTGTCAGTCGATTTTCTCTTGGAATATGAAGATAAACCCGATGAACCTGAGCTTCCTGAACCACATTGGGAGCTTCGGGTAGATGGTTCTTCGAATTTAACTAGTGCAGGGGCTGGAATCGTTATTACAACCCCTGAAGGCACTAATCTGCAACAGTTAATCCGTTTGAATTTTTCTGCCACTAACAGCGAAGCCGAGAATGAGGTCTTGCTTGCCGGGCTTCGGTTGGCAAACCAGTTCCAGGTAAAGTGTCTAAAGGTTTTTAGTGACTCTTAACTTGTTATGCATCAGGTGACAGACAAGTATCAGCCCAAAGAAAAAAGAATGAAAGTATACAAGGAGGCTGTAGAGAGTGCTACACGTGGATTCGACCAAATCGAATTCCACCAAGTACTTCGAGAAGAAAACTCTGAAGCTGATCAACTGGCCACAGTGGTGTCTTCCACAGACGAAGATTTGGTCCAAATAGTGCCAATCGACACCCTGGATGAACCTAGTATGAGTCCTCGGCAGGAGATAATGGTGATCCCAGACATTCCACGAGAACCATGCTGGATGGACTCGTTGGAAGCTTACCTCAAGTATGGTACTCTTCCGAACCAGAAAGTCGAGGCAAGGAAAGTAAGGTTCGCCGCAGCCAAATACTCTATTATTAATAATTAACTGTACAAGAAATTATTCTCAAGTCCTTACCTGAAGTGCTTAAGCCCCATTAAGGCCCTCACAGTATTAAAACAAATTCATGACGGAGATTGTGACAACAACTCCGGCGGCAGATCCCTTGCACATAGGGTTCTAACTCAAAGTTACTTCTAGCCATACCTGGCTCGGAACGCTGAAGAGTATGCCAGGAGATGCGACAAGTGCCAGCGACATGGCCCAATAAAGCATTAGCCTGCTGAAGATTTGAACGCAATGGAAAATCCATTGCCATTTGCACAGTGGGGGATCGATATGGTCGGACCCTTACCCAAAGCTGTGGAGCAAAAGGAATACTTGTTATTAGCCACGGATTACTTCACAAAGTGGGTAGAGGCAGAGGCTTACTCAAGCGTAACTCATGAGCAAGTAAAGAGTTTTTTATGGAACAATATAATATGCCAATTCGGAGTGCCGAAGGTCATCATGATTGACAACGGTAAGAACTTGGACAACAGAAGTACAAGAAAGTTCTTTGCCGAGTATGGAATTAGGCAGAAGTTGGCCGCGGTTAGTTATCCATAAGGGAATGGGCAGGCTGAAATAACTAACCGAACCATCTTCAACTGTCTGAAGAAAAAGTTAGAACAGCTCAAATCAAAGTGGTATGAGAATCTAAATATATCCACAACAGACTAAATAAAGTTTTTTCGAAAAAACTTGCTAGTGGGGGAAGACCTCCTAAGGATAAGAGACATTGGGCTAAAGAGAGAGCTAAAAAAGGATCTTTTGTGTATAATCCTGCATAATCTCGAATGTTATTAGTTTTAGTAGGTAGACCAATTAATACAATGCAAACAAAAGTTCTTAGATCATGAAAATATGGAATATCTTATAGTGCTTGCATATCCATCATTTAAGTCTCCAACAATTATTTCAATCATTACATATTCGATTTGACCTATGACGAATATCCAAAGAGTCACATCCAATGATGTGCATGACTCGGTATGCTTAACTCACCTAATATTTACCCAATCTGTAGAGAACCACAGTAGGCTATTTTTTAATGCTTACTAAGATGCGTACCTAATTTTCATTTCCCAATTGAATGCAATAGATTGAATATTTTAGTTCGTTGAGAACTGAATCGGGACTGGAAAACTTGAAGAGAGCAGCAGAGAAAGGGCACGCAGAAGCATCTTATGTGTATGGTATAATCTTGGTGTGCAAAGGGGGTCAATTGAAACAAGAAGGGTTGAAGCTTCTAAATGCAGTGATGAGTTCAAAGCCAAGAAGTTTGAGGATCAAAGAGTGTCGGAAAAGAATAAAGTCCATTATTTGGAGGATGTGGATACACAATAAAATGGTCCCACAACAACTTCCTTCTTGCAATGGGACAGACTGCTGCATCAGAAAGATCCAAACATGGGATTCGGAGGATGAAGAAATTGATGCCATGAATTGTGATGCTTGTAGATGGAATCATGAAGTTATTTCCTTCTGTAATATGCTACATCGTGGATGATGCGTGTTTTTATTTTGGAGGATAAAAAAAAAAAATTATGTTTAAATTTTTATTATTTTTTAAACATTAAATTAGACTTTATTATTATTTTTTTTTTATTAATCTCGAATGTTTTGAGCTTTTCTTGTGTGAGATTTTTTTTTTTTTTTTTTTGTATATAAATTAATTGTTTTTAGGAAAATGATATTATAAAGAAATTATCTATTGCAAAGCCACGTCATCTTTACTCATCAATATGTGTCCACGAGATATTATCGTAGAGTTATTTTTTAAAATGATTAATTCAAAATATACAAATTTTTCACTATTTTTATTGTGTCGGTAACAACTTAAGTGATTATCATAGGTCAAATCGAATATGTAATGATTGAAATAATTGTTGGAGAATCGAATGATGGATATGCAAGCATAATAAGATGTTATTAGTTTTAGTAGGTAGACCAATTAATACAATGCAAGCAAAAGTTCCTAGATTCATGAAAATATAGAACATCTTATCATGTTTGCATATCCATCATTTGAGTCTCCAACAATGTGATACCCCCTAATTTTGAAACATGGGTTGATCAAGTCCGCGCACAAAATCAGGGAAATATCAAAACAATTAAAGTATTTAAACCAGCACAGAGTACAAAATGAAATAAAAAGGATAAATAATTCGCTGAAGGAAAATCTATTAAATAAAAATTGCATTAATAATTCTCCAACAATTACAATTCGGAAATCCCGTAACTCAAGGACCCCTTAAAACATTATCCAATAATTCAATACTACTTAAAAGTACACAAGATGAATAGATAAATGACAGTCTCCCAGATGCGGATACTCAATCTCGAGACTGGAACCTCTAATAACCTAAAAAAAATAAATCGTGAGTTAAACCCTACGAGCAAGTTCTCTCTACCAATCCTCTTAAAACCAATAAACAAATCATCTAAACCAAAACCAACCCTAATAAAGTTTTAACTTAAATATATGATGATACACATAGATATAAACACTTATATATAATACAATACTCGTATCCATTAATAAGTACATTAAAATATTAAAACCATAACTTAATCAATGATTAATTAATAATCATACTCAAACCAATCCACCAATATAATTTTCTTACAACATAAACTCCACTCACCTTAATTCCGTCCTAAACCGTCATTTAATCATTTAAGTAACAAATTACAACTAAAGGAATAATATAATAAATCAAAAACCCAATAATAATTTTGATTATTTAAGTTACACATCCAAAATTTAAGCCTTGGCAAATCATCCATGTCTCCACCAATATCATTTTATTAATTTATATAAAATAATACACTAATCTGTAAGTACTAGACTATTCTAACCATAATCCAACCTATACATACACTAACCAAGATGAGATTTTAAGCATCTAACACATAATAATTTAATTATGCAATGACAATTCAACCATGCCATTAAAAATATATCTATTTATATATTAGCAATTCAACCATGCTTCCTTAAGTATATTTCTTTATACTTTTAAATAGCAATTCATCCATACTTCCCATTTATGAAATTTATTCATAAATCATAAGGCCATTTATTCAAACCTTTGGCAACTCATCCATGCCTACAATTCAACCATGTATTAACTTTAACTTAACTATAAGCTTAACCATTCATAGATTTCACATGCGTATTATCAGCATGTCCATACTTTAATAACCACTCTATTAATATTTTAAATCAACCACACCATCTACAATTCAAGATAATACCAAATAAGACTTATGACATTTAATAATCATAAATGATATATATATATACACATATATTTTATAATATATATATATGTATGAAACCTTCCATAATAATCCTGGATTATTTAAATCACACACACACACACACATATATCAAAAAGATGTATATACATACAACCTTCCATGCTTACCATCAACTAATTAAACCATATACATGTATATATATAAATAATTGTAGATATATTTATACACATGAACCTCCTTTCATAATAAAATTGTTACTTAATTGTTCCACGCAAATAAATGCTACTAAATATGTTACTAACACTTAATGGCTCTCTAAACCCTACGAATATCTCCACTAATGGCTGATTTCGACCCTGACAGGCTTAAAATTAACTCTGGAAATTCACCAGACCCCACAGGACCTTACCGGGACATCAAACACCCCCGCATGCGCCGCCACACGTGCCTCCACTTGTTGCACGTGCTCCCACGCGCATAGACTCACTGGCAGGTGCGTCCATGCACCTGCACGCGCCGTCACGCGCTTGATTCACTCTTAACGCGTGTTAGCAGCTTTTGGTTGGCTACTTCTCTCCTGTCTTGTGAGCCGCAAAGCATTGGAGCACTTCCCTTGTTGACTAGACTTAGTCAACGTTCTAGATCTGTTGTGCACCAAGATTAGATGCACTCTACCTCACCTGATCAATTACCATTGATCTAGCTATATCAACGGCTGAATCTGAAGGTACATCACATTACTATGTGCCGCATTACACCAGATTACCTCACTAGCCATCAACTCCACATCAACGGTTCCCATCCATGGCACACCATAATTCAGTGCACTGCGCCGCACGGAATCCTAGCCCCTTTGTGACTGCACCGATTCCTAGTAACTTTGTAAAAACATATATATATATATATATATATATATATATATATATATATAACAGTATATATAAAATAACTCCTAAAATAACATTAAAAATACAAATCAATTCCAGAAAATTTCTAGAAAATCCCAAACAATTCATAATTAATATTTTAAGTCCATGATTAATTTATCTAATAATTTAATCATCCATTCAATATACTTAATCATGATAAACATAATTAAGTCCAACTTACACAATTTCAGAAAAATAAGAATTCAAACGTCATAATAACACATACATATATATACACATGATTAATCTACATATATACAAGGAATTAATGTGCTCCTAATAATTTGATTAATAAATTATTTTAAATCCACAAAATTTTAAAGTATAATTTTGGATAATCAAGGTGAAAAGTTTATAAGTCTTAAGAGAAGAATTAGAAAAGAACTTGCCTGTCTATTCCAAATCCAGTCTCCTCTTTCTCTGATCCGGCCTCCTTTTTGTCGGCCTTCTCCTTCTCTCTCTCTCTTATTTTTCTAACGTGTAAACTTTTAACTCTAAAGTCTTATGCGTATATTTATACACATTAGACTCCAAATCCTATTCCTACTAGGACTTTCAAATACAATAATAATCCTTAAATAATATATATCTATAAACATATTATATTATATATATATATATATATACCTTCCATAATTAACACATTGACTATATATATCCACAAATATATATCTCTATATATATCTTTCCATAACAATTATTAATTAATTATATCTATATAGAATTTTATATATTTATAATTAATACAAAAATGATCATTTAAATAATTAAATAACCATGGGCCTTTATTAGTTAACCCAATAAGGCTTCATACAAGCCCAAAACCACATCTTTTGGTCCAACTTCCCTTAAACCCAAATCCAATTAATTTAAATAAATCAAATAATTAAATAAATACTTAAATTAAAATAACTAATTACACTAAGCACATAAACAGAACAATAAATTACAACCAAGTCACACCATACCAATAAAATCAACACGCCAATAATTCAATCAATAATTAAACACACACACAACAATCATCATATCAATAATTCACGAACTATAAATAAAATAAAACAATTAATCTAAGCACTCAATAAAAGAAATCAATTAAAAATTAAAATAAACGCAATTAATTCAAATTAAATCAAATAAATCATTTAGAAAAATAAAATAAAATAAATTAATCATAATTAATAAATCATTTAAAATATCGGGGTATTACAAACAATTATTTCAATCATTACATATTCGATTTGACCTATGACAAATATCCAAAGAGTCACATCCAATGATGTGCATGACTCGATATGCTTAACTCATCTAATATTTACCCAATCTGTAGAAAACCATAGTAGGCTATTTTTTAATGCTTACTAAGGTGTGTACCTAATTTTGATTTCCCAATTGAATGCAATAGATTGAATATTTCAGTTCGTTGAGAACTGAATCAGGACTGGAAAACTTGAAGAGAGCAGCAGAGAAAGGGCACGCAGAAGCATCATATGTGTATGGTATAATCTTGGTGTGCAAAGGGGGTCAATTGAAACAAGAAGGGTTGAAGCTTCTAAATGCAGTGATGAGTTCAAAGCCAAGAAGTTTGAGGATCAAAGAGTGTCGAAGAAGAATAAAGTCCATTATTTGGAGGATGTGGATACACAATAAAATGGTCCCACAACAACTTCCTTCTTGCAATGGGACAGACTGTTGCATCAGAAAGATCCAAACATGGGATCCGGAGGATGAAGAAATTGATGCTATGAATTGTGATGCTTGTAGATGGAATCATGAAGTTATTTCCTTCTGTAATATGTTACATCGTGGATGATGCGTGTTTTTATTTTGGAGGATAAAAAGACAAAAAAAAATTATGTTTAAATTTTTATTATTTTTTAAACATTAAATTAGACTTTATTATTATTTTTTTTATTAATCTCGAATGTTTTGAGCTTTTCTTGTGTGAGAATTTTTTTTTTTTTTTTGTATAAATTAATTGTCTTTAGGAAAATGATATTATAAAGAAACTATCTATTGCAAAGCCACATCATCTTTACTCATCAATATGTGTCCACGAGATATTATCGTATAATTATTTTTTAAAATGATTAATTCAAAATATACAAATTTTCCACTATTTTTATTGTGTCTGTAACACCTTAACTGATTATCGCCTAAGGCACAAATTATGTTTCCATCTTTAATAGTCCACCTAACAAATTCTACCTTAAAAATATATATACAAAAATTGATGAAATTTTAAAATTAGATTAAAAAAATTACGTTTTAAAAAAAAAAAAAAAAATTATTTACTTATTTAACCTAACTATGATGAGTTGAAATACAAGAATTCAAACTTTTTATAGATCATGAAAAATTATTAGCTTTTTAGACAATATACTCGAACCACAATTTATGTAAAATTTGTTAGGTATTACCACATCGTTGTAATTACCATATTCATATTGTGAGGACGCAAAGAAAATTAGCATGCTTTTATCTTTTATTTATTTACTTAATATTATTTTTTGATTGGTGCACGTCAAAACACGATGGATATCAAAATAACAATGATGATTATAAATGTATTATGTTATGAATTATCTGTTTAAAACCCTAATGATAAGATTTCTCTTTTAAGGTTCAAAAAGAAAATCATTGTTTAACAAGAATTAAGAAAGAAGACAGAGCATTGGTGGGCCTGACCAGGTGGTAGTGTTGATCAATCCTCATCCAGATATTATTGGCAGCCCTAAGTCACTATGCTCATGCTAATGGGCTGATTGATGCTTCCAAGTTAAAAAAGTCGTAATTATCATGGTCATTCTTGCTTTTATTCTATATATATGGACTTTTGCATAAATACTTACGAGTGTTTTTTTCCTATTTAAAGATGTTTTTAGAGTTTGAGAAAGTACCTACAAAATCATACAAGCGAACAGAAGATGTGAGTTTGATTGAACCAAAATTTAGTCAAAGAAAAGATTTCATTGCGTGAAGTATTGCTCTTAATGCAAGGATTAATGTATGATTGTTGTTGAAATCCAATATAAGTTCATATACAGCTGGAAGTTTTTTAGAGGTTAAAATGGGAATATTCTACGAGCACATCGTTGTAACATTCAATTATTCATTCATTACACAACAATTATATATAACGTGTGATGTGATTTTGGGACAGCGACAGTGGCGTACTGAATTAGTAGTACATATCCTATTTACACGAACGTGTATCACTAACTTTATTTTGTTTTCTTTTTTGTCCAAACGTGTGAATTGATTGATCGATCATACAAGGTACAGATATTTTCAAGACCTTGTTTTATCAACAACTTTCCCATTCCCTTTCCCTTCCTCTTCCTCTTCCTCTGGTGGAATTGATTTCCATGGAAATTCTGAGCTTTTTACCTCCGACCCTTCCTGTATTTGTATCATTCTATATCATCATATATCTCTTGGGATACTTCATAATCTTCCGAAAATGGAGAGGAATAAACAGAGCTCAAGCTTCAAGTTGTCTTCTCTCTATAGCCCACGCCACACCTGCTGTTCTTTTAGCATCTTATTCAATGCTCAGCACGCAAAACCAACTCGATTTTGCTTCTCCAAACACCGAATTCCAGAACATGGTACTGGAATACAGCATTGCCTACTTCTTCATAGACCTCTTGCACTACATATTTTTCATTCCGAACGACGCCCTTTTCATTGCTCACCATTTGGCAACACTGTATGTGTTCGTGACCTGCCGGTACGTGGTTCATCACGGGGCCTTCGCCATTCTTGTGCTGCTTATTCTCGCCGAGGTCACCAGCCCGTGTCAGAACACTTGGAGCCTCGCCAGATACCGGAAAGACGACGTGCCGGCGGCTGCAAAATTGTGTGAATTCTTGTCGTTGCCGTTCTATGCGTTTTATTCTGTTGTTAGAGGTGTGTTTGGACCCCTTTTTGTGTATAAAATGGGGGTTTTCTATACGAGCAGAGCAGCCGATGGTGTGATTCCTATATGGGCTTCGGTTTCTTGGATGGTTGTGATTGTGAGTGCAATCTTCCTTAGCATATTGTGGGTTTTGAATCTTTGGATAGAACTTTATAGAGAGCGAGCTACAAAAGAACTCAAGAAACTGAGTTAGGGTCTGGAAGTCGTTATTAATAATGGGTTTTGATACCAAACTTATTATTGTGGTGTGAAGTTATTGATTTATGTCAAATTTGTATATATACCATCTTGTATTATAGGCCATTAAAAATATGAAATACAATTGACACATTTTTTTTTTTTGGGTGTGTGAAGCTGGTATTGTATTGTGGATTTGCTGCTTGTACTTCTCTGCCTGCTATGTTATTTTTAGCTGCTTGCATTTCTCCGCCTGCTACTAGCAGAAACAGATACTGTAATAATTTCTGAGAGAAGTCTGCAACTGGGATCCATGATTTGTATTGATCATCCACATAAACATCTAACTATAGTGGAGATATAAAGACCAAACCATAGATTTTTCTTTCCTTCCAAAACACATCACAATCCATGAAGTAAAAAACTAGAAGCAAATTTATGAAAAATTGGGAAATGTTCAATAGCGAAAAGAGAAGTCTTATTAACTCATGTTATATATTACCATCCTGGCAACGAGATCATGAAAACAGAATAAAATTGTTTATATCACTTTTCCTTCACTTTTAATAAGGAATAAGAAGCGCGATTAAATATTCAAAATGGAACCACCAGCAACATTAGACCAAGACATCATAACCACAACTCCAATTTATTCCGGCCATAGACTGAACACAAAAAAAGGTCGGGTCGTTCCTTGAGAAGCATCAGATCAGGCAACAGAAGCCATGTGGACGATCAAGTCAATCACACGTGAACTGCCAACAAGAAAACAATTATGTCAAGAACATACCATTCTATCAATCAACAAAATCATATTTCAACAAGAGATCAAGAATGTGAAATTTAATTATTACCTGTAACCCCATTCGTTGTCATACCAAGAGACAAGCTTGACAAAGTTTTCATTCAAAGCAATCCCGGCCTTGGCATCAAAGATGCTTGATCTGTATTATTACATGAATCAAAATACTCACATTAATTTAATTTCACACTTCATGCATTTAGTAAGAAACCCAAAGAATTAACATTAGTTTACCTGCTATCACCGACGAAGTCAGTGGATACCACATCATCTTCAGTGTATCCCAAAATTCCCTTGAGCTTGCCCTCTGATTCCTCCCTGGGAAAAATTAAGAAACAAAACAAAGGATTAGTACAGAAGCAAAAGTAACATTCCTTGAATTATCTATCAAGGGTGGAATCAATTTCATACTTTGGACAAACAATTAAACTCGACAAGACTTACTTGATGGCAGATTTAATCTGCTCATAGGTGGCCTTCTTCTCAAGCCTTACTGTGAGATCCACAACTGAAACATCCACAGTTGGAACTCGGAAAGACATTCCAGTCAATTTGCCATTCAGTTGTGGCAGCACTTTCCCAACAGCCTATGTTATAAAATAAAAAAATTAGAAAAATTAAATCATTTTAAGTTCATTCAAATCACATTCATGCCAAACCAAATACAAAATTCACTATTCAACAAACAATCGTCCAACTACAATCTGGTGTTTATTCCACAATAAATTACCTTGGCAGCTCCAGTGCTGCTAGGAATAATGTTGAAGGAAGCAGCTCTTCCACCCCTCCAGTCTTTGCTTGATGGCCCATCAACAGTCTTCTGAGTAGCTGAATAACATATCAAAGAAGAAGAATTAATACCAATTTGCAACTCCAATCTAAAATTAACAATACAACTAATCATACAAGCAAAAACACCCCTCACCAGTGATGGAGTGGACTGTGGTCATGAGACCTTCAACAATGCCAAATCTATCATTAATAACCTGAAATTTTCCAAGACGAAATAAATTTAGAAAAACAATGTACATGTTTTACAATTATACATAAACCTTCTTATAAATAAATATAAAGAACATCTTTAAGAATATACCTTGGCAAGGGGAGCAAGGCAGTTGGTAGTGCAGCTAGCATTGGAGACAATGTTGAGTTCGGGTTTGTATTCCTTCTCATTGACACCGACTACAAACATGGGAGCATCCTTGCTTGGGGCTGAAATGACAACCTTCTTGGCACCACCCTGATTATAACAAAGACTCCAAGTCAATCACTACCATGCAAAAATGCAACCTTCAAAGTTCAACAATTCATTTTTGATCAAGTAAGTGCTCACAAACACTGCCACACCGGGCTGCCCCTCCTCTGAGGGTAAGTGTATTATACCATTGGACATGTGTAAAAGACCCTAGGTCAAAATTTTGAAATACGAAAGAAATCCAAAACAGCACTTAGGGTGTGTTTGGTAGGGTTGATTTGGAGGGATAGGTAGAGAAAAGAAAAGAGAGGATAGTGTAAGAGTGTGTTTAGGTAGGTTAAGTGGAGAGATAAGGAGGGATAGGGAGAGAAAGGGAGGGATAGGTATCCCTCCGTATCACTTGTGGGCTTTCTCTCCCAATTTGAGAAGATAGGGAGGGATAGTAAGTTATAAATTATGGGTTACCAAAAATACCCTTTACAAATCAATATACTTAAAAGTAATTCCATTTATGTCCCAACTCTCTCTAGAATAGAGTTAAGAAGCCACTCTGTAATTCAGCCGATTGAAGTTTGACCTAGCAACAAATTCACAAAAAGATACAAGATTTTATTGGTGATTATCTCACAGAGTCCCATCAGCATTTTTTTAGGGGCGGAAATTGAATCCAACAGAAAAAAGATTATGCAATATGTACACAGATATGTACATGATCCCGTCAATAGCATATAATTTTAAGATGGCAGATAATTGTGATTTTATCTTTTAATGTATTACTTTTTCCGTGGGCTTCAGGCAAACAATATAATTTCTACTTCCCGATTGCTTAGGTTGAACGAGTCCTATCTAATTTTGTTTTTACCCATTACTTTTATTTTTTACTTTTGTTTTTACCCATTACATTGAACTATCAAAAAGAAATAAGATTTTGAAAATGGATAATGTATGAAGTGGTTATGAAAGGGTAGGACAGTAATTTCGTCACTATCCTTTCTTTTCTTTTCTCTCCTCTATCTTATCCAAACAAGAATAATTATCATTTCTTTTCTTTTCTCCCCTATCTATCCAACCACGAATAAAAATTATAACTATCCTTTCTTTTCTTTTCTTTTCTCTCCTAACTAATACTATCATTTCTTTTCTTTTCTCCCCTATTTATCCAAACACACCCTTAAAATAAAAGAGAAATTGAATCAATTCGCGAGCAAGGCATGGCACGCCGAAGACCCACCCTTACCAATAGCACTAGATTGACTTGCCTTTTTTCCCATTGTTGGATAGATAGTGGAGCTTTTCTCGGTCTCGGTTGAATAAAGATGCAACTGCTCGAGTCATAAAGGAGAAGAATGGCAAGACCACACCATAGGCTCTTACTCCATGACCTAGAGTGTTAGTTCCTCTCTAACCTTCTTATCAACGAGTGGAACATGTCTGATGGGACAGGTTGACGCCTAACTAAGGAATACAAGCAAAGAGTCTCAATCCAAGGGCTGCAGAAACCAAGAGAGGAAAGCAAGGGTATGTTCCATAAGTCTAAGCAGGAAGTCTCGCATCGGCAGTGTCGACGAAGAAAGGAATTACCCTAACTCCCTTATAAATAGATTAAAGCAAATCAATCACCTTTAATGGTAGTCCAATTGGTTTGAAATAAAAGAAGAGACGTAAGACCAGGAGCCTTATAAGGTCCCATGGACCACAAAGCAGCCTTTAATTCTTCCTCAGTACATACCTTAAAAAGAGTATCATTCATTTTAAAAGACATTTGGGGAGAGAAAGAAATGACGCTATTCAAACAAAGCCTTAATGTTTATAGTTGATTTAAATTTAAAGTATATATAAATTTAAAGTTATACTTAAGTTTTAATTGCTTGTTTGTTGGGTGTACTTGTTTGGTTGATTTGGGTTGGTTGTTGCCGTCACTAAACTACTCATAGGTAAATACCGGCTAAACATAGCAGGAGCCTTACTCAGTTTGAGTGAAGACCAATCACCATTAAAATAGAAATTTTCTCCATTTGGTAAAAAGGGGTTTTATATTGAAATCAGATGAAAGCCAATTAATGGTCAATACTCATTACATATAGCAATAAATTCAACAATATAATCAACAAACAGAAAGGAGATCATAGCAAACCTTCAAGTGGGCAGCAGCCTTATCCTTGTCAGTGAAAACTCCAGTAGATTCCACAACAAACTCCGCACCAGTTTGGGCCCAGGGGATTTCTTCAGGGTTTCTGAAGAATCATGCACAATTTGTATAAAATTATAAAATTCTCTCAAATTCATGTTCTGAATACTCCGATTTTAATATCACAAATGCCAATTGGGGAAAAGGAAAAAAAAGAGGGATCAATACCTAACGCCGAAAACAGCGACGGGCTTCTCACCGAAGAGGAGGGTCTTGTCGTCCTTTACCTTGAGCTCATGGTGTTTCCATTGGCCATGAACACTGTCATACTTGAACATGTATGTCTACACATATCGCAGTCACAAGATCACACTATAAGTAAATGCTCATACATGTTCATGAATTTTCACACACATAGGCGTTTGTATATATATAGAGAGAAAGCAGATTATGGTACCATGTAATCAGTGGTGATGAAGGGATCATTAACGGCGACAAGTTCAACATCGTCTCTCTGGAGAGCAACTCTAGCAACCAGACGACCGATCCTTCCAAAACCTAGTAGTAGATTTAAGAAATCAATCAAATCAGTCAACGCATACAAAATATCAATACCATTACTAAAAACAAGAATCAACCAAACCTATTTTAAGAAAAAACAATCAAACTAAGATTGAACCAAAAAACCAGTACCGTTGATTCCGATCTTGATCTTCTTATCAGAACCTGTAAAAGAAATCAAAAACCCACAAAAATTATTATAGATGTAAATAGAGAAGCAATGAGGAGATATCAGTAAATTAGAATTACTGTTATTACCCATGAATTTAGAGCTAGAAATGAACGAAAAGATGTAGAGAGAGAGAGAAAAATCAACGAAGAGAGATATGAGTGATGTGAGAGAAGTTCCGGGTAGAGGCTATATTTAAATAAGGGGATTAAAAGGGGTTTAGCGGGTGTTAAGCCGTTTTCGTTTTGTCTTGGGCAGAAAGAAACAGCCGCTGAATTCCAAATCGGTATGCGTCGCTGATTTGTGTTTTCTTTGTTCTAGAGTTTCGATCTCAACCGTACAATATTTGTGATCTACTCCTTGGACGGTTCAAGCGTTTACTATTCTAGGTAATATATACTTTTCTTTTTGGAAAATAATTTGGGATCTCAAAATTAAAAAATAAATACTTGTGAAATTTGAATAACACTTTCCTTTGTTCATTTAAGGCGAGAATGAAATATTCGAAAGGAACAGTCTAGAAGGTTAGGATGTGTATGTCATGTGATTATGCAAAAATTGACATGTCTAAAAGAAAATTAAATTTTTGACCATTAAAGTCATAGTCGTGATATAGAAAAATTTGGTTACCATAGATCGTCAAATCAAATTTTCCTTTTGCATTCATTCCCTAATTGAAAGAAACGGCTGTATTGCCAAAGAGGGTTGGACGACATTGTTAGGGAAAATTTGGTTCAATTATTTTAAAATAGTTTTTATTTTAAAATAATTATAAATTATAAAAGAAACTCTTTTTTTTGGTAAATATAAAAGATACTTGGAGTAGTTAAAAATATCTGCTTTTAAATAAAGACATTTTACAGTTGCCAAAAACAATTTTATGTTTTTATAAGTTATGAAAAACTAGTTTAAAAAACTAAACGTGAAGTCATATGTCGCACATTTATTGAGCTTTAATTAATAAAGTATTGGATGACAAATCAATCTCATGTAATAAGGTATTGGATGACAAATCAATCTCATTTCAATATATATATATATACATATAAATATATATATATATTTCGAGACAAGACATGTTATATGTTGAATTTGTAGATGTAGATGAAAATGATAGAAGTATGATATTCCAAATTTTATATAAGGCATTAATTTAAGGAGCAGCTGTTTTTAATTTTCATTATAAGAGAATATACAATTAATTATTTTAAATATTATAAATATTTTTTTACATTATATTTAATGAAACTTTATATATCTAATAATTTAAAGTTGAGAAATTCATGGATGGTAGAGTGATTGAATTGAGTTGGAAAATAAATGTAAAATTGTCAGTGACCAACAAGATACCATAATAAATATGTGAAAATTTTATTATTATTAATTTTGTCAACCCTACCTATCACATCTGAGAGACTAATTGTGATCTCATGGTGCATGCCATTGATAAAAGAAAAGGGTGAGAACGTGCTAATTTGTATAGGTTATTAACAAACCACTTAGTTGACGCAGTTTTTTCAAGCGTGACAGTCGACGTATTGCAAAACGGCAACAAAAAAAAGTGATACAATATGGCGTGACAGTCGACGTAGTTTTTTCACATATTAAATGAAGGCAACAAAAGAAAAAAGTAATACAAAATGCCATCGCCCGGACTCGAACCGGAGACCTTCATCACGACACCTTTGTGTCTAACTTTAGAAAATATCAAATATAACAATAAAAGATTAACATTTTTCTTCGGTATAACTATTTTGGTGCGCATGAAAATTACCATAAAGTTTGGGGCAAGTCTTCCTTATGAGTCCCACCACTAGGACTATTTTGCCCCCCACAAATATATACAAACACGTAAAGAGATATGAGACCAAGGCAGAAAATATCCTAAAGTATATTTTGCGTAACACTTTTTCTATCTGTTTGACAAAGTGACATAAATTAGTGTTGTAATACCCATTTTGCTCTTTTACTCTTCCAAAAATGTATAAGGGGTATATGTGCTACTAATCTTGTAGTATAGAGATATTATTTGCACATTACTTTTTTTTTTTTAAGATTTTTTTCTCTACATATATCTCTAAATTTTTTTTTTTTAGATTTATTTTCTTTAGTTTGCACTTTATTTTCGTTTTTTATTTTTTATTTTTATTTTTATTTTCTATATTTATCTTTACTTGTCATTGCCGGCGTCCTCCAATAGTATCATTTTCGGTCATTTCACAAAATTATTTAATTTTATATATTTTATAAAATGATTTAATAAGTATAATTTAGTCAACTTAGGGTTTAAATTTGTCAGGGATCTATTTGCACCAAATTGAAACTTTAAGGGTGTTTTTTTGCAATTGAGGGGCTTCATATAATAATGTCCTTTTCGGTCATTTTATAAAATTATTTATTTTATATATTTATTTTTAAGGATGTTTTTTTTTTTTTTTGCATGTGGACGTCATCCAATAATGTCACTTTTGGTCATTTTACAAAATTATTTATTTTATATATTTATTTGTTAGAAAGACAATATTTTTTGCATGTGAGAGATGTGATATACAATATAAATCATACTTTAAGTGTGTTTTGTGCACTTCACCCATGGACAATATAGTTATTGGCGTGCTTATCATTGATATTTCTTGGAGAAGGGTCGTTCTTTCTTGGACAGTTTGGCATGATTACCGATTTCACCGACTCTTACAAAGACACATCCAACGATATGAATGGTTACTATGTGAAATGACTAGCAAGGAGTCTTATATGTAACACTATGGTGTGCTCAGGTGATGATATACAAGCAGAGCAGCCCATGGTGTGATTCCTATATGGGCTTCGGTTTCTTGGATGGTTGTGATTGTAAGTGCAATCTTTCTTAACATATTGTGGGTTTTGAATCTTTGGATGGATCTTTATAGAGAGCAAGCTACAAAAGAACCCAAGAAACTGACTTAGAGCCTGGAGGTTTTTATTAATTATGGGTTTTGATACCAAACTTATTATTGTGGTATGAAGTTAATGATTTATGTCAGATTTGAATATCAAAACCAATTGTATTATAGGCAAATATTGTACAATTAAAAATATATACAATTGACACAATTTTTTTGGGGTTTGTTTTGAACCAAAACATTGGTAAATCTTTAAAATAAAATCTCATGAAACAATAATTTGGTGAATTTTAACAGGAAAGAGAGAGAGAGAGAGAGAGAGAGAGTGGTCATTCCGTGATTTGTATTGATCATCCACATTGACACTATAACTATAGTGGAGATATAAAGGACCAAAACCATTGATTTTTCTTTCCTTCCACATCACAACACATGAAAAAAAAAAACTTTGCGCAAATTTATGAGAGATTGGCAATTATTCAATACCGAAAAAAGATGTCTCAACTCATATTATATATATCATCATAATGCCAACAAGATGATGAAAATAGAATAAAATTGTATATATCACTTTTCCTTGACTTTAATAAGGAATAAGAAGCGCGACTAAATATTCAAAATGGAACCACCAGCAACATTATACCAAGACATCATACCACAACTCCCATTTATTCCGACATTAGACTGAACATGTAACAAAAAAGGTCTTGGGTCATTCCTTGAGAAGGATCAGATCAGGTCAGGCAACAGAAGCCATGTGGACGATCAAGTCAATCACACGTGAACTGCCAACAAGAAAACAATTATGTCAAGAATATACCATTCTATCAATCAACAAAATCATATTTCAACAAGAGATCAAGAATGTGAAATTTAATTATTACCTGTAACCCCATTCGTTGTCATACCAAGAGACAAGCTTGACAAAGTTTTCATTCAAAGCAATCCCGGCCTTGGCATCAAAGATGCTTGATCTGTATTATTACATGAATCAAAATACTCACATTAATTTAATTTCACACTTCATGCATTTAGTAAGAAACCCAAAGAATTAACATTAGTTTACCTGCTATCACCGACGAAGTCAGTGGATACCACATCATCTTCAGTGTATCCCAAAATTCCCTTGAGCTTGCCCTCTGATTCCTCCCTGGGAAAAATTAAGAAACAAAACAAAGGATTAGTACAGAAGCAAAAGTAACATTCCTTGAATTATCTATCAAGGGTGGAATCAATTTCATACTTTGGACAAACAATTAAACTCGACAAGACTTACTTGATGGCAGATTTAATCTGCTCATAGGTGGCCTTCTTCTCAAGCCTTACAGTGAGATCCACAACTGAAACATCCACAGTTGGAACTCGGAAAGACATTCCCGTCAATTTGCCATTCAGTTGTGGCAGCACTTTCCCAACAGCCTATGTTATAAAATAAAAAAATTAGAAAAATTAAATCATTTTAAGTTCATTCAAATCACATTCATGCCAAACCAAATACAAAATTCACTATTCAACGAACAATAGTCCAACTACAATCTTGTGTTTATTCCAGAATAAATTACCTTGGCAGCTCCAGTGCTGCTAGGAATAATGTTGAAGGAAGCAGCTCTTCCACCCCTCCAGTCTTTGCTTGATGGCCCATCAACAGTCTTCTGAGTGGCTGAATAACATATCAAAGAAGAAGAATTAATACCAATTTGCAACTCCAATCTAAAATTAACAATACAACTAATCATACAAGTAAAAACACCCCTCACCAGTGATGGAGTGGACTGTGGTCATGAGACCTTCAACAATGCCAAATCTATCATTAATAACCTGAAATTTTCCAAGACGAAACAAATTTAGAAAAACAATGTACTTGTTTTACAATTATACATAAACCTTCTTATAAATAAATATAAAGAACATCTTTAAGAATATACCTTGGCAAGGGGAGCAAGGCAGTTGGTAGTGCAGCTAGCATTGGAGACAATGTTGAGTTCAGGTTTGTATTCCTTCTCATTGACACCCACAACAAACATGGGAGCATCCTTGCTTGGGGCTGAAATGACAACCTTCTTGGCACCACCCTGATTATAAAAAAGACTAACTCAATCACTACCATGCAAGAATACAACCTTCAAAGTTCAACAATTCATTTTTGATCAAGTAAGTACTCACAAACACGGCCCAATTTCATTTTATATCAATATAATTCAATTCCATTCTTATCAATATAATTTGGTGACTGTCCACATTCACATTTTCCTGTCAATTCAATTTCCCGAGAAAAATCTCCTATACCCATCCCCCTCTCTCTCTAGCACTATGCCGCATGCCAAACAGTGTTACAATGTCCTTTTCCTAGGGACAATCAGTATATTGCTCTCTATATGATTCTTTGTAGAGGAGTCAAAGAAAAATAGTTTTAGGGTGGCATTCTGCATTCATTGTAGCAAAGTTAAATACAAGTGTTAAGACTTTTCTTTTTTTTTTTTTTTACATTTATTGGCTCTTCAGAACCTGAGTTATGCCGGTCACACATTGCCCTTAACCACTCACATCTTTTTGCTTCACTGTGGAAGTACTTACTTGTGCACTGCCAGCGCACACATAGCCATACCTCATGGTGCACCTATAAGGCGCCCATGGGCATACCAGCCCAGCATACTGTGGCATGCGCATGGCCATTCCCTGCCCGAAAGGGTTGTTGCACCAAGTACATAGTCATTATTATAAATATATATGTACATATATGTGGTATTTACATTCTATAATTATTGAGTTACAATAGGATAAACAAGTGAAAAACATATTTATCTGACTTTCAGATTTTGACTTTTTTTCTGAAAGGTTATTTGCAAAACATAAAACTAATGTTATTAATATATCAAATATGTAATAGACCATTGGTCAAAATTCAATTCCATTCTTATCAATATATCAAAATTTTACTACACTGAAGACCAATCACCATTAAAATTGAAATTTTCTCCATTTGGTAAAAAGGGTATATTGAAATCATATGAAAGCCAATTAATGGTCAATATTCATTATATATAGCAATAAATTCAACAACATAGTCAGTATACAGAGATATATTATCTAACAGTATTTACAAGTGAAATCAACAAACAGAAAGGAGATCATAGCAAACCTTCAAGTGGGCAGCAGCCTTATCCTTGTCAGTGAACACTCCAGTAGACTCCACAACAAACTCTGCACCAGTTTGGGCCCAGGGGATTTCTTCAGGGTTTCTGAAGAATCATGCACAATTTGTATAAATTATAAATTCTCTCAAATTTATGTTCTGAATACTCCGATTTTAATATCACAAATGCAATTGGGGAAAATAAAAACAGGAATCAATACCTGACACCGAAAACAGCGACGGGCTTTTCACCGAAGAGAAGGGTCTTGTCGTCCTTTACCTTGAGCTCATGGTGTTTCCATTGGCCATGAACACTGTCATACTTGAACATGTATGTCTACAAGTATCGCAGTCAGAAGATCACACTATTAAGTAAATGCTCATACATGTTCATGAATTTTTACACACACATATAGATGTGTGTAATGTGTATATATAAAGAGAGAAAGAGAAAACAAATTATGGTACCATGTAATCAGTGGTGATGAAGGGATCATTAACAGCAACAAGTTCAACATCGTCTCTCTGGAGAGCAACTCTAGCGACCAGACGACCAATCCTTCCAAAACCTAATGGTAGATTTAAGAAGAAATCAATCAAATCAGTCAAAGCATACAACTACTGATCAAGATCAATATCATTACTAAAAACAAGAATCAACCAAACCTATTTTAAGAAAAAAAAAAAAAAAAAAATCAAAATAAATAGCAAACTAAGATTGAACAAAAAAAACAAGTACCGTTGATTCCGATCTTGATCTTCTTATCAGAACCTGTAAAAGAAATAAAAAAACCCACAAAAATTATTATAGATGTAAATAGAGAAGCAATGACGAGATCAGTTAATTAAGAACTAGTACTACTGTTATTACCCATGAATCTAGAGCTAGAAACGAACGAAAAGCTAGAGAGAGAAATCAACGAAGAGAGAACTGAGTGATGTGAGAGAAGTTGTGCCGGTAGAGGCTATATTTAAAAAGGGAGATTAAAAGGGTTTAGTGGGTGCTAAGCGGTTTTCGTTAAACAGCCGCTGAATTCCAAATCGGTATGAGTCGCTGAGTTGCGATCTCAACCGTACAGTATTTGTGATCGGACGGATCAGATTTATTCAAGCCTTTACTATTCTAAGTAATACAGTACATACTTTTGTTTTTGGAAAATAATTTGGGATCTCAAAATTTTCTATGTTCGTTATAATTCTTTGCAGGGTAAAGTGCAAAAAAATGCCTAATTATTGATTTTTTGTAATTAATCGCTGAATTAAAAATTATTTTTTTAAATTATTGATTTGTTACAATTAAAGACAAACTCATCACAAAAGATTATTTTACTCATTATTATTAAATTTATCATTTTTTATTATTTAAATATTAATTATACTATTTACCTTAATTTTATAATTAGCCTCGACTGACTATAAACATAAAAAAAAAAAAAAAATTTGTAACTATTATTTTCTAAAATGATTAACTTATTATAATAAAACTTATTATACTCACTTTAAAAAAATTTAGTATAAAAAAATATCTTCTTTTTCAAACAATATTAATGAAAAATTAATAAATTACGTAAATAAAAAATATTTTATTTTTAATGCAATATATTCATGAAAATAAGAAATTATTTAAATTGTTTCAAATTTTTTTATTTAAATAATTAATTTAAAAAATTAAAAGTAAACTTATACAAATTTAATGAAAAATATTTCATCAAATTAGTATGAATTTTTTTCATAATTTATTTTAACAAGAAAAATATATTAGTTGTAATTTAATAAGAAATGTTATTATAATCATTTAAATATGTAAGATAATGAAATATTTTACAATTAAATATGATAATTTAAAAAAATTTATACACAAAACATAGATCAAAAGAATTATTTCTAAATTTAGACATTGTCAAAAAGGGTTTTGTTTTGCACATTACCGTTCTTTATATCAACACTTTCCTGTAGTCATTTAAGGCGATAATAGAATATTCGAAAGGAATAGTCTAGAAGGTTAGGATGCGTAAATCATGTAACCATCATGCAAAGATTGACATGTCTTAAGGAAATAAAATTGTTAAAAACAAAAAGAAAAGAAAACAAAAGTCATAGTCGTGATAAGGAAAATTTGGCTACCATGGACTGTCAAATCAAAATTTCCTTTTGCATTCATTCCCGAGTCGAAAGAAACGACTGGAAATAAGTTGCGAGGTTAAATTTGGTTCACTTATTTTACAATAGTTTTTTATTTTAAAAGAATTAAAAATTATAAAAAACTTTTTTTTTTTTTTATCATTTTTTTAAAGATTTAGTTTAAAAAATCTGTTGGAAAGAAATTGTTAGGGTAAACTTGGTTAACTTATTTTACAGTAGTTTTTTTATTTTAAAAGAATTAAAAATTATAAAAAAAAAACTTTTTTGTTTATCAAAATTTTAAAATTTAATTAAAAAAAATCTATTTTCAAATAAACATATTTTATAGTTCTCCAAAAATAATTTTATGTTTTTAAAAGTTTTGAAAAACTAAACAAAACATACCTTCTCTCTTTAAACTCCTGTCTCGAGCGTGGAGTGAAAATCAAAATCTAAAAGAAGATCTTCATTAATTAACTAAATAAAAAAAATCAATCTTTTATAAGTAATGAAATTTAAAGTATAAAACAACGTCATTTTAATGAAGAAGGTTTTAAAATTGTTTTAGTGAGAAGGAGGTGGTGGCACCATTACCCTCACAGTCTACGAACTAAGTTTCAAGTGTGTTACATTAATTCTTAAATACTCGGTTGTACTTATTATATGACATACATTAATCAAACTTCAATCAAAGTTTTGGAAGAATTTTAAAATTAGAATGTTCAATTCAACTACAAATCAATTTCATTTTTATTTTTATTGTAAAAAAATAAATTAATTATTCTAGATATTACAAATTTTTACATTCTGAAGAACTTCTCCAATGTCCTAACCTTTCAAAATCAAAATATAACATGTATGAAAATAATACACTTCAATAAACTCTCAAAAGATCTCTCATATTTTGAGATTGTTAAAAGTATTGCCACATATAGCAGTTTTTAAATTTTTTTGAAAAATTTCTTTTTTTCTCATACAGTTTCTCAAAATATAGCAGGTGGATGAAAATAATATACTCCAAATAACATACATGAAATGTATCATTGGAGCATAATTTTATTTTGACATTGTATCTCATCTAAAAATATAACTTTGATATGAAAAAATAACATTTTGCTTTGTAGATGCTCTTAGATCCCAGAGTGATTGAATTGACTTGGAAAATTAATGTAAAATTGTATGTGCACCAACCAGAAACCATAGAATATGTGAAAATTTTATTATTATTAATTTTGTCAAAAAGGTTTGACCAGCGTGACAGCCGACGATATTTTTTCACATGTATCATTAAATATGGCGTCGCCAGGATTCGAACCGGAGACCTTCAGTGTGTTAGACTAACGTGATAACCAACTACACCACGACACCTTTGGTTCAGCGTTTTCAGAAAATATAAAAATAAACAATAAAACACTCTTTTTTAACACTTTTTCTTCAACATAACTATTTTGGTGTGCAAGAAATTACCATAAGCAAATGCCCCAGAAAGTTAGGGCCATTGGTTCAAAGTCAGATGCCAAAGCCAAAGTCTTCCTTCCTTATGAGTCCCACAAATAGGACTAATTTGCCCCTCAAATGTATGTATACAAAAGCATAAAGAGACGGACGGTTTGGCTTTTTTGAGGAGATCATGCATATTCAACCATTAATCTCACTGAAACATTACTTCTGCAGATAGAATTGATTTGAATATCAAGCTAACAGATCTATTGCATTGTTACCTAATGTTTTGATGATTCACAATTTAAACTGTTTTGGCAAATGCATTGCTGATCAGAACAATTGGAATGAATAATTTAGATCACAACTATAATCTATACCTTTCATGTTAGTCAAGTATTCCAGAAAATTGAAACAGGAACTGTATATTCTTTAGTATATTGGGATCTTGCAATTCTTGTCACTATTGTTGAAGTTATTCAAGTTGGGGATCGGAGCTGCTCAGGAGCTTCCATTTCCATACCTAAGTTATCGACTGTACAATGACGATTACTGTTGAAACCTTTCTTGTCTGTCTTTTACTCCCAATGACGATTGCTGTCGGATGATCACCTTGTAAATTCCATTACCAACGTTGAGAAAGCAGAAGAATTGTGTCCTTGAACAACTGATTTGGCGAGCATACTCAACACCCTTACCTGCATTAATATAATAGCACTGATAAGCAATTCAATCTATTTCACTAAAGTAGTCCAAAATGAATAAATGACCTTAATTCCTATTGATAATAGCATTTACTCATGTTTTATAGCTAGTTTATACACAGGTTTAACCAAAACAAGGATTGTGCATAGTTATCAAAGGCCAATCTAAAAGTCATAGCTGAGAATATGTATGCTAATATTTATCTCTGAAGTTCCATAAAATTTTCAATATAAACCTTATAAAGTAAAAAGTCTGTCAATCTTTTTGTTGTTGTTGTTGTTGCAATTTTAATCCTTACCTTCATGAAGAACCAAAACTAGGTTGTTGTCAATGACAGTAGGTATGCGATGGGCCACTGTCATGACTGTGCATCTGCTTGTTAATTTCTTCTCTTATCGTCTTCTAAATCAAATTATCTGTTGTTTTTTTTTCTTCTGTAAATCAAATTATCTGTTGTTGGATCAACTGAAGCAGTGGCTTCGTCCAGAACCAATATTCTTATCCTCTGAAGCATACGAGCTGCCTCTGCCCAACACTCCAATTTTCTCCATCTTCTGCCACTGCAAAATTTCCAAAATTTTCAGTATAAGCAATCGAACCATTTATAGACCACCTGCTCTTTCCTTTTCCTTTTTTTTCAGAGGAATGAGGGGGTAGGGGAGGCTTCTCTGCTTCTCATTTTTGTATATTTTATGCTTTCATGCCTGGTGCATCAAGATGTCTTTCATCATGCCTCACTATCTCAGCAAGTTGACATTTGTTAAGAACCTGACACATTGATTCATTTCAACATAAGTTAGTCTCCATATGATTTGAAATAAACAAAAAATCAAGACCTAAAAACAATGATTCTACCTCCCAGATTTCATGATCTGAATGATGTTGTAGAGGATCAAGATTAGTCCTCATGGTGCCTCAAAACAGTGTTGGGTCTTGTGGGATTATACTCAGCCTAGACCTCGAATCCTGTAAGCTAGTACCTGCTTGTTTATTATTTTTAAATTATAATTGATGTTCAAGTTCATAGTCTCAGCTTCATTTCAATATGATTATGAAGATGTTATTCTTAACTAAAACCCATTCATAGTGCATAAATAATATAGGACTGGCATGCACCTGGCGCAAGTTCATAACCTCTACAATTTTCACATTGAGAATGTACATATGCGAGCTAGTTGAGGAGATCATACATATTCAACCACTAATCTCACTGAAAGAATACTTTTTACAGATAGAATTGATTTGACTATAAATCTAACAGATGTATTGCATTGTTATGTAATGTTGTGATGATTCACAATTTTAACTGTATATTCTTTATATATTGTTCCATTTCCATACCCCCAAGTTATCGACTGTACAAATTCAATGTCACGTCTTCTTTTACGCGCAATGACGAATACTGTTGGATGATCTCCTTGAAAATTCCATTACCAGCTTTGAGAAAGCAGAAGAATTGTCCTCGAGCAATTGATTTGGTGAGTCATACTCAACAACCTTGCCTGCATTAATATAATAGTACTGATAAGCAATTCAATCTATTTACCTACAGTAGTCATAAATTAATTAGCGAATTTTGTTCCTGTTGATATTACCATTATACTCATGTTGTTTTATAGCTGGTTTATGCCTACTGAGTTTCACCAAAATCAAAATTGTGCGTACTTGATCAAAGGCCAATCTAAGAGTCTCAGCTAAAAATATGTTTGCTAATAATTCTCTCCTTATAATGTAAAAAGTGTGTTAATCTTTTTATTGTTGTTGTTGGATTTCTCATCCTTACCTTCATCAAGAACCAGAACTAGATCGTTGTCAATGACAGTAGGTATGCGATGAGCCACTGTAATGACTGTGCATTCACTTGTTTCTTCTCTTATTGTCTTCTGAATCAAATTGTCTGTTGCTGTATCAACTGAAGCTGTGGCCTCGTCCAAAACCAATATTCTCCTCCTCTGAAGCAGTATCCTGGCCAGGCATACGAGCTGCCTCTGACCAACGCTCCAGTTTTCTCCATCTTCTGCAACTGCAAAATTTCCAAAGTTGTCAGTATAACCAATCAAATCAATTTATAGACAACTTGCTCTTTTTTTTCTTTTTTTGGGAGGAGGGCAGTGGCTTCTCTGCTCCTCATTGTCATATATATTTTATGCTTTCATACCTGGTGCATCAAGAAGTCTTTCATCCTGCCTCACTATCTCTGCAAGTTGACATTTGTAAAGAACCTGACACATTGATTTATTTCAATACAAGTTAATCTCCATATGATTTAAAAAGAAAAAAATCAAGAACTAAAAAACAAAATTTCTGATTCATACCTCCCAGATTTCATGATCTGAATGACGTTGTAGAGGATCAAGATTAGTCCTCATGGTGCCTTGAAACAATGTTGGGTCTTGTGGGATTATACTCAGCCTAGACCTCAAATCCTGTAATCCAATCTTTGAAATATCTAATCCGTCAATCAGAATCTGTCCTTCTGCAGGCTCCACTACCCTGAAGAGAGCTTGGATTAGAGTGGACTTTCCACTCCCTGTTCTGCCAACAACGCCAATTTTCTTTCTAGCTGGGAAGGTGCAAGTGATTCCTTTGAGAACTCTAGGGAGAGCAGGGTTATATTGGACATGGAGGTTCTGGAGTTCAATTCTTCCATTCATTGGCCATTCAGGTTCTGGTCTGCATTCTTCAATAACAAGCGGAGCTTCACTCGGTATTTTAGTGAACTGAAGGATTCGTTCCACTGAGATCATTTTGTTCTCGACGTTGCATAGGTTCCAAATAACCCATGCCTGGAGAACATTTAGGTTCAAACCATAAGTAGCTGCAAGTCCTGCCAAGCCTGCAATCAGATCAACCAGTCCATTAGTGCAGATTCAATATCTAAAGCCCTCACAAACAAAAATCACAACCAAAACATTGTTTTACCAATAAAGTCTCTATGTTTCCATATCTACAGTCTCTATATGCATATAAGTAAAATGAAAATGAAGCCATTCCATTTCCATGTACTTGGAACCCATTCAATTTTCTCTATGCATCGAAAGTCTCTATATTCATATATGAAAAATACAAATGAAGCCATTCCATTTCCATGTACATGGAACCCATTTTCAGGGTTCCTTATTTTCTCGATCAACAAATATGTAATCACTAATCCTCATTATGGATTTAAATACAGTTGAAATAGAGTAGCAGCTTACTTGGGTCAATGGCCGACCTTGGGAGGTTCACCAAGATAACAAGAACAAGGAAAAAGACAAGGTTGAAGAGAAAGTTGATTCTAACAGAAAGCCATTCCATGGTGGCAGAGTTGTGGAAGGCAACACGGGAGTAATCATCAATGAGACTTTGATTTTTCTTCAAGAAGCGATCCTGCTGACTGAAGCACCGAATTGTTGCTGCGCCAGTGATGGATTCCGAGAAATGATGAAGGATTGGGGCTTTTCGGATCCCAACCATCCTGGATAGTTCCCTTGCAGTGGTAATGTAATAAGCCTGCAAAAATATAACATGCTTCAGCATTTGAGCAATAAAATCAATAAAGAAGAAACATGCCAGTGCATGTGGCATATTTATAGAATAAGTGTCATCCTTCCGATTTTAATCTTAAAGTGTTGGATATCCTATTTAAAACATAATTGCACACTTGATCTTTATTCATTTGTGAGACTTGTAAACTATATTATCACAATTCCTTTCTTCATAGTGACTTAGTTTTATAAAGTGAAACTGTTAAAAAATGGAAGAGAAATTCAAGATGGAATTTTTTCTTGCCTGATACCAAACAGAGATTGCAATGATGGCGAGGAAGAGAAAGGAGACCTGCCAAGCAATCTGGGACATTAGGATAATAATGCTTAACAGCTGAATAAGTGCAAATGCTAATCCAGCTAATCTGTAGGGAATGTCTGTGTCCACTATGCTCTGATCCGTAGAAGACTGTAAGGAAAAACAATCAAGTTCAGTTTAATCTTGATGATGCAAAAATAAAAGAAAATAAAAGCACTAATGAAGTCGGATATAACTAAAATACTGACCCGGTTGAGAATTCTGCTTGAAGGTGTGCCGTCAAAGAATGATATTGGTGCTCGAAAAACAGATTTGATCATGCCGAGGAAGAGGCGCTGAGCAGTTTCAATAGCAATGGTTGACAGCAAAACAGCCCTCCCCAGTATGAAGAAGGAGCTTCCACCAGACAGCAAAACAAATATTCCAATCATCTGTCCTTTGCTGACCTTTCCCTTCTCTTCTGTTGCCCAAGCAATCCAGTAATTACTTCCCATTTGCAGTGCCTGGAAGAGGACCTGGCAGAGAAGGATAAGTGGAACAAGAGCTCCTTTGTATGCAGCAGTGACAAAGCTCGAGTAAACACTCCATTTCACCCGACCAGTTTCTGTTTCTTCTTCATATGTTCTCTCCGAGAGTCTGTCACTTGCGCTGGGGATTTCAAGTTTCTCTTCTGCAACTTCAATTTGATTGCTTTGGCAGTATTTGTTGGTGGAGAATTTGTGTTTATGAGGACTGTTCACTTGGTTTAAAGATTTACTGTGAGCAGCCATATGTCTAACAAGTTCGCCATCCGGATCTGAATTCAATTCTTCAAATTTTCCTGATTGAGTGATCCTTCCATCTTTCATTACCTAAGGAAATATGCATACAGAAGTTAGAGGTATTAAAAAAAATGACTACCTTAAGTGCTTCAGAAACATAGCAAGAAGCCTACTAACTTACCAGAACAAGGTCTGCAGCATCTAAAAATTCTAACTGATGAGTGGCATAAATAACCGTCTTCGAGGACAAGAGATTCTTCAGACAATTCTGCAAAAAAATATTTAAGTTCACAGGATATCCAATAGCACATAATACATGGTGTTTGATTTACAGTGAGAAGATGCAAAGATGTTGCTTGCCTCGAACAGATGAGCCCCAGTATGTGCATCAACAGCACTGAAAGGATCATCTAGGAAATAAACATCTGAATCACTGTAGATTGCCCTTGCCAATTGAATCCTCTGCTTTTGTCCTCCGCTTAAGTTCATCCCTCTCTCTCCCACCACACACAAATCTCTATCAACCCAGGTCTCAATATCTTGGTTCAAAGCACATGCCTGCAACACATCCTCATAGATAGCCTTGTTCATTTGCTTGCCAAACAGCACATTTTCTCTGACAGTGCCTGATTGAATCCAAGCACTCTGTGGGACAAATGCTTTTGATCCATAAACTTCAATACCAGCCCCAGAAATCCTAGGAATCTCACCAAGTATGCTACATAGTAGGCTTGATTTGCCAGAGCCAACTGAGCCACATATTGCAACCTTGCATCCTTTCATTATTTTTATTTTCTCAGTTATTTTGATTGTCGGTTTTTTTGAAGTTGAATCACATGCTTCCCAAGCATATTCCCCGGTCCCAATTTCAAATGCAACATCGGATGCTTTTGGATTGTCATACTGTAGTGACATCCTTTGATGTTCTTCTTTGATGAACTCTTGTAGTCGATCAATTGAGACCTTTGTTTGAGCTATCATGGAGATGAGCTCTGGCAGGTTATAAATGGGTTCCTGTAGAATTCGAAAAGTTGCTAGAGCTGAGAGAACTGTACCTGATGTCAATGGTGTTCTCAATACAATGCAAACACCAAAGGTGACAACTGAAATTAAAGTTGGTGAAGCCCAAAAGAGAAAGGCCACTGCCGAGCATGTGTAAAGGTATCTCTTCAACCAACTTCTCTCAGTCTCCCTAAGTTGAAGGAGCTTCTTCATGAAAGTGGATTCCCAAGAATGCAACTTCAAGACTCTCATGCTCTTCAGAGTCTCTGAAGTAGCTTTGATTCTTGAGTCCCTGGCTTCCATAATCTTGGTGTGAAGCCCTTCTTGCATGTTGGCCAAAGGAGTGTTGCTAACCATCACCAAGATTGTGGCCAAAAGAGCAGCAATTGAAGGGGCAGCACCAAGGTTTTTGTATAGAATCATCAGGGCCAAAAGGACCTGAACCGGAAGCAACCAAATTCCATTAATGTACCAGCAGAAGTCTCCGATCCTCTCTACGTCCACAGTGATGAAATTTATAATTTTACCATTACTCATGCCACCATACTTGATTGACAAAGACTTCTTGTATATCAATACCATGAGAGCTGCACGAACTCGTATACCAATACGATTGGCACCAAAGTACCAATGTCTCTGAGACAGTGATTCCACTGTCTTTGTGAAGAAGAAGATGAATGCAAGAATTAGTCCATGGTTCCAGCTTGAATTTTCGTGCTTCCCCGATAAGAAATCCACAAAGTTTGTAATAAGCAAGGGACCAATGTATGAAGAAACTGTACAAACTCCTATAAAAAAACAATTCCAACAAAAGCATGTAAATTCATCTAATTTGAATCTTAAAATGAAAAGTGATTGAGAACAGAGTTACCTGCAAAAACTGCATTAATAGCCAAGGAACCCCAGATGGCAAGGACTATGGCTTTTGGCAATAAAGAAGCTCCAGCTTTCTGTTTCCGAAGTGATTCTTCCAACGAAGAAGAAGCTTGATCAGCTGTTTCGGATTGAGGAATAGAAGGTATGTGTGGTAATTCAAGTTTTTGAATTCGACCCGTCTTGAAGAGAGGGTTGAGCCATTGGAAAGTGAGTTGGGTCCAAATACCAGCACTAGTAAACGCATCAGCGTTCTTAGATTGGTTTTTTACCTCTTTTTGAAGTAAAGAATGTTCGATATCACTATCTTTCTTGCTATAACTAATAGGCAGAGCATTGAAACCGAGAAGAATCAACAATGGGGAGGAAACAAAATCAACAATGTTAGCTTCTAGCAGAAAATTTGGCACATCGATCGATTTAAAATAGGTTATGAGGTGAAGAGAGACAAGAAGTAAATTGCAAATGCAAGAACAGACCCACCAGAGAATGAGGACTAAAGGCCAGGTTTTGTATTGTGTTAGAATTTTGTTCTTTGAGTAGACTACAATGACACTAGCTAAAATCCAAGTTAGAGCTGAGAAGAGAGTGTCTAATCTGATGGTTCTAGAATCCCAAAATTCATACAGACAAAAACCCATATAGATGGAGGAGAGTATGACATTAGAAAGAAACGTAATCTTAGTAAAAACTGTAGATCTTCTCTCACTTGCTCCAATTTTTAACTGTTCATCGCTAACCTTTCTTCGATTCAAAATGTCCACCAAAACCCATGTCAGTAACACCAAGAAAAATACCACATTCAAAAGCTTTACAGAGATATCCATCTGCAAAAATTTATAGAACCCTAGTTCAATCCAATTCTCACCCAAGCCGAAAGTTTGAAGAACTGAGAAGTTACAGACACTTGGACCTGTAAGAACAAATCTATTAATGTAACAGTAATAATTAAAATAAACACAAAACAAAAAACAAAAACCCATTTGATTTTACAGGTTGTAAAATTAAGAATTAAAAGAATTAAATGAGAAAAGTATACCTAGAAACAGAATTGAGTCAGTTTGAGTATTGCAGACCTGTGAAGGTATGAAGACAACACGTAACGTGAGAGAGAAATGGTCCGAGCTTTACAAATGGGATGGTTTGTGATTTGGTGCTCGTGGATTATATATATAATAACAATATAACAGTCACAATCGTCAGAACCCTCTATCAGTGTAGAATAGTGAACAATATACCTTTTGTCACACTATGTTTAATTTGTGTACATATTATACACATAAAAAAGAATATTAATGGGACCAGAATCTTTAGAATTGGTATTTAAGTTTATCTCTGGAGTAAGGCTGTCAATTTTTTCAGACTAATGTCTTCATGCATGTTCTCATATATATATATATTTGATATTTTGTTATTTCAATAGAATAATTAAAAACAGAAGAATATATGGTAAATAGATATAAATATATATGTATATGTATCTACGTGTTTTGTATATAAGATTTAGGGTTTGATTGAAGTAAAACGACGAGTGAGAGAATCAATTTGGGTGGAAAATTTACACAAACCTCCTTTATGGTTTGCCATAATTACTGGGACCTCCTCTCCTGTTTCGGAATTATTACTCTCTTAATTTTGAAAAACAGAAGAATATATGGTAAATAGATATAAATATATATGTATATGTATCTACGTGTTTTGTATATAAGATTTAGGGTTTGATTGAAGTAAAACGACGAGTGAGAGAATCAATTTGGGTGGAAAATTTACACAAACCTCCTTTATGGTTTGCCATAATTACTGGGACCTCCTCTCCTGTTTCGGAATTATTACTCTCTTAATTTTGAAAATACCATACACGGACCTCCATTGTGTGTGACGGACCATTAAATATTTGTCAAAATTACTGAAACACCTCCTCTTTAGCATCTGAATACCATACACGGACCTCCATTGTGTGTGACGGACCATTAAATATCTGTCAAAATTACTGAAACACCTCCTCTTTAGCATCTGAAATTACTAAACTACCCATCTGAAACTCTGGGGTCTAGAAAAGATCTGCGAATTTGCAGAGGTTGCAAATTATTTTTCTCTCTGCAAGATTTCAACAGAGGTTGAAAACACTCTCTCTCCAAGATTTAGTGCCTTATCTTTCTCTCTCTGCTCTGCAAATTATTTTTCTCTCTGCAAGATTTCAACAGAGGTTGAAAACACTCTCTCTCCAAGATTTAGTGCCTTATCTTTCTCTCTCTGCAATAAGTCTCTCCTCTGCCTTTCTATTCTCATCTTTCTCTCTTTACTTGTGTTTGGGTTTTTGCCGCCTATTAGGACTAAATGTGCATATAAACACAGAGAAATTTACCAAAATAAAAATAAATATACGGAAAGAAATTTACCAAAATAATAAATATATATATTAAGAAAGAAAAGGGACTAAATGAAGATTATTAGGGTGTGTGCATATATACAGAGAAGGAAAGAGTAATAACTTGGAATTGTGTGTCTTTGGGATTTTGTGATTTTCGGTGATTTTCTAGATCAAAACTTGATTTTGGAGGATTTAGTAGTTTTGTTGGGTAATAAAATATTTAAGGGCGTGATAATTTTATGGTCCAATCTCCGGTGGGGAATTTACGTTAATTTTAACAAAAGAGAAGTTTGTGGAGGATATTTTCAAAATTAGTTATCCTATATATTATGTGCGTGTGAGAGTGGAATGATGGGATGGCCTGGTTACCATCGTCAATTTCCATTCACAATTTGAATTCTAAATAATTTTTAATAAAAAAAATAAAAAATATAGTTCCGGTATTAGTGATTACCAATTTAAAATCGTTGATGCAAATCATTAACCTACTACTTTAAAGAACTTCTCCACCCACAATTTGGACTCTAAAAAAAATTCATAAAAAAGAAAAAGAAAATTAGAGTTCAATATTATTATTATTATTTTTACAATGTCAATATTAATTGAGAAGTGCGTAATTAAAGTGTGAATATTAATTGAGATGTGCCTATAGCTCAAAAGTAAGACAATACTTACACTCCACTTACTCATTTTAATAAAATATAATTATCATACTACCCTTTTTGTATTTAACAATTATCAAAATTCTACGTCTCTTTTCTCTTGTGTTGTAATTTGTTTACTATGGTGTTTTGTTTTTGAACTCTCATTAAACCTTAACTTCATCTAAATGTTAAAAAGTACTTATATTTAATCAAACAAAAAAGAAAATGAGTTTCAGGCTTGTTGCTAAAGAATAATAATTTTTTAATAATTAAAATTGTATCCAAATCCAATACCTACAAGATTTTTAGTACAAAAAAGTAAAAGACTAAAGAAACAACAACGGTGGAGACAGTAGCCACCACTGGTTCAGCACCCTCGCCACCCCGCTGCCACTTGGAGCAGCCAAAGGTCCTTTTTTTCTTCGGGCAGAGCAACTTCTCCAGCTCCACGTCTGCATCCACACGGCCTTTCCTGGTGTCATTCACTAAAATTATGCCCGTTTAAGCATCCCCAATGCAAAATATTATATTTTCATATCAAATATATTTTGAAAAGAGTTACGGTATAAAAATATTATACTTTTGTAATTCTACTTCAATGATCCATTTTATTTAAAATACTATTTTTTAACACAACCATCCATATTTTGAGAGTCCATTAAAGTACCTTATTTTCATTTTAGCAACTTTTTACAATCTCAAAATATGAGAGGTCTTCTAAGAAAGTCCATTGAAATGCCTATTTTTATCAACTTACTATATTTATATTTTGAGTTTGAGAGGCCATTTGAAAGTTGTTATAATTGAGAATACATTTAAGAATATCAAAATATGAGAGAACTTTTGAGGGGCCAGTGCCTTATTTTCATCCATTTGTTATATTTTGAGTTTGAGAGTCCATCTAAGAGGTTGTCGGAGATACTTTTACATAAAAGGATTTGTACTTTTTTGGGGGTGTATCTATGATTTAGTTTTGTACTTCACACAGAATCTTTTTAGTCTAATTTTTTTTGCAAATCATATCTTTATTTATTTTTTTCTTTTTCTTGATTGTTCTGTAGCAGCAAACCGGGAACTCAATTTCTTTTCCATTTGATTCGGAAAAGAAAACATAAACACAGAGTGAAAAAATCGCATGCAAACAAAACGGGAATAAAAAACTTTCATAATTAACATAAAATACTAAAAGAGTACTTTGTCATTATATTTACTAAAATAAGAAATAAAGTTTTAAGTATATTTGTGAAGCGCCACAATGAGCTCCATATTATTAAACAACTTTCCTGCACTTATTCTCACACATTTTACATTGGAGAGATTATGTCATTAAAGACACTTTTTCACCCTTATACACACTTTTCGTCTTCGTGGAGATATCATACATTAAACTAAAAGTCCTTTGGACACTTAAAAAAAAAAAAATAAAAAAAAAACTGTTTTCTTTTTCATATGTTGCATTTTGTAGGTTCTCCATTTATTACTACATTTGTGCCAGTAGAGAGACACTTGGAATGGCATTAATGTCTGCATTGGTTTTGACTTTTGAGAGCACTGAAATGCTCAAGTGTAGGGATGGCACCCAAGCTGAAATCAAATACAGTACACCCACATTATTCAGAGTTTTTTTTTTTTTTTTTGGAATACGTGTATCACCATGTAAGTCATTTTTTTTTTTTTTTTTTTCCCCGGTCATACATGCACCATTAAAGTTAATAGTGACAAAATTTGGAAGAATTACCTTCGAGATCTGTCCCAACCCCACTATGCCACGGGGTATTGAGTTTACGTCACTCTTAACTTTTTGGACTAATAAATATTTGGTTAGATCATATATAATTTTAACTTCTAATGGCATGCATATTTGATGCAGTAAAACCCTGACGTAGACCAGATTTGGAGATCTTGGAGGGCAACTTTTCTGGGCAACCAAACAGTGTCACATGAGTGATTCGGTATATTTAGATTCCTGAATTCTGGATGTAAAGGACAATGGTAGATAGTTGGTGTAGCATTGAGAAGGATGACCATCATATGGGTTTGAGCGTATTGGTCTGCAAAAATTAACCTTTCCTTGAACGGACGAGGCACGGCATTCATGGGGATGGTAAAAGCAAACGCACTGTAGAGCTGTGTTTGTCGCTTGCCCAGTACAAGACACGAATAAAGTTAAAGCTAACACAGGACTATTCCACTTATTTCAATTTCTTTAACCTATGGTCCTCAATGTCAGGTCTAGTTGCTACTTAAATAAATAAAATAAGAAATCAATGAGGGCTAGGAATGGTACCACCATCCAAGCTAGCTGTCCAATGTTGATTCAAATTCGTGTATATATATAAATAAAATAAGAAATCACTGAGGGCTAGGAATGGTACCGCCATCCAAGCTAGCTGTCCAACGTTGATTCAAATTCGTGTGTGTGTGTATATATATATATATGGGTCGGACTGTTGAGTATAAAAAACATCCCTATAATATATTCACAATGCATATTACACTTTTTGTGTATAAAAAATACTCATAAAGTTTTAATTTGGTGTAAATTTGTCCGTTCTGAAACTTTTAAATTATAATTTGACTAAATTACCCTTATATACACATTTTACATATTATTTTAAAATACTTCATTTTATGAACTGACGAAAATGGTCATTTAGCACATGAAGTATGTGATTAGTACTCTATAGGGGTGTTTTTTGTAATTTATAAACTATTATTGTTTTGAATCTTTTGATTTTTACTATTAGATTTAATTGAGAACGTCATTTTATCGCGATTTGAATAGTATGATGATGGTTGGTTATTGAACTTCTTCCTTTTTCTTTTTTTTTTTTCAATAAAGATTTAACACCCATTTGTTGCTATGTAAAGAATTATATATGTGTGTGTGTGAAAATTTATTGTAAATTTAAAAGTTTAAAAAATTAAATGTTTATTGTTTATATATAATGAAATAGTATCTTTAATTTAATTTTTTAATTATATATTTAACGAAAAATTATAATTATATTAAAATATAATTGGATTTTTTTTTATAATTATAAAAGGAATTGAGGTTTTAATTCCATATAATATACCGTACATTAATTTGACAACTGTGACAACAAATTTTTTTTTTTTTTGAGAGAAAATACATTGTTAGCAGAAATATATAGAGAGAAATTTCTCTAAAAT